GGTGTGTGCTGCGCGGGTGCGTGCGTGGGTGCGTGCGTATGTCTGTGTGTGCGCGTGTGGGTGTAGGTATTCTGGCCCAAAGGCCGAAAGCGGCTACCCCAAAGCTGGCTCTCGATTTGGGCGTGTGGTGTGCCTTTAGGTTTCCCTTGAATGCCCTCCAGGCTGCACAAGCTGCATGAAGTGTCATCGGCACCCGTCACGGCCCGCCTTACTTAGCTTCATGGCCATGGCGCCGTAGGCACCGTAAACTGAACTAAAAATGTGTCGCGCTTGCGCCTTGAACCGCTCACAGCGAAGAATGGCAGGGTTCTGCGACACGGTGTCGCTCAACAGCAAGTACGGAACCATGACGCACAAGAATGCTACATGCATTGGTGCAAACAAAGGCACGCGTTTTTGTTTTTCAACAGGTCACCAGAGAAAAGCCCAACGCGTCCGTTTCGAGCTGTTTTGGGCTGGGCATAGCAGCTCCACCCTTTTTGTCGAGGTTTCTCGAGATGCATCGCCAGCTCCCCTGGCGATAAGCGCGAGAGACGTCTCCAAATGAGCAGGGCCCAAAATCCAAGCTGATGCTTGGTTGTACTAACATGATGAAGGTTTAAACTGGCCTTGCCATGACCGGTTGACGCTTGGTTGAGGGTGTCTAACCCAAAAGAGGGGGGCCCAACCCTGTGTGTTTTGAGAGTACCCTTTCTTGGTCTTAAAGGAAAGCCAAAGGAAAACCATCCTTGCCCCTCCCCTTCTTGACACATACGGAACGCCGTCTTTGTTTTTTTGGTGGATTTGGAGCCAAATTGCCTGGTTGGTGATTGGAAACATCCATTTTGCTCGATTGCTCATTGGCAAGTGGGTAAAACCCAGCCAGCTACGTGCTTCCCAAAGCACTAACGCCTTTGCATGACTAGATTCGTTTTTAGTGTCCCCTTCAACCACAAAAAAACAAGAGGGCAAGGCTAGCTTCAAAAATGCCCCAGGTCCAATTGTCCAAGCAAACAGCACCCCCTAGAGGAAGACCTCCTTGACTTGGCGCTGCCCAAAACCACATGGCGAAATGAAGGGAACCCCCATTTGATCAAGTCTCATTCATGGGGTGACCATTCGAACCAACAGAAGTGACTTCCCAAGGAGGAAGTCAGGCGTGCCTGGCTTCAGGGGCTCGATGCTACCCAGCATCAAAGCACCACCTCAGGACCAGGGACCAAGCATGGCATATGTCTCAAAAGGGAACTCTAACATTTAGATGCGGAACAAACATAGAGGTGGGCATGTCTTTTGACGGTTCTCCTTTTGGTTTCCCTTTGAAACCACCAAAAAGGGTACCCTCGAAACAAAGGAACCACACCCAGGGGGTTTTCCGGTGGTTTCCCTTTCAAACGACCCGAGATGGGGGGCGTTCTCGAAGAAGAAGAAGAAGAAGAAGAAAAAAACGGATGCCGTGCATCCCAATGGCCAGGTTTGTTCATCCCTGTGGAACTTCAATGGAGCCGAAGGGTGCGCACAGAAAACACACCTGTTTTTCTAGGGAACACCCTCCAAAACAGCTGGATGGACATAAATCCCACTTTTGTCAATCACCAATTGGTCCAGAATTTGAATTCAGACCCCGAATCTACCAAAGCCAACCACTTGGGCATTTTCTGCGCGACCGCCCACCCTCCGTCCTGTGCTTAAGGGCCCCCAACGGTGCCAGGAGTTCGCGTGCGGGAACCAAAGAGCTGACGTTCGGCACTGGGCAGGCGCCCATCCTAGAGAGGGCGGGGTTGAGATGTTCAGATGCCACGTGGCTTTGTCTCAACATAGGCGGCCCCTCCAAAAAAGGGCTGATTTCCTTTTTCCTGCTTTGGAACTAAGCGCAAAATGTGTCTCGGAAAAAAGGGAAACCAAAGTGGTTGGTGGACGTAGCCATCCCAGTGGCCAAAGGTGTTCACACCTTCAGAATTCGCATTGCGCTTTCATAGGTGAACCCAAAAATCGGTTGGGTCCTTTTGGCCTGGATCACCTGCTTTCCCATCAAATCACGGGTTTTAGGGTCATGTGTGTCCGGAAAAAGGCGGCAACAACTGCTGTTTTCCCGTTGAAACCACACAAACAGGGTCCACCATGTTGATAAACCCATGTGAGCCCCCGACAAGATTAGCCCCCGGGCTGTGCGGTTGAAATTTGCTGTTGTCCCCCATATGTCCTTCCCAGATCAACAGTTGACTGAAGGTGTCCCAAAAGCAAACAATGCTTGTCACCCAAAGAGGAAATATGATTTGACTTGAAAGGTTGTGTCAGGGTTGGGATTGGCCACCCTCCCAACATGGAACTGCACCTCCCTTTCCAAAAGGAAAGTCTGCCCAAAGGCGTCTGCGCATCAGTTGGTGAATGAGGCGTGGCCGGGGCTTTTTCACATGAGTGAGTTATTCTCAAAGAGGTGGCTGTGGTGCAGTGGCTTGTCGCTAGGGCAGTGGGACAAATCCCAACATCATTCCCACAACCTGGGCGGAAAATCACACCCGAAATCCGCGATACCAATAAGGCTCGTTCGCCTGACACTTACTCTGGTATCACACAGGGTTGGGCAACCGTGTCATACATTCAGAAACGAGATCCTTTTAAAGAGAAACCAAACAGGAGGTTGCTTCAGCAACTGCCGTTTGAGGGATCCGAAAGCGCCAAAGTGGCACGGGGGGGCTCTCAAGATGGGATTCGGACGTTACAGGGAAGCCAAAGATGAATCAAACCATTTAGGGGGCCGATGGATTTGTTGAGAAACCTCTGGAAGTGTGTCCAAGGGGAGACACCGCTGCCAGCGGGGCATCTCGTTGCGCTCCCGGGTCCGGGCCTCCCGGTGCCTCGCCATGGCCCAGCTTCTGGGGCTCAGATCCTCACGCCGAATCTGGCGGCGCAGAGGCCGAATCTTTGGCGGCCCCGATCAAGAGGTCGCTCCAAAAACTGATCCAATATCCTGAAAGCTGGGTGCAACACACCCCAGGTTGCTACCATTACCCCCCGGCCCCCCCAACCCCCCACCCAGAAAGCGGGGCTCCTTGACATGGTCCTCCTCCTCCCCCTCCTGAGAACCATCCGTGTCGACATCCGGCTCCACCTTTTTCGCATGCCGAGCATGCCAAGGCGTGCGCACAAAGAAATCAACTCATGAAATGGAAAAAAGCCGGGGACCCCGTTTCCCCGCAAGCTTTCCTGGTTCCCTACGCATGGCTGATGATCTTCCGATGGTTTTTTATTCTCCCATTCTACATTTTGGGCCGGGGGGTGGGAGTCTTCCATACCTCGAGGGTGTGTCTTCCCGAATGCACCCCTCACGCCGGGCCTTCAAAGGCTTCAGCCTCTCCGCCTCAGGGGGCGTTCGTCAAAGCTTCCAAGGTGTCTGGCCCTGCGATTCGTGGCTTGCATTCGCCTCCAAAGGTCTGGTGCTGTTGCCCCCCCCCCGTCGCTGAGAAGCGCACCTTTTTTGGGGAGAGCGGCCTCCGCAGCTCCCTCAGTTGACAGCAACACCGGAGCCTCCCTTGAATTCCAATCGGGCATCCGCCCTCACTGTCAGCAGCATGGGTCACTGTGGACCGCCAGTTGAGAGGGGCTAGAACCCTTGAACACGAGAGACGGACGGAAACCAAAGGACTGCCAAACCATCAGGACGGAAAGTCGCCCTAGGCACCGGTTAACCGGCGACAGACGGGAGCTTTTGTCTCAAGGATGGCGACCTGAGAGCAGCGCCCAAGAAGTGACTTTTTGGTACCAAAATGCCTTGAAAGGCTTCAAACCAGGCAGACCCACACAGCCCTTTTGGGACCCGGGGAGGTCTCTGAGCCCCAAGCTTGCCAGGCTGAAACCACGAGGAAGCCTGCGAACCGCCCCCATGGCCAGGGTTCCTTAGAGAAAGATTCCGCTGATCCGTGCACCTGTATAGCAGGCAACCAAGGGAACCACACTTTGATGAGTATCCTACTAAAAGGTACAAAGGGGCTGAACAGTTGGGAATGAGGGGTTGGGATACTCTGGGACCAAACTTAGTCGTGGTCATAGGAGGAAAATATTGGGAATTCATGCGCCCTTGTCATATGTATGGTTCGCAGTCTGCGGGGAAGCTCAAATACGCACTGTTGGAGCTGGGGCCGGGGGGAGGGGGGTTTTCTGATGGAAATGCTGCGGGGTGGGCTGGACCGTAAACACTCTCTCTCCGATATTCGAAGCAATTCGCACGTTTTGGCTGTGCCCAATCACGGAAGTTGATGATTTTCATGGGCTTGAAACACGTGAAACGGCGTGCCTAGAAAAACTGCTGTTTTGGTTGCGGGCGCTCGCGCTGCAAGCACCATGGGGCTAGATGGCAAAGTCCACGCGATCGCCGAAATCCGCCGCAAAGACCGCGCCTCTCCGGCCCCTCAAGTTTTCCAGCGCCGCCTCGTACTTCGTCTTGTCGAGCTCCCGCAGCGCCTTGAGGGTCTTAGTCAACTGGAAGCCGCGTTGCTGGGCAAGAGCCTTGTCAAGCTGCGCGTCCCCGCAAAAGAGGCAATGCGTCTGCCCGCGCCCCGGCTGGATTTCGGCCGGCTCGCCAAGACGAGTGCTGCGCAGTGCACGTCAGGGAGTAAGCTGTTTGTTGGCACTTGTGGCTTTGCAAGCTTTATGGCAATGGAAATATAACACGTTTGTGAGAAACCGAGGGGTTACTTTGGTACCCTGACAACACTGGGTGTGTTGTCCCCTCGGATAGAGTGCGGGGGTTCGAATATCCTCGAAACAGTGCTCGATCCGCAAGCTCGATCTTTTGTGTCTATGCCAGCTATGATCCGCAATCAGGGTTAGGGATCTAAGCTAACAGTTGAACCTTGAGCCAAACGGTTGCAAGGGTGTATAACAGTGTATTTCACATTGGTGGCCCTCATCCTATTCACACTATGTATATATATATATATATACATATATATATATATATATATGTGTATATATATATGTATATATCTAGATATATATGTACATATATGTATACAATATGTATGTGTATGTATATACATATAAGTGTATATATATATACATATATGATTAATATTGCGGAAACATTTGCAAAACGGCCCCTCCGCACATTAACATCCACCAAAGCCGAGGCCCCACTTGAGACAAAAGAGTCCCCAGGCAACATGCCCCCTGGAAATTGTGGTTCCTTTGGGTTTCCCTGTGAATCACCCCTCAAAAAGGGCACCCACAGAACCAAGAAAAGAGAAACACGCCACGGCCCGGCGTGTGTTTCAGGCCTTCACATCGGCGGCAGCCGGCGAGCCTTTGCCCATCCGAGCCTCGAGGGCCATGACAAGCTGTCGCACAGCAAACAAATTGCCCTACTCAATGTTTGAGAGAACATACAAAGCAAGAATCAGGACCTCAGCATCCAACGTGGTAAACCTTCAGTTGGGAACACCATATTTTGCAGAAGCAAGAAGACATGTTCCCAAGGGAACCGGATAACATAGCACATACAACAGAACGGGGGCTGTTTCGGACTCCCCCAGCGAAGCTCTCGAGGATCGTCTTAACCTTTGAGCCCTCGCGAAGGCCTGGGGTCCCCGGAGTACCCTGGGTACCCACATGACACCTGACAAGGAGTCCTTTCAAGAGAAATGTCATAGCCCAATTTGGGGGCGGGGGCCGTCTTTTTCTTCCTTTTTTTTGGCCCGGGAGGGGGGGGGGGGGGGTCCCCGGATGCGGCATTTTTGTTGTTGGCTTCCCTTTTAAACCAGCTCCAAAAAGATGTTGCACACCATGAAAGGCTTCCTTGGGCATTCTCAGGGTGGGAGGCTCCCTCGTGAGGTCTCCCCGCCCAAGACTTGCCTGGGTCCTTGTGAGGTCGATGTGCACCACCGGCGGCCCCCGTGGCGACACATCTGAGACAGCAAAACCCGGGAAGTCGAAACGCTTCTCTGCTGCGTGCTGCAAAATCGGGAGTTGGGAACTATGTCATGCTCGGTTCTATGAGTTCCATCGCATTGTGATTCCTTGGGTTGAATTCTAGCCATTCCCAGCCCATTCGTGGATCCTCTCTTGAAAAATGTCCCACAACCGGGTGGGCGGTTTCCGAAGAGAAGGATGGGGGAAAAGAATGGGACAATCCTTAGATCGCGCATCTGGAGAATACATTCATCCCCTGGAAAAATGAGCTTCCCGTCGTTCGGTGGTTTGGATTGGTGGATTGGAGGTTGGGTGGTTTCCAATGAGATTCATTACCCTGCAAAACGTGGGGGGGTTTCTCTTCAAAGCAACCCTCACAACTAAAGAATCTACCCCAAATGGGTACACCCAAATCAGGGGGGCTACAAGTGGGGTTTTACAGGTTCTGCTGGGGCCTCAAAAACAAATGAGGCTTGTAGCTGGGGTGTGCTCATTTGCGTTAAGTAGGATCTCATCAAAAGCACTCTTCCGAGCCGTAAGAAAGGCAAAGCCATGTACTGTGCTTCCCTTGAAGAGTATGGGTGTGGGTCGAGCATAGGTACCCAAAATCGAACCCTGGTAAATGGAAAGGTAGACTAAAACCTGCGTAACCCCAGCTGCTTCATTTTGACCCAGTATTGGAAAAAATGCCTTCAACTTGGAGCCTTGGAGCTGAGTCGATCTTCCAAAAAGAATGTCCGAATTCTGGCGAGTCGCGAGTCCCCCCCACCCCCCCCCCCCCGGCGCGTCCGGTCTTTGGGGCGACCAAAGGGGGCCTCATGACCAAAAGGGAAAACAACGATTTCGAAAGGGGATCACCTACCAAAAAAGACACGCCCACGGAATGGTGAATATTAGCCGTTGCTCACATCCAAAAGCCAAGCGCCCGGCTCGGGAAAGACTTGGAGGGTGCCAAAGGCACATATACGCGCGGAGAGATGTGAAAGCCTGGCTCGGTGTGGTTTCGACGCGGATGTTCTAAGGCTTCAGAAGCTGCCATACTGCAAATCTGGCAACCGGGTGTGTCGTTTTTTGAGTTGGTGCCCCTTCTTGTGTGAGGAAGGGAAACCAAAAGGAAAAGCCAACCTTAAGACAGGAAAGAACAAAAATGAAAACCAACCAAAGGCAAAACCAAAACCGTTGCGCCATTTGGGGGGTCCCTACCAAAAGAAGACGACGCAACCCAACTCTGCTCTCAAGTTGTGTGTGCCAAGCCACTGGAAGTTGCCGGCAAGGGCCTGGGTCAAAGCGAGTTACACATTCGGCGTGGTGTTTTGAGAATAGCGCACTCCTCTCAGTTTCCCTTTAACTCACTTCCTCGGTGGTTGGGCCAAAAAAAGTCCAAACTTGTTGTTTACCACTAAACTTGTCTTTGAATCCGGGAATGCCAAAGTGAGTGAAGCTCAGGTGATTCAGGAGGGTGTCTTCTTTGGGGTACCCCTTTTTGTGGGCTTTGAAAGGAAGCCAAAAGGAAAACCGCCATTTTGGGGGGTCCCTTAAAAAAGACACACCCAAGACAGCTTTGGGGCGCTCTCACCGGAAACCCCCGTTGGAAAGCTGCAAAGCTAGCACCATTGCAGCAGATTCATGGCTCCCCTCCTCTGAGCCGGTGGTGCCTTCCAGGAACAAACGGCCAACAGCACCCAGAAATGGGAGGTGCAAACAAGTATAAGTTTTGGTTGGGACATCTTTGAAAGTGGTTGCTTACATAGATACTTGTTGTTTTTTGCCCTTAACTCGTAGGTTCTGCAGTTCAATGTGGTGGTTCGGGCCGGTTTTAGCCAGCATGTTCCCAAGAGGGGTGTTTGTGCACATGGGTTTTGAGTTTATGCGGCTCGAGCACACTGAGGTTTAATGGCAGGGAGTGACCCGCAATGTTCAAGAAGGGAACCAAAGAACTACAAGGAGCAGCAATTCGCTGTCAGACAAGGCTGTGCAAATGCAATTGAATATGGCCAACAAAAAAACAAGGACAAGTATGTTGACGGGAAAAAACAACAAAGAGGACAAAGAAATGCGCTATCCACCTTGGTCACAACCTGTGACAATCCAGTGTTGACTTTTGTCCAAATGGCTCTCTCGGCCATCCACTCTATGAGAGACACATGACTAAAATATACGGATACGAGCCAACTAAGCGCAAAGATCACAAGACACCCCAAAATTTGAGGCGAACTGCAATGCATCGGTTCTCCCCCACGTCACAATCAAACCTGGAATTGCAAGGTCGACCCAAAAGCCCGTGGGCGAGAAGCACAGGGGTTGGCGTGCCACAGCATAGCAACCGTCCCCATCATTCCTAGCTGTAAAGATCACCTGATGCAACCTCATTTTGTGGCAAAGATGATGTTTAGAGCCACCCTAAAGAAATATGCTGGGTCGTGTGTATGTCCACTTTCTTTCAACCAAAAGACACCCCACATGGAAACTCAATCGGAATTGGCAATCAAAGATTGTCCAAACGACCCAAAAGCGGAACGAGTCGTGGTCGGAATTACTTGTTTCCCCGAAATGGGAAACTGTGTGGGTCCCTGGTCTTTTGTGGTTGAATTTTAGAGCTCGTCCCTTGCGGAGGGACCCCAACGGACCACAAACAATGCAGGATGTGTTGACTTGTGTCCAAGCCACCCAAGGAACACACATTTGTTGTGGCCCAAAAGGTGACGTGTCTCGCGCGCGAAAAGTCGAACCCAGGCGTCCCTGGGCCAGATGGGTCCAGGGCTCCGTGCTGTGTGGTGAACCGCGGCGACAGCACGTAGCTCCGGCTTCGAACCCCGCCTCCAGCCGGCCAAACCGGAGAAACGAACACTCCCAAGTGCTTCGTTCTTAACAAAAAAGAAGAAGTGCAAAGCCCAGTGAAACCTCAGGTCAGCTGGAGGGTTGTTGGAAGATCAGTTTCTTTTAAAGGGATGACAACAAGGGAAGGGTACGTCATTCGTATTGGTTGGCCAACCAAACATTTGGGCTTTGTGGCAATATCAAAACCAAAAGGCCAACCAGATTTGGGGTTGTCAAAGTGACACCCATTTTGGCGGTTCCATGTCCCGCTTGGAGAGCAACCTTGGTATGAGGTGGGAAGGCGTCAAAGATAGTGGTCTCCACTCACCAGAAGTAGTTCCGGCAATCCATGTGCAGTTCGGGGCAGCTCGAAACATCCCAAAGCCAGTCATGAAGTCGTCAAGGTGTCCCCCTCTTAGGAAGCGGAAATTGGAGAGCCCATTTGACAAGGAACCCAAACATGCTGGCTTTCCCTGTTGGTTTCTTCCGGGTGAAAAAGGCTACCCTTCTTGAAGAACTGCACCGGTCCGACTCGAATCAACTTCGAGGCTCAGGCCATCTGAGACGGTCGAAGAGGACACCTGCCGTTCCACCCGTGAGGACGTCACGCTTGGACACCGCGAGGCCGTGGTAGCCGTGGACACTCGCCGTTCCACGTGGGCGGTGGGGGTGCCTGGCCGTCTCACAACTCAAGGCATCTCTGCCAAGTGAACATCCCCATCCCCACCACTTGCAGCCTGTGTTTGCAGGAAACTCGGAGCCCAATCACCCTGAAAGGTGGTGGTTCCAATACCAAGCCCAAGACCCCAACCCCAAACCTCCCCGTCATAGCCCCCGATGCCCGTGTCCACCATACCCTTCGCCCATGTCTCCTGGCTGGTAGGTTGTCCAGGCCGCCAACGTGGGCCACGCCGGCAGCACCACCGGGGCCCTCGCGTGGATTGGCGAACACAATTCCAAGCGTTTCGTGGGTCCCCGCCATGCGCACCCTATATCCGCCATGAGCGCTCCAAAGCGCCATACAACAGAGCGCGTCGGCAAATGAATGGTACCCTTCAAACACAAAAACGAGAAGAAAAAAAACGCCTACAGTGGGGTGAAGGTGGATTTCACAATTCTCAAGCTGATTTTGGCTAGTCCCCTTCAGCCAAGGGCTTGGGTTAAAGCCCTAGCAAAAAGGAACAACTCACAGTTGGTTGGCTTCCTCTTTTTTCCCGGAAACAAGAATGGACCTCAAAATCCCCCCGCTTTGAGCCAGACTTCAGCTTCCCTGTCATCGGTGCTTTTTTGTTTGTGGTTTGGCGGTTTTCCGGGGCTGGTTTCCTCTTTTCCCGCAAGAACTAAGTTCAAATCCAAATCCAAGCCAAACCGACTCAGGGCCAGCTCCATCGACCGCAGATCCGCTCCGATCCTTTTGAAATGGCTTCTGGCAGCTCCTCGGACGCGAAAAATGCGCGATGCCGACCGAAAATCCGCGTGCCAAAGACCCCCAGAGGCCAGACACCCGACACAATGGATCGTACGAGGGTCCCTAGACGAAAATGGTCCAGAAAACCCTTTACAGGTCCCATGTTTGTTTGTGGGATGGCAATCTGGCCGCCAAAACTTACTTCGGCGTGGTTGCCATTCCCCAACAAACGCTGACCTTTCCGGGGGGTTTCAACGGACGTGTTCAAAGCCCATGCGGCGAAGCATCGTGGCACTGCGTCCCAACGCGGCGGTTGCTGCCTCAGTGCTCACCGTCACGTGCAAATTCACTTGCTGGTCTCAGTCAAAGAACCAGCCGCAACTCCACAAAGCTACTTGTACCCGCCAGGAGCAGGGTTGTTTGATAACATTCTGCGGGAAGTTGGCTCAAATACCCACCCAAAGCAGCACCGTTTTGGCCTAAAATGTCCGTATTTATTCGGACCCGGTCAACCGCCCGAGACTCTTCAGGCCGCGGCGGAGTGGCAGCGCCTACGGCGATGGACGTGAATCGGTGGCGAAGTCATGTCTCGTGTCTAGATGGCTTCAGTGGTCCCCAAACAAGATGTACAGCTAGTCACAAGAATATAAGGGTAAATAATTGCTGTTTTCCTCCGCAATTCGTGGGTTGGGGGTAGTGGAAACCATCACTCTCGCTGTTCTTTGACATCCATCAGACTCACAATCAACCATCTAAACGATGATTATCATAACAACCAACCATGATGCCAATGCCAAAAACCCCGACTCAGTCTTTAAGCGCCACTCGTGTCAGCGCGCCCACAGTTTGTATCACAGCCCTCGCGCGATGTCGCGCCTCCGGCCACAGCTCGGAAGGGTTGAGAGGGCGTGCAGGGCGCCGTCTGCGCCTCCGATCACCCGAAAACCGCCCTGCGATGGTGCCTTTGGGTGAGGGTAAGCTGCTGTATGCGGATCCCCTGCCATTGAAGTCATGGGGTTGTAACCATTCTGCACCTTGGTGTCAAATTTGTGCTTCTAGCCCCCCAAAAGGCAGTTGGAGTGACAAATGGCATTGCAACCCCCTTGCCTCGACTTAGACAAAGATGCAGCTTAGATTCAACCTCACAACCTGCTCCAGTTCAGCTTTTAAAGTCAACCTTGACCTGATTCTGTTCACCCTGTGTCCTTCACATGTTTGACCTTCTCCCATCTTGACCTGACTACTCCTTTTCTGGGAGGTCTTATCATCACATCATACTTCCCAATGTCAGGGTGGGCTTCTGGGTGCTTTCCACTTCTGAGATATGAGGGAGTCTCCCCTTCAGCTTCAGAATTACTCGTGTGGAAGGCCTTCCTCTAGGCACCGCAAACCAATTCGTAATGTTGACCCCATATGAATCAACCTCTGTTTATTCACAATGAATGTCCCTGAATTGAGTGGGAAATCATCACTCTTGGAGGGGAACACCCCCTGTACATAAACTGGGTTGATTAATATGGGGTCAACATTGCCACCTTGCCATCCCGGGCCATCCCCTCGCCTGTGGCGTAGGCGGAACCGAGAAGGTGGAAGAAGATCTGGCAGGCGTTTTAATGGATTTCCAAGTGGCAGGGCAACTGTCTCTTGCCAATAGCAATGACCCCATCATTTTGGGGCATCCCGATTTTGAGGGCAATTCGAGTCCAACTCGGGTTCGCGCTGTCCTCAAGAAAGTTACATGCAAGCCAATCTCTTGCCGGGGCGCATGGAAGATACCCTCAAAACACAAGGGATTGCAAAGGCTGGCCCGCATAAGGTGGGGTGTGGGGGGGGGCCACGCCCAATAAAGATTAGCGCTCGGGGGTCTAACGCGCTGGCTGCTCCCAACAAAGCCTGGGTGAAATGCGGCGCGGGGATTCCAGACTGATCACGACGACCTGCGGGATGTCAAATGCACAAATGATCACACATGTGTATATATATATATATATTATGTGTTATAGTGTATAGAGAGAGAGAGAGAGAGATGCATGCTTATGTATATTATGTGTACATATACATATATTATATATGCATATATATATATATATATACCCCTTGCGGATTCCCCTCCATTCACAGGGCGTGGATTCCCCTTGAAGGGGCGCCCCCATGCCCGACCTTCAGGGGTCAGTTGCATGCTCCGCACCTCCCGCTGCAAGGCTTGCTTTGGCCTGACCAAGCAGTCGGGATCCAGAGGGCGGGTCTCAGAATGGTACATGGGTGTTCCCCAAACAAAGGTATAGGGGGGGTTCCCCAAAGGCGCCGGATTTATCTGCAAGATTTACAAGATGTGCAAAACCTGAAATAAGGGATCCCTCAGTAAAGGATCTCAAAGTAGGGCAAATAAGGGGGTTTCCCAAAGAAAGGTACCACTAAAAGCTCATCTGGGTAGGTTTGGAAGGGCCAAAAGGACCCCATATTCTCTTTATGTTGCTCTTTCTTTGCTTTTTTTTTTTCTCTCTCTCTCTCTCTCTCTCTCTCTCTCTCTCTCTCTCTGTTTCTTGTTTTTCTCTGTGTTTTTTTGCCATCTCTTTGTTTTGTCGTTTTGTTTCGCTATTTCTTTACTTTATTTTTGTGTTTCTGTCTTTTGTATTTGTTGGTTCTCCATCTTTGCTCATATTCTAATTCAGCAAGAGAACCCATTGCAGCAACAGTGACCATTAAGAGTCATATACCTCCCCTTTGTTGTGGCTCTGAATTAGTGTGGGATGCAGCTTCGGCCTTCTTCAGGGCTGCTCTATCAAAGATTCCCTCTATATACATTGCGCCAAAGCAAGAATGGCGCTGAAGATTTATTTGGGGCCTGCTTATCCCCTCAAGTTGTGAAGTGGTGACTCCTTTGACCACTCATGTTGCATGTACTCCTGGCTTGGGGCTCCCTACATATCCCCTGTCAATCAGCAGCCTACAAAGGAAACTCGCTAGAAACTTGTCCCAAACGGTGATAGGCGAAACATGGGAAAGCCTGGCATAGAAAAACTGGCGGCATCGGCAGCCAGCTCGGCGTCGTGTTGTTTTGGGCCAACAGGCGGGCCTTGCAGGCGCCATTGCGAGCGGGGACTCCTGAACGCGCAAGAGGGAACCCAAAGAGCCCAAGCACCCTGGGGGTATTCCAAAAAAAACAAGAGCAAACCCGTGAACAAGGGGAACTGAGGGAATTTGTATCTGCGCAAGTCTTGCAAAAAGCACCGGCCCAAGTGACAGTTGAGCCACACTTGGACTCAATTTGAACACCAAAGAAGGTAAGAAAAGTCTGGCAACATGTTGCAAGCGATGCTTCCCCGTCCTGAGTGCACTTGAAGCGACCTTCCAGCAAACCCGGCCTTTGGCGCACCTGCCGATCAATCCTTGGAGCGGCTAAGGTGAGCCAGGCACCAATCAGGAAATCTGCGTTTTGAGTTTCCAAGAGATCCATTTGATTTCGAAAGAGACGGACTGGTCCAAAAATGACCAGCCAAAAGGCTGGTGGGGGATCCCCGTATGATGGACACGAATGGGGTCTATTTTGCAACAACCTTCTTTCTTTCCATGCCACGAGGGTTCCCCCCAAGTGAGCCGCACCCATATTAGCCGAGGATTCCATTGAAGCTGTTTTGACTTAAACGCACCCCTATAGGTTCGTAGGTGCTCTCAAAAAACAACAGAAAAGATGTGTCTTTTTCTAGCAACCCCCCAGAATGGGACATGTCGGACTTCCTTTTTGGTGTCCCTTTAAACCCCCCCCCAAAAAAAAAGAAAGAAGCATAAGCACCACCCCACACTTGGCCATGGGGCCAGCCATGGAGCCGGGGCGAGGTGCTGCCAGGGCCCATGGCATTGGCAAAGGCCCAAGGCGCCCAGCGCTCGAGGAGGAGTTCGTCCGTCCGGTTTCTTCGGGGGGGGGGGGGGGTTTACCGTGGACCAAATCCCTTCGCACCACTTGGACACCATGGTTGAAACCAGTATTTGCTGGTATTTACAGGGGAATCCTCAAAACCAGGGTTGCTTTGGTGGTGCCGGATTTCGTCGATCCACAGCACCACGATGTCAACTGACGGGATCTAACTGGTGGAAAGCAAAAAAAACACAAAGGCCTTTCAAAGTGGACCAGACAGAAGTTGACTAAGAAAACAAGTATCTGGAGAAGGGGGCTGAAAGGACTGGCAGCCGCCTTATTCGGTGCCCGGGATGGATTACTTGCAATCCATCTCTAAGCCGACTGCAGTGGAAAGGATCTGCTGGCCCCAAATCGGCCTTCCAGAGCTTCGGAGTCCGGAGCATGTCGTTGGCCTTCGGTGTCTTGCGGTTCAGAGCCAGCGGTCTGAGTCCGAAGGAGTTCAGGTATCCGGGTTGAGCAGGTGGGTCCCAGCGTGCACCTGGCACCTCCCTGGACAATCAAGGGGCATGTACATAGTTAGTACAACCGGAGCTCAAGATTCGCAATGAGCATCCCAGTGAAAAGGAGATTCACTTGGGGAAACACCCCACTCATCCAGATTGATTCACCAGGGTCGACATTCGGGTGATGGGGCGAGTTCTGATTCACATCCTGACTCACAAGGTGCGAAGGCTGCCAGTCACAGCAGAGCCCCCTGTCTTTCCGCGCAAAAGGCAAGCAGTTCGGTTGCGTAAAACAACGAAGCCTTGCCATGAGCTTTCTTTGAGCTTGGGCGGTTGACACCAGCTAGATGAGGTGCTTGTACCCTCACTGCGCGTGTTGCGCATCTGGCGGACAAGCGGGTCCAACGACGGCGCTTTCCGAAATGATCTCAGAAACCACTTGCCATTCCACTTCCCCTTCGTCCGGACGGCCCAAACCTAACTCAAAATACCGTGGCCCTTGTGGCGCACAAGACCAGGTCTCGTTTCGAGCCTGTGGAACAAAACGGGGCGGCGTGAATTTTACACCAGGCTGAAGGTAGATGGCACAACTTCCTTTAGGCAAGTAAAAGGGACGAGCAAACCAAAATCGAGAAGTTATGCCATCCCTCACTCAACTGCAGGATGGGGCCGGGTACAGCTTAACAAGCTGGGTCATCATGGAAGAAATTCTGCCATCTACGTTCAACTGCAACCCTTTCTGTGATATCAAACTTGGAATTCCCCTTTTACCACTTGTCTTAGGTCGGATTCCCCAAAAATCCCCACATCTTACCACTTTTTCATGAGAGTTCCCGCTCGAGATCACAGAAAGTCCTTCTCTTTTTCGGCGGCTTTCAGCCGGCCTAAGCGGCGACTCAGATTCCCCGCAGCTCGCTGGAGATCTTGAGGCGCGCGTTCTCCGTGCTATCCACCAGGCGGGCCTGGCCGACGCAAACGCAGCTAGAACACAGGTACCGGGTTGGTGGGTCGGTTGGTCGATCCACAATGGCTTGCCAAGTTGAGGGGGGGGTTGCGCTCTTTTGCTCCCATTCAACAGGAGAGTTTTTGTCGGTGCTTCTTGGCTCCTCAGCTCCGCCAATATCCATTAGCAAGTAGATAGTCGAAGAACCAGGCCCAGGAAATTCTACAGGAATTTAGCCCGACTGTTTTTTGAGAACTTTGAAAGGGGAAATAGAGAGGGAATTCTGCCCCTTGCGTCTCACTCGATCACAACGGCCGCTTTGCAGGTAAGAGCCAAACTCAGTCCCTTGAAGTGGACATTTTGGGAGCAATACTTTCAAATGGCTCCAATAAAAGCTGAAAAACTGGTGAGCCTTGGTTGGAGCCCTAGGTCAAAAAACCCTTGCTTGGCACTTTGACGTATCAATTGCCTCTTGAAGCAGTTCGCGCCTTTGTAACTTCCGACCTGTCGAGCACATCCAGCGCACCTCGAGTGGACGCAGATATCCGGATATCCCGCCCCCAATGGGTGTCGGCTTCCTTTGATCTCCCTACCCCTAACGTCCCCCGAAGCATTGCACCGTTGCCGCTTTCCTGCGGCACACACCCCGGTTTCACCCCTCAGCTCGCGAAGTGCGGGAGATTCCATAAAATCGGCCCCATGAAGCACCGAGAAGAAACGTTGCCAAGCCGATGTTTTATCTTCCGGACCAATCAGTTCTATCTTCTGACTCAACTTGTTTCTGTTGCCTGATTCTCCAATTGGAAACAGGTCGTTCTCCCCGGGCGTAACCTTTTGCATTGAACATTGAAGGGATTCCTCCAAAATCTTGCAGAAAGGCCTAAAATCCGACTTCCCCAAACCACACGGCAGTTGTCCCAAAATAGGGAACCTGCCCAACTAGGTGGTTCCCTTTCGTCATAGTAGGAAACCCCCAAGTTGGCGGTTCCCTCCGGAAAGGGGTCAAAAACACGGACCATTTGTCAGGCTTCATATCAATGCGAGCTCCAAAACACACTTCGGAATAATCCAATGTCCAACATGTGTGATTTCCTGTTGGTGTCCCTTGCCAACTCCAAAAAACCACCATTCATGCATCTGGATTTCATTCCGCCAGGCGGCTCCAGCGTTGCCAGCTCTCCTTTAACTCCTGGCACATAGGCTGCGAAGTTCGGATTCGGGCGTGTCCCAACAAACAGATGGCTCCACAGAGGTCCGCACTAGAAACATCCCAACACAAGGCAGCTGACCTTGAAAAGGTGATGGTTAACACCGCCAAAGGGAAATTGAAGACCAAACGAGGAAACCAACCCGAAATGGCGTTCAGCCCCGTCGGTCTCCTGTGCAGCAGTCTTTGCTGCGGAGTAGCGGGGCAGGAAGCGGTAGTGCCGCTGCAGGAACAGCAAGTTCAGAACTGGCGGAACATAAAACGCAAGTCACGTTAGCAACAGTCAACACTACATGTTCCCCCAAGAGAAGAGGACAGGGGAAATTCGCCCAGCCGCTGATCAAGAGCTCCCCCCCATGTCCCTCTCCCAAATCAACCAAATTCTACTGGAAGTGTTGACCAAACTCACATATGTTATGTTCAAAATTGTTCATAGTGGTCATAGTTGCTCGCACCTACGTCAGGGTCTGTCGACCTTGGCACACAGGTCGGCTCAATGCGAGAACATTGGAGACCCCTTTTAGCAAAGGCAAACCACCCATTTGGGGGAAGCCCAATTGCAAGAAACACCCACGTGCCATGGCCATGTTTTCTTACGCATCTGATGACAATCCCTAGTATCTCCTCCCTTTTCAAACGTCTCGGGGAATGAGGGAATGACGGAATGACCCTCACCATTGTGGTTTAGGGCATCCCTTTCCCAACATCTCTCTTCATTTTAGCGCATCCCTATTCAAGAACCAGCCGGTTCACGGACTCCCAATTCCGGGGACCTCAACCGATCGCCCGCCTAAAGCCAGCAGCATTGAAGCTGTGAAAGGCATCCTCGCTCGCTGAGTTGCCAACACAACTGTACAGCTTTTGGGTCGACCTTCACACCACCCTTACCACAAGATTATGGAACAATATTCTACTCTTTTGGGGGTGGTTTGAGGGTCCAGCTTGATGAATCCAGGCTGAGCCGAAAAAGGCGGTTCGACGAAAAAGGTGTCGCTTCGCTCCGGAAGACGCCCATGAAGACAGCACTGGCCAGCAGCAACCTGGGTCAAAGACTGGAACAAGAAACAAGTGGTGACGCCTTGTTGCGAAGGACTCGGTTGCTTTTTGCTCCCCTGCCAAAAGTTTAACTTTTAGTGGTTCAATGGAAAACCCATTAGTTGGCAAAAAGCTAAAGTCCTAACATCCAAGCAAACTGCACCAAAGGCAACAACATGCTGCAGTTTTTGTTTGTCCAAAAGGCAAACAGGTGTCCTTCCCACACATGCTTCGAACTCATCTTCTCGGAACCGAGCCATGGGAGGCTAGTCTTGTTCACACCACCCTTTGGAAAACTCACAGCACAAACACAACTGCAAATCCGAGGGAAAACCAAAGTAGACCACGACACTGGGCTGGTGTGTTTGGGACGGCGTTTGTTTATGACTCGTAAGCCAAGCAACAGCAGAAGAACCTCCCAAAGCCGCACAATACGCCGGAGAGTCAGCACCTGCGCCTGAGATGCAGGGAATACGCTCCTGCAGATCTACATGAAACCTGAAAAACCTTCATTTTGAGAGCAACCTCCTTTTGGGCCTCCTTTTTGGGTTTCATGTTATTTGGTCTTCTTCTTTTTGGGGGGGGGGCTATGGACCCAAAACAACAAAGAGGGATCTCAACTTAGGGCGACCTCCTGGAGGAGTAAGAGTGAAACATTCAAGCCCTATTTATCATTGTCAAAGTCACCGCCAGTAGGTCAAAGGGAAACACGCCCAGTTGCTGATAACCCCAAAAGTCAAACTAATGACCCCAGGAAGCTCACTTCAAACTGGCCCAAATCACAAAAAGTGCGGGCAAACCACCTCGGGGCCAAGGGGTGTGAATCTCAATTGGAAAGGAACTCTTCGGAAAATACCAAACAAATCTCATGATTTCTGTCCAACCATTTTTTAAGGGGGGTCCCAACTCTTAAACTCATGACCACAAATTAGATCACCATCATTGAGAGCAAAAGCGACCCACTTGTCGGCTGTCTGTCTCTGTGTGTGTGTGTGTGATATCAACAGGGTTGCTCCAAAGGGTGTGTGTCTAAATAGGGGAACCAAAGGTTGGCGGTGGTGGTTTCAATTTAACCAAGCTGAAAAGGGTACCTTCAAAAAAACATTCACTTGTAGCAAAAGGTGTCATCCGTCCTCAAGCTCCTGCCTCTGCTTGCTCGAGCGAGGGCTGCAGACGCCACGATACATACCTTGCAGTCTGAGCACGCAGCCGGTCGCCAAATGGCAAGGAAATACCGAACTTGATCCGGCAGGGTGAGCAACAGGAGTCAATTTCTTGAACAAAAGCTGGCCCGTGGGAAAAGAACACGACTCAACCCATCTGCTTCGCACGGAAAGTTTTCAATCTATGGCCCAAGTACTCATCCAGGGAGATGTTGACGCTGCCGTCAGCGTCTTGATGAGCCTGTGACCAGGCTTGCAAAGCTCTAGGACGTTGCACAAGGCCAAAGCATGTTGGGCCATGGAAAATGCAAAGTCGGCGTATTTGTCTCTCTCTTTCTCTCTCGGCTATTGGCAGTCAAAAGCGAGCGAGAAACGATCTATTGAATCGAACCCGCCATAAAGGGCTGACATTTGTCCCCAAAGGCTCAGCCAAAACATCATGATTTTCTTTACGGCTATTCCCCCCTGCCCATAAAAAGCGTTCAACCCCTTGCAACGGGCATTTGGGAAAAAGGAAATGAGTAAACACAAGAGGAAAAAAACGGAGAAAAAACAAAGCCAAAACAAAACAAAAAAGCTCCGGTCCTGGGGCGCGATGCGCTCGAGCTTCGGGCTGGGCAGACTTGTGACCTGTCGCATTCGCCGGATCTTCATAGCATCCAACCCACCCATTTTGGGGATAAACCCACCACTTTTTGCATCGCAGATTGGCGCGGGCCCGAATCTGAAGGGTTGGACGGACACGAATATGGCCTCCGGCCCCCGCGCGTCGCGCCTGGAGACCCTTGGTGAAAGCCCTGACTCGCTCGTCGAAGAGCCCGCGGCTCGAGATCTCGCGACTCGCCTTGGGGAACGAATGGGTGAAAATTGCTGTTTTTTTTTCAATCACTGTGGCTGGTTTTTGGGGTAAAGTGGATGGAAAAAAGCAGCAACTGGCGATCCAGGTTTGTTTGTTTAGGGGACAAACCAAAATGGATCCGCTCCTCTTTTTGGCTTTTACCACAAAACAGAAACAACCTGCTACTTGGCGTTGGTGGTTGGGCCTGTCGGGTTCCGAAATCGGAACCCAAGCAGCTTGCAGAACATTGCCAATTGCAAGCGATCCGAACCCCTTTATTTGAACCCGGGTAAAAACCCTTGAAAAAAGGAGGCAACAGAAGAGGGCTCCGTATAACGGCATATCCTGCCTTGTGGGAGGGAGATTCCTTCTGGTTGGGTTCAAGAGAAACCAAAAGGAAACCAAACAGAAACCAAAAAGAAAGCAAATGGGGTGGCATGACGTAAAGTGGAAACTATTCTGGGGGGGCACCCTTTGAAACAAGCCACGAATTTGAACCTCCGGAGTCATTTCACTGTGGTCTTTGGTCTGAGTGGGCAAAGGGGCAAAGGGGCAAAAGGGCAAAGGGTCGTTTTGAGGGAACCCTCAAACTACGTGGTTTCCTTTCTTGTGTCCCTTGCAAACAATCTCAAAAAAAAGGTAGCCTCTGAAAAAACTCTCCATGTTGGAGGGGGGGGGGGGTGGTTCTCTATATACATTATGATGCGCTAAAATGGCCAGGGTGTCCTTTTCCCACGGCAAACCAGGAAGGGTTCCTCGGCTCCTTGTGTCTGACTAAAAGGTGCTGGACGCTACGATCCCATCCACTAACTAACATAGCCACCGGCACGTGTGTGGGTGGGAGGATATTTCGGTCAAACCAAGGCACCGGGCTCAAATCTCGCATCACCTCTTGCGAAATATGTCCGAAACCTCGAACAATAAAATTCCCAAACAAAGGAGCTGCAGTGTTTGTGAGCTCGCTTTACCCCCAGACCTGGCCATGAAGTTGGCAGGTCGCATCCCTCTCAAGCACAGGGGGGGGCCCCAGTGGCTAAGGCGTGCGCCTTGGATTCTCCAGATTCCTCACTCGCCAGGCTGTAGTCACCTGAGCGCCCGAGCGCGACTCCCCTTCAAAAAAAATCGTCCTTAGAGGGTCCGCTTTGGGTATGCGTCGATGAAGAAACTGCCGGGTTTGGTTTTGTGACCCCAATGTACTCCCCCCCGGGCTCACTTTTTCAAAAGGTCATGGCAATAAAGGGTTAACCTTGTGGAACCTCAAGCAACTTGCCAACAAATGAAATGACAAAATGTGACAGGTCGTTTCGCTTTGGTGTGACACACCCATTTCATCCCCCTCCACCCATCCCCCAAATCCAGCGAACCGAATCCAACGCTGGCCGGCGGAAATCTAGGACAAACCTTTAGCAAGACATCCTCAAATTTACCGCCTGGAATGTACAGCAAACCTCAAATTTCAGGACCCAACTCCCAACCCTCCCACCAAGTCTCTGAGCAAAACCACTCCCCACCACACCCCCAACCACCCCAAAACACCGCCACCCCAAACCACCCCAAAACCGCCCCAAACCGACCCAAACACCCCCAAACACCCAGACTACCAAACAGCCCAAACCCCCCCCAACCAGCCCAAAACCACGCCCAAGCCGCCATCCCACAAACTCCCCGAGCCCAGCCGCCGCTGCGCACGCAGAACCGCGCGATCTCCGCCTCCAGCTGCGCCCCCGGGCTCACCCGCGCCGGGCGCAGGGACAGCGCCAGGAGCCTCAGACCGTCGGTCGGCTTCCCTCTCGGCTTGGAGCCCGCTGGCGAGACTCTGCTGGTTTCCCATCGACCCCCTACAAGAACCAGAGTCTTCCAAATCCCCAAACCACCTGCCCAAACCAGTAAGGGGAACCTGATAAAATGTGTCGGCTGAACCCCCACAATGGCCGGCTGCCCGCTACAAAAACCAGAAGGGTTAGTTGGTTGCTTTTAGGCCACTTGCTCGATGTCATGTTGGTCCACTCAAAAAATCGGATTGTGCTCCATGGTGTGGGGGTTTCCAAATTTCACTGGTAGTGGTTGAGATCCAGGCGGTTCAAACCCAAATCCCAAGACACCAAACTCAATCCCCTGGAATCAAGGCGCACGAAGCAGAACCCCATGGTCGACGGCAGGAGGATGGGCATGTAGTTTTCCATGTCCACGAGCCATTGGGCAAACTGCCGACAGGTGACAAGGCAATCTGTTTCCCTGTTCTGTATATATATATATATATATGTATATATTTATATTTATATATGGGATTCTGTGGGTGTGTCTGAAAAAAATGTCTTTATGTGGGTGTGTCTTAAAATTGTCTTGCAACTATTCGAAAACGGATTCTCTCAAACAAGGCACTCTCCCCCTGCTCCTACACGTATGATATGTGTAAGTGTACGTGTTTGCCCGCGGGCAAACAAACACATGCATGCCACGCACTGCAATCCCTTACCAGGCTTACCTCGCAACACTGCCCTTGGGCACACGATACCCTTCTCTCTGCATTCCAAAGAACCCAACCGCAGTCTTGTCATCTCTGGGGTCACGATTTACAACCAACATCTTATTTTTTTTGGAGGGTTGTCATCAGGGATCCACTTTTTGGCTACCCCAAGATAGACTTAAACCCAGGCGTTCTCCTTTTGGGGGGAATGAACCAACCCTGGGTTTAAGTCTACCCTGGGGAAGTCAAAAAGTAGAACCCTGGTTGTCATAGTCGGCTGATTTCCTGACTCACGGAGGTGGCCACCTCGAAGCTTCGAGAATTTGCCCATCCCATGCCTCTGGCAGGGACCGAAGGAAAGGCAGCGGGGCAGAGCTACCTGCGCCGCACTCTATGCGTAGGTCGTTGAACGTTGGACCCCGGAAACGGGCGGGCCGGGGACGGGGGGGGGGGGGGGAGGAGGGGGTGCTGGTGGGCTTCATTTAAACCAACCTGAAAAAGGGCGCCAAAGAAAACACACAGCCATTGGAAGCGAACCCCAAAGTGCCATCCCATGGTTGCCCGTGGCCCCACGCCCTGCCCCCCCCCACCCCGAGGACGGTTGTTCCAAAGGGCAGGGGCCCTAACCACACTCACCCGGAAAATGTGAGCTCAAAGCAATCTCCTGTCGGGGATCGGACCCGCTTGGGTTCCATGTTCATTTGGGAGTAGGCGAAAGCCCGGTACCGCAGCAGCCTGTCTCTGCCATGTACTTCATCAAGGCCTCCTCAATCGCTTTGTTGACTGCGTCCTGACCGGCGGCTCAAATGTTGGTCGAGCGATCGAGCGCGATTCGCGCGAGTTCCTCTTCTTGAGGGTACACTTTCTGCATGGAAACCAAAAGCAGTCAATTTCCTGAAGCCAGTTCCCTGCCAGGTGCCTTCCCGAAAGTGCCATTTCCCATCGATTTCCATGGGACATCCCTGGAAACGATGCGGTGTTCGCTGGCGCTTCCTGAAAGCTCGCTTCGATGATCCAGGTCGCCGTGTGCGCGGCCAGCAGAAAGAAGGCCAGAAGCCTCGGGCTACAAACGGTGGCTGCATACAATCCAACTCGCTCAGCTTCCCGCGTGGTGCCAAAAGAAGGGGCGTCCGGAAAAAGTGGCGAAAATGGCCCTCCTCCTCGACCTCGTGACTCGCTTGGGGTAAATGAAGAATTCATGTTTGGCACCCAGGGGTTTGGATCGGTGATAGTGGGTATCTTTCCCTGCCAAAAGCCACTGGGCTAATCCCCAAACAAATCCACGCCACCAATCAAAATAACACACAAATTATCCAAACATCCGCATTCCAGGAGACTTCCTTCGATTCCAGGTGACCCCTGGCAGCCGTGCCTTGGGAGCCTCCCTCTTGCCGGCAAGGAGCCAGGCCAGGCCGTCGGAGATCATCCGCTCCTCCAGCCCAACGAAAAGTAGAAACACATGGAAACGAACGAAGCCTAGGAGTGCCCCCCCCAGTTTGAAACCAACGGTGATTGTATGTACCCCCAGAATAGTCGATTTCCTTTCGGCTTAAAACATGTCGAAACCAAGCAAATGGAGGGGGGATATGTATAGCCCCCCCCCCATGCTGGTTGGTTTGCTTTTGAAATGCCGGCAAACGAGTCCAAAGCGGACCAACCGATGTTCGAGTCCAGGTAAAATGGGCGGTCCAAAACTGCGCGACCTGGACAACCGGGGCCCACCAAGCGGCTTTAAAGGCGATCTTCTGCAGTTGGGCGTGGAACTTCCACGCCAGAGTCACCAGGTCCATGTCGGCCTTTTCCGCCTCCTCTGCGCAAGTGCCGGGGGGAAAAAGGCGCTTTTCGGGACGAAGGGCGAGTAAAAACGCCGCCCGGCCCCCCGGAAAGAGGGAGGATCTCAAAGTGCGCACCCGTAAAAGCGGGGATGTGGTGCGCTTCAAAGGAATACCCCACAAATGGGTCGGGCTCAAAGCACCGGGACCCTGGCATCCGGATCCACCCGTCTCCCCAAACGTCCGCGCGCCTCTGAGGAGGGCAGAAAGCTGGAGTTGGCGATGCACAGGGCGACGTCGTTGTGACGGTTGCGCTGCTCCGAATCCAAGGGATCCAGCACCACCTGAAGGGAGGCAGGGAGGGAGGGAGGGAGGGAGGGAGACGGAGGAAGGGAGAGAGGGAGGGAGAGAGGGAGACGGAGGAGGGGGAAAAAAGGGCAAGATAACAAGATTGGAGGTTGTAAGGAAGATATGGCTCGTCAAACCAGCTTGCATAATATGGGAGTCTCTCAACCCGTTGGATGTTGTTTAAAGGAAACCAACCTCTCACGGATCAGACTTCAACAACTGCATTTTGGTCCCCCACTTGATTTGTCCCCGCATCTTCTTTCATTTCCGGACATCCACCATTATGACACTCAACTATCGATCAGGTAGGTGCTTCCAGGTGGACAATGTGGCACCTTGACCAATGAAAGGCGTGGGAGAAGACGAGGCAAAGCAACGCGCCCTCAAGAAATGCACACATCCTTTGGTTGGTGTTTAAAGAGAAGCCAAAGGAACCTACCCAGATAGCCAAGTTTGTGACAATCCAGGTCGGTGTTCTTTTGGGGGAACCAAAAAGAGTTGGGAATGGACGGGTGTGTCCCCTCCCAAAACGGGTGATTTTAGGGGCGTCCTTCTCGCGCCGGACGCGCCGAGCCCCGAGGAAGACGACCCCCCCCCGAAGAAGCTCCGAGGCGTCCGCGGTGGAGCGGCAGATCTTGCGGGGCTTGCGCTGGTACAGCACCGCCAGCTCCGACAGCTCCTCTTCCCGACACTGGGCCTGGCGAACCCAAGCCCAAACTGCATGACGCGGGGTCGTGGCCAGTTTGCCAAGCCTTGGTGATGGTATGGTGGCCCAAAAAAACCTTAAGAACAAACATGCCAACGACAGTGAAGGTAAGTCATACTCTGGACCCCTTGGACCCCTGTTGCACCAAAGCCTCCAGCAAGTGAGTCATCATCAAACCTGGAATTAAACTGGTCTACCCAAAACCCATGGTAAAGAATTCAACGGTTGGATATCCGCACATATTCTAAGCTTCACTTAGTGTCATCGGTTTGTGTCAGGCCGAGACTTTCTGATTCCACCCCGAAAAAAACTCAAAGTGCACTTTAAAAGGGAGCTGAAAAGGAGTTTGGTGCCGTTGACTTGGGTTACCGTTTTCTGGCGGCTTGTTTCCATGAAAACCGCGAAGCTGCACCGGTGCCTTGCAATGTTGTTCGGGTTACCTAAAAGAAACCCCCAACCCGGTTTTGTTCGGCCGACAGAAGCTGTGCTTTCGGAGGGAAGCACCAAAAGAGAAGCGCACGCTACAAACCAGCCCAAAAGGTGATTTCAGCCAGAGCCGGAGATTCCGGACTGTTGAGAGTCCGTTGAATGCGCGGTAACATGTTTTTGGAAACCCAGGTTTCCGCTAGCCATCAAACAGTTACTTCCCCAAAGTGAAGTGCCCCAACTGATTCTTCGGGCTACAGGCCCAGATTCCCAACCTGTGCATCCAGCACGCTCCACGCGCAGCTTCTAAGAAATCACTTGCGCAAAAACGGCAACCTGGAATGCCTAGCCAGCTTTTGGCTTCCCTGAAGCAGCCACCCCCCCCCCTCCCCCTCCGAAATTCCCCCCCAGCTATCTTTTTCTGAAACCAAACCCCTTTTGGCTTTCCTACCTGGCCTTGGGACGCACTTGTCGGAAGAGCGACTCCATCTTCGGCTTCCCCTCGCATCTCGAAAAGTCCCCTGGCTGCAAGGTCAGTCGTGTACCCGCCCCAAAGCGCTCATGTGGTGGTGGTGTGGTCCCTGTCAAGAAACCACACCCATGCGGACAAAGCCACGCAGGCTTCAGCTGCCCCAAGTGGGGCGTGGGAAAATTCAATTTCGTCCCCTGGCTTTTGTGGGAATGAAAACGGTATACACCTGTAGCCCCTGTCAAAACAGTATACCCCGTGCAGCCTGGCAAGTGCCGCTGTGGTTTCAAACGATTCGGCAGCTTTGTGGCAGTCCAAAAGTAGCAAGCGAGCCATCAATTGGTCGGCGCTGCTCAGCTGCCTCTTGTGTCAATCCCCAATAATCCCATAGTCGCGAGGATTCCAAAAAACTTCACCTCTTCTCGAACGGCCCCATGTTTCCGCACAAATCAAGTGGGTGTCTCTTTTTCCTGCATGGTTGGCTTGCGTCTGCTTCGCTTTCGCAGCAACCTATCCTGGCATTGCTGCCAGAGATCTTGAGCCTCCCTGGGTTTGGTTTGGGTGTGCCTCTGCCCCTTTTCGTGTCTTTGTTTGCTTACGATTGGGCCAGGCCCTTTCTTAATGTGTTTAAACAGGCCATGGCATGGAGTAACGCAATGTTAGTCGGACAGTATAGGACCCGACCATCCGTTCAAATCCCCCGGGGTGCCACAGGAACTGCTCAAGCCGTCCCGTGGAGACCATAACAAGTCCGGCTAAATGTGTGTGTGTGTGTGTGTTAAACACCAATTGCTTGACCAAGCTCCTTTGCTTAGGCAACCTTTTCAAGGGTGCTTCACATGTTGCCTTGGAAACCAGAAGGAAACCAGCCTGTGTTTGTCGTCCCCTTTTGGCACAGGTCACAGAGCAACCTTCGACACCTCAAATAGATGTACCAACCTGTGGCCGGCCCCACTTTCTTACCTGACATTGTTTGAACACCCAAGTACGGTTCTACCAATATATATGTGTACAGGGTTAAAACAGGCCTTCTCACACTTCTGAAACCAGGTAGACCATCTACACTGGAGTGAAAGTAGATGGTACAATTTCCTTATTTTAGTTTAACCAATCCCCACATATACTCACATACTCACATCAACCGAGAGTTGTGCCATCTACTTTCACCCCGTACTGAAATAGCCAATCCTGTCGGGTGTTCCCTTTTGGGCGCCTTCTCCCCGGTGCCGTAGACACTTGGAGGCCAGTTTGCAGACCCATTCCCCTAAAACCAACGCCCCAAAACAGAACGCCTCCTTCGCGTCCACCACCCCACCCACCAACCCCCAACCCCCACCAACTGCCACCCCACCCCCACCTCTCGCCCCCCACAGCCGGAGCCATGGACCGCGCCTCGCAGCATGGCGTGCTGGTGGCTCGGGAAGGCGCAGGCGTGCACCGCGGCGAAGCTTTGCGCCGCCCCACCCGAGGAGCCCAGGACGATGCTGGGCGCCCCCGCCTTCAGCCCGCTCACCAGCTGCTTCCTCGAGGAGTAAGGAAAAGGCTGCGCCCCCCCCCCCAAAAAAAAAAAGACCTCTAAGATATCTCACATAATTTATATATAGAGAGAGAGAGTGTGTGTGTGTGTATATAGATATATACAAATATACGTAAAGTATATACATATAGTATGTGTATATATATATATATAGAAATAAATGTGCATCATATAGTACATAATGAAAGGCGCAAATGGCCCTCCATGAGCGCGTTTGGATATCGGTTGTGAGTTGGGGTTCTAGTTTTCATGCGAACCGTGAATCATTCTGCTTTGGGTTTGATCGAGTAAACCGAGCGATCCCCTTTCACCTGAGGAAGCAGCTGAAATAGTTCTCCACTACCAAGCCACCACCTCCAAACCAAGTGACCGAGATCTTCGGGGCCATCTGTGGGAACAAAAGGGCACCCCTTTGAGGCCGGTGGGTGCTATCATTCCCTTCAAAGGCAAGCGGGAAAGGGACGGGGTGATGCCCGCTCCGTTCCGTTCCCTGCGAGCGTCGTGGTATCCAACTCACCGCCCACCACCAGCAGGCCCTGCGGTGCCAGCAGGTCCAGATTCACCTCCCCGTAGCTCGGGTCCTTGCGCCAGGTGAACTGGTTGCTCGGACAGTGGGTAACCAGTTCCCGTCAAGAGGCTAGCACAGATTTGGAGATGTCCCAGGACATGGGTGAGAAATCCATGGGGGAGCCATGAGCCAACTGCTTGTTACTCATAGCCAGGGAAATCCCAACACCGACGCTTAGGAACGAGCTCGAGAGGCCTCGGGTCGTCAGGTGATTCGCTCCCAGGATTTCGTGGTTCGTTGCGAACGAAGTTAGGTCTAAACTTCAATACGGGGACCGAGGTTTATGGCATTTGTAGTTGTTTGTAGCTCTATATGACACAAATATGTATTAGTATAAGCCAGGGAATCAAGGGCTATGAACAGGGAGGTTCCGCTACAACTCTTGGATTCTTGGATTCACGCCTTGCTTGGATCACATGTTCAAAGCTCAACTTTTGGCAGCCGAAACACCCGGGAATGCATTTCAAACCACCAACCGTGGTTTGGGTGTTCGAACCATGAAAATCATAGATGTCCAGTTCCAGTCGGCCTTTCTCTCAACTGTCTGGGGCGCATAAAGCCCCATGAGCCATAGACAAACTTACTTGCTTCCCCAAAAGGACATGGGACAATTAGAATATGGTCCTTCGTCCCGTTGGGGAACTTGAGCTGGCCCCGCCGTGAATGGACCGGGAACAAACCGAAGCCGAAGGGCAACATGGGAATCGTGTAAAAAAAAGCCCTTTCTGAAGAAAACGCACCATTTCCAGTTCCAGCTGTGAGGCATCCTGGCCTGACTGGCAATGACCTGGGTGCCCTGTGGAGCAGCAACAACTGTCTTTTTACCAAAGGAGCACTCAGAGCCCGGACTTCCCGACTCCCAAGTGGCCTCAGTAAAGATGTAGTGGGTCCCGGAGCGGAAGGGCCACCAACCCCAGCGCTTGCTCGCAGACCAGAAGTCTGGCACGTTTTCGGCTTGGCACGTTTTCGGCTTGGCGCGTTTTCGGCTTGGCGCGTTTTCGGCTTGGCGTGTTTCGGCACGGGGCAGACGGAGGACATCCGAGGGCACGTGGAACAGCTTGAAACCCAGGAAAACCCGCGGCGGAAAGAGTTGATGCAATGTGAGCCACGGACAAGATTCTTTCCCAGGACATCGATTTGGGGGGGTGGGGGTATGTTGGCCTCTTGGATTGTGAACTTCCGCCTGTCCTCCTGTGAAGGTTCAAGGTCAGAGCTGCTGGGATTGTTTCCCTTTACCCTTCCACTTGGTGAGACTTCCATGGGAAAACAAAGGGGGCTAGGCCTGTTGGACGTTGTCAGCAACTGATACCCAAGGGCAAAAGGCCCGGGGTCCCAGCGTAAGATAGCAAACTAATGAACCCCTTTTGGGAAACTTGTCTCCAGGACCACCAGTCAGGATCTTGGTGGAGAGGATTGCCCATAGAATGGTGACTTTGCTTCCCTTCAAAGCCATCCCAGAGAGACCCAGGTGGGTATGATGTCTCAAGATAGGGGACCCAAACAAATGGTGTTCCTTTGGTTTCCCACTCAGTCGTGCGTAACTACTCCCAAAAAGAATGGACACAGGCCCGCCGGACCAGGCCCCAGCCTGTGCCCAGTTGCACGGTCTCGCAATTGATGCCCAGTGGCTTGCTGCTGTTTCCTCGGCCCCCGGTCAGACACTGAAAGTTTCCCCAGAGAACGACACCGCCTGGTCTCCGGTGGGGACAATGGAAACATGTTCGCACCCCTCAAGCGATCTGAGAAAAAAAATGGGATTCCCCGGGAAAACTGCGAGATGTAACTTTCCAAAACAAAACAAAAAACTCCGTCTCTCTCCCTCTGTCCCTCTCTCCCTCGCGCCAAAGGCCACACGCTCGTTCCGAGTGTCGCAGGGTGGCCACCATGGCCTGCCCTTCTTCCAGCGCGCTCTGCACATCCCGCTCCTTGTCCAGCGTCCAGTCCTCCGGGCTGCCGCGACAGCTGTCCACCTCGCTGTACCTCGGTTCGTGCGGAGAACGAAAACGATGCCCAAAAACAGAAAGAAAAACAGAGAAAACGGAACATCGTGGACACACAAGAAGCGAAAGCCGTTTGCATCATCTCCCAAGTCTGGGGTGAGCTCTCCCGGGAAACGGTTTGCCGCAAGTCCCCACCGGAAAGTGATGCACGGAGGTGAGTGTCCTTAGGGCAGACAGGAAACACGCAGGCACACCCATCTGCGCAAGGTCCAACTTCCGTTTGGCTTCTCACGCAAAGAGCAAGGAAACTAAAATCCGAACCATGAGTGTCTATCCAGAAATTGGAAACTGGAATCGGCTCTACCTGAAAATCAGCCCCTGGCAGACCCAAAGAATATATCCGAAAGGAACCTAATCAGGGGTCCAATCCCACAAAAGAGATTCATAAAGAAAAATGTGTTTTGTTTGTTTCCACCCCAAATCCTGCTACTTTCCTCTATCTGAAGATGCAACCACGCAAAGGGGAGCCCCCAAAAGGAGATTCGAATCTCATCTCTAAAAATGAGCTTCTGAACATCAAACTGCCCTCTAATGTTTGAACAATCAGCCATTTTTCAGGGCAGTCTGAGCTTGAGGATGTTTTTGTAACAGTTGTTCTGTTTGTGCTGTGGTCACACGACCCCACGTTCAGGCAAGGCGCTTGGGATGGTACGGAGAGTCCACCACCAGCACCACCTCAGTCCAACACGAGCTTCTGGAAACCACAGGTTTGGACCTTTTTGCCCGTTGTTTGTGAAAAACCGTATGGCCGGGAACCGCCAAGTTTGCAGGGACAAGAAGGATCGGACAAAGTGGTGCTGTAAAGCTCAGCTAGCATGTCTGTCTTTGGTTGCTTGAGACTGACGCAATTTGTGGCCTAGAACCCAAAAGTGGGAAACGCCAAGCAACAGAATGGGACCAAAGCCAAGCCAAACATCGACCGGTTAACCCCTGGTTTCTGCCCAGCCTGAACCCTCAAACTACCCTCCAAACATTGGACATTGCCCACCAAAAAGTGTTGGCTTGATTTCCCATCAAGTGCACCTTTTCGCGTCAAAGGTGGTTAAGCCGCCTACGTTGAGAGTCCGGTCTTTGAACTTGTGTGGGTATGGACTGCCTAAAACCCCTCGACCCCCCCCAAAAAAAAAACTCTAACACCATACAGAATTAGAGGAATGTTGAAAGCGGAAAAATATGCTCGACCAACACCGCGGCCAAAAACGAGAGAGAGAGAAAGCATCTTGACAATGGCCGAGGCTGACCAAAGACGTGGGAAAAAGGAAAGAAAAACGAACCGGTTTCATCTGAGCTGGGTCCCGGCGCCATCTCCGGGCCCGCGGACTCCAGCAGCGCCAGGGCGCCGCAGGGCGTGCCGTGCACCTCGGCGGGGCGGGGGGTGGGGTAGGGGGAGGGGGGTTGGCTGGACCCGCTGGACCCTGAAACCGGAGAATACCTGACTTTCCAGACCAAGAACCCAAAAAAAGCAAGGGAAAAGGGGGGGTGACTGAATGGGGTTCTAGTGGAAGGACACATCCAAAAACCAGTTGCTTTACAAGAATTCGGATCCTCTAAATGTATCCCGGCGGTTTCGGAAGCATTCCGTTTTGTTTGAACCCTCCAACATGGCGCGGGGCTTTTGCGTGAAACACTGTGTAAAACGCTAAGATGACACGTTGACGTGACAGTCGCTTCGAAACCAACCATGACTGGGGATTAAAAGGCCCCCGGTTGCTAGCCATGCAGAGGAGAAAAGATCCAGGAAGCACCACAGCAGGTCCGATGGACTTAATAACTTTGGAGCGTTTTGTTGGGTTTCTATGCCCCGCACCAGGATCCAGCAGTTCGAAGCCGCCACCGTCTTCAAGATGGACTTCAGCATGTCCGTGAGGTCCGCGGAGATCTGCTGGTTCGCGCCTTCACCCATCCGAAGGCGGAAGGTTAACCACGAACACCGATTTGTCCGGGCTCGACACCGCGAAAAACCTGTGTGGTTGTTTTTTTCTCCGAGTTCGACACCAGCGAAACCAAAGGATGACAAGCTCATTCGCGCGAGGGGCAGCCTCCCGCGAAAAGGGAAAGCGAGTCCGGTAGCTCCTACACCGCCGCCTCGCAGTGGGATCTCCCATTGGCCAGGCTCTCCCTGATTCTGCAGGAGGGTCAGGGCCTCGTCGAAGGAACTGCCATGCTGCGCCTCCCAGAGTTGCCTGCAGCGAACCAAATGGCCAGGGTCCATGTTGCTTGTCATGGGACTGAGAATCCCCACCTATCCGGACATCTGGTGTTCCAAAGGAAACAACACTTGGCCGTCGCCTGGAAGCTTCAGGCCATCAACATCCAGACTTGTTGTTCGGTCTCCATTTGGCTTCCATTTGCACAAAAAAAAAGAAGAAACAAAAAAAGAACGGGTTCCGCACTTAACCTGATCCTCTCAGTGCCGAAGGGGGGCCGAGCCTCAAAAACAGACACACCCCGATATGGCTCGGGGAATTCCAAAAGCCGTCGCCTCAGCTGTTGCAGGAGGGCCTGATTGCTGGGCAGCTCCGGCGAGATGCTCTGCACCAGCTCCTTGGCTCCAAAATGGCAGACCCTTGGGTGAGGGTTCTTGTCTTTGGAGGTTCCCCATTGAAACCCATAGCCAAATGAGGAAACCTTTGACTGTACGTCGGGGCGGGGGATGGGGGAGGGCTTGCCAGTTGGCGCTTTTTTGGCGCTTGTGTCCAATGACGATGGTTGCTTCGGGGTCATTCCCGTTTGAATGTGCTCACAAGGTGAACCAAAGGCTTTAAACATGGGACGGAATTCAGCTACCCTTCTCGAGGAAGGAATGAGAACCACCCAAACCCCATTGACTTTGGGCTCAACCACCCAACGCAATGAACCAATGGCCCAGCGGACGACTGCAGATCAGATCACAAAACGATCACCTGAGCATCACTGAACAGACCCACAAGTAAAGGGATCACCCACCGGACCAAAAGACCAACGGACCCAAACAACGGATTACACGGATCACAGAGATCACAGGGACCAGGTTCTGATTGCGAGCTTTTGCTGGAAAGTTGGGCTGGTTTCAAGGCCTTCGCCTCGAACCCGCGAGACCCGGGGCCCGAGGCGCCAGAGTCACGAGGTCCGCGCTGCCGCCCAGGAACCGCAGCAGCAGCCGGGGCCGTGGCAGACGCCACTGGCGCAGCGCCGCCTCGAGCACCTCCTTGGACCGCAGGTCGAAGCCTCCACAGGGTGGAAGGTTGGGTTGGGGGTGGGGGGGGGTTGGGGGGGGTTTGGTAGGATTGGGGTGAGAGGGGCAGGGAGGAGGGGGTGGGGGGGTGGGGTGGGCCAGGTGGGTTGGGTTGAGGGTGAGTTGGTGGAGTGTGTCTGGTGGTTGCGGAACAGCCCATTGCGAGGGTGTTCTGATGTCCGCAGCGTTGAGTCAGCTTTTGCCTGGCCCAAGAAGCCACCAGAACCTACTCGAGACCAGCCACCGCCCCAAAAAAAACCGGGGCGGGGTCCCAACCTGCCAGCCTTGAGGCACCCAAAGGTACTGCTGCAAGTGCCGGCCGCAGCTGAACCTCCCGTGCCGCAGCTCGGACCTCGTTCAGTCAAAAAGAACGGGCTCAGGCCTCGAACGCCCACCCTCGAGAGAAATGCGAGACACGCCACTTTTGGGCGTTCGCTTTCCTCTCTCCCCATTTCAACCACCCAAAAGGCGTCTCAGAAGACGCCTTTGGGGCGCCCGGCACTTCTCCTGGAGGTGCCTCAATGGGATCAGCCGAGCCAACTGCAGCACGGCACAAATAGAACGGCCGGGCCCCTCAAAAAAGAACGAGACCGCCTTCAAAATCCGCCTCCAAATGACTTTGATTCTTGGATTACCAAATTGAGACTTTGCGGGTGAATTGCAGAGTGACTTGATCACTCTTTCAAAAAGGGACAAGTTCAAGGTTACATTTTTCCTCCAAAGGCGATTCAGATAACCGCCAAAGTCGGCACGGTACTGCTCCCAGAAGGGCGCCCAGCAAAGCCATGGATGAAACACTTTGACGTTAGTGAGGGTCCGAAACAGTGCGGGCCAAAGTCTGGGCAAAAAGCCATGGAACTCAACCAAGTCATCGCTTTCAACATCACTCCACCAAGAGGAAACGCATCCAATAGTGGCCCGAGCAGTGATGGTTAAATGGGCCAAACAGGGAAATATGGGGACCCCGGTCTGTACTCTGATGGTCCGGAGAAACGCAGGACAAAATCAGCTGCGTGAATGCCAAACGCATCGGAGTACTGCAAAGCATCTGAAAACCAAGCAGTGCAAAGCGGCGGGGGCCAAGGCTATTGGGATCTGCTCCTGAGTGTGGGGTGGCAAACAGAAAGCACGTGCGCGCTCACGCGCGCGCGCATGCGCAACAAAAAACACACACCATGGCCTGCCAAAGCAAGAGCTACCCTTCCCTCAACCGGAAGATCCATCTGGATGCGCTCAGCTGGGCCAAAACGCTTGTGCTCCACGTGGATGTGTCTAGGACAGACCCATTCATCTGGGGTTTTGCGCCAGTCCCTCGCTTCGCTCGTCCCAAGCCCTCCCTCAAATGCCCATGCCTGGTATTTCATCAGTTGCGTTGAGACCTGGCCATATGAGCAGCCAACTTCCGCTGATATGGGTGTGAGCTTTTGTTGGGAACCCTTTAGTGAACATCATCTAGCTGGGGATTCATGTCCACCAACCACCTGCTTCCTAATATCATGCATAGCCATATCGACCTGAGGTTGCCGAACCCTGCGTTGCGACATTCTCGTGGCTTCCAGCCTTCCCGCTCCATGGGAAGTTCTCAAGCGAAACCCCGTATGGACTGCTACACAAGCGGGTGAGTGCTTTTTGAGGGCAGCCCTTTCTTGGTTGCAAGGGAGGCCCAACCGAAAAGCACCGTTTTTGGGGTTCCCTCTTTGGTACAACCCAAGTAATGATTCAGCAGGCAAACCGATGCGTTTTCACCTCCCGTCACGTCGTTTTCGGCTACGTTGAAAACGAGGAAGAATGTGCCGCGGGCGTACCCCCATGCTCTTCAGGATTCCTTCTTCAGATGGGCCAGTGCCCTGGGAACCTGTGCGGTTTCTAAAGAGGACGATGGGTAAAGTTTTAAAGGGAATGGGGAATCAACCCTCCCGGCAAACAGAACCCACAGAAGGGTCCAAACCAGGGACCCCCTTCCGTCAGATTCGCCAGGGTTGGATGGGGCTCAAGATCAAGAGACTCCGTCACAGTCACACAAGTGCCAAATTTGGACCCCACCCATGGGCTGGAAATTGGACATTGAGTTTTGCTTTCCTCTCGTTTTACCATACACAAGGGTATCAAAACACACACACACAGACAAGCATCACCGCGCTCCCCAGCCCCGCCTGCCCCCAGCTGGCGCACAAGTCTTCCACCTGCAGAAATGGTAGAAATTCTTTACATCCGATACATGGGCCCAGAGCTCAAAAGTGCAAACCAGCGATGGGTCTTTAACTGGAGGCTTGCTGAGTCCGGAAAAAGACATGCGCGAATCAAATGGTTGATGGATTATCTTTCAGATGTTTCCCTTGACTCATGGCCAATATGCCCGGGTATAGTGAGAAACGATAAGTGCGGCCACCTCCCGTCAGTCGTTTGATGCTAGCGGACCGGGAAAGGTGGCGCAGGCCTTGACCTTCAGGTCCGGTGACCAGTCGACGCAGAGGCCATCCACCTGCCAGTCCCTGTGATTTTGTGGGCAACAAATGGAATCCATTGGATGCGGGAGAAAAGCGGTGATTGTCCCGACCAGCACAAGGGATCGAAATCCGCTTGTTCCCAGCTGTACGGGGCCCTGACCTCATCTTGACCCCGAATGTTAAGCAGAAGTCAAATGAATTCCAGCAGAAATGGGGCCTGCTGTCCACGTTTGGTTCAAAGGGCAAATGAAACCTGGGACCAAGTTCAAGCCATCAACCTTGGTTGACTACCACAGCTCAGGATTGCGGACAAGTTGGTCTGAGCAACCTAACAACCCCAAAAGAAGCCTCCTTCAAACATGGCTTTTGGGGTGTGTTCGTCTTTCAAACGGAGATTCTTCAAACACCTTTCTTTTCTGTAGGAGTACTTCACTAGTCTGGCTCATGGGAAACAGGCAGAGTCGATCGCGCAAGAGCCACGGTCAAGCCTGCATGAGCCATATGGGTTTCTCGGAATCTGCAGAACTCCTGTGTTGGGTCCATGACCATCCCCAAGTAAGAGGGCTTTAAAAAAGGGTGTCAAAAGACCATGGCACGCATATTTTCGGCAGTCACATCAATTTCACCATCGCCTGCCTTTCTCATAAGATCATCCTTGTTCACATCCATGAGCTCCAGGCGAGTGCTTACCTGGTGCAACGTGTCAACGCTTTGGCAGAATGCGTTGGCAGGAGTCAAGGTTATTTGCATCGATTGAACCCCAGGCACGCCCCTACTGTGAAAACCCACCATGCTTAGGGCTCAAGTCTACCTTCGAACATGGAACCCTGTTTGTCTTGCAAACTCAGAAGCCCTCACCCACAATGCAGTGGCCAGCCTTCTCAATGGGAGCGCACAGTCCGTTCATATTCTCGCAGACCTAGCACAAATGATCGTGCTGTCGGTAAAAGCTGATGGGGGACCTGCGATTATGAATAAGGCATGACAAGAAACTCTGGGGAATTCTGCTTCAAACGCATCACTCTTAAGATGTTCACATCACCGCGAGCAAATACATCCAACCACACCTGGTTCAAGGCCTCCCTCACAACGCCTGCACTTCTGGTCCCTGAAGCTTCCGTCTCAGCGCTGCACTTGTTGAAGAGGGGTATTGACCTCCTGCATCTGCTTCTCCTTGCCAATGGCTCGAGAAACGCCTTGCAAGTACCTGGCACTTGAAGTGCCCCCAAAATGGTGCTTTCCTTTGAGTTCCCATCAAACCAAACCCCCAAACAAAAGGGCACCATCAAACAAGACGGTGAGCCTTCTGCTCTAAAAAGGAAACACCAAAAAGGGCCCCATATTTCGGCAACCTCCTACTCAAAAGGTTTTGACAACACCAAACCCATGTAAAGAATCTAAAGGGTTCCGTTCCCATTTCTGGTTGGGTCTGTCCCCTGATACCCGTCACTTACCCAGGTCTTCATTAAGCTTCTGAGCGCAGTGGAATCCCTTCGCTTCAGTCCGGGTCCTGAATGCACTCCACTGCATCATGAAGAGCTTTTAGCTCCTGGGCGAGCCGAGCTTCAAAAAATGATCCTTGCCCAGTGCCCATCGTGTTCTTGGGGTGGATTCCAAGGTCATAGTTGGTTGTGCAGTGCTGCCGTTGGTTGGCCAGGTCTGTCAAGAAGACCTCAGACAATTCGTTACTGTTCCACATAGCTCATTAAATGGTGCTTGATGGTGGCTTGGATTGGTGATTTGCGGATTTGAACCCCTGGTTATTGAGTAAAACACATGGAAAGACGCCTCCTGACCTCCAAACCACCCATCCAACCCACCAATTCAAGGGAAGCTGATACAAGCTCTTCGGCCGTCTACCATGTCCTTACAGAACTCCTGGTAGCTTAGCTCCCCCATACCTCCAGCTCCTTGGCTCCCTTCAATCCGCCAGCCAGCCGACCACCCCTCCGCCTCGTTGGAACGGCTCTTCAGCTCCGTCAGCAGCTGCTCGTGCAATAGCTCCACCGTGGACCGCATGTCTCGCAGCTCCTGCGAAGAGTCGCGGCGTCTTCGATATGCTTTTGTTTCCTGTGTTTTTTCTTTTTTCGGAGGTAGCCCTTTTTCGGTTGGTTTCAAATGATGATCAAAGGAAAACCCACATTTCGGAAAATCCCCCAGTGTTGCACTAGGTTGAAACTTGGTGACGAGCATTCACACATCTACACGTGAGGCCCCCCAACCGGCTTTTGGTGCCATTGCACACGCTCTGCATCACCAGTGCTAACAGCCAACCAGTGTCAACCTTATGTCGTCCTTGTTCACATCCATAAGCTCCAGAGAACTGCTTTCTTCGATGGGTGGGCCAGCTTTCTCAATGGGAGCACGAAGTCCACCAAGATTCTCGCAGACCTCGGGGACACGCACACACAAGCACACACGCACACACACCTTGGAAACATAAGCTGAATCCCCCTGCAAGCACTCAGCGCTGAACTTGTTGGCGAGGCTCAAGAGAACGAGTCATAGTATGCACCTCCTGCGTCTGCTTCTCAGATGTTCGTTCTTTACGGAAACGAGTCACTGTCGAAACCTGAAAAAGGGGGCCCGCGCATATTTATGGTTGGGTCCCCCCGCTTCCACCCTTCACTCATGTTCTGATTGTGGCTCAAATGGGGCTCTCTTAAAATGGCGGACAACCTTTTGCTTGGTAGCCAAAAGGAAAGCAACAGGAAAAGAACTGTTTTAGGGGACCAGTACTTTGAGAAATCGCCAAATGAGAATCTGTTCGCTTGCAGTGTCCGGGTCCTGAATGCGCTCTACTGCATCTTGAATAGCTCTAAGCTCCTGAGAAAAGAGAGAAAAAAAAGGCAAGCGGCGCATGAGCCACACCCAACATTCAGTTCCCCAAGGGTAAACCTTACATGTCATAGTGCGGTTGGCCTTTGAAGAAAGCAGTCGTCCTTTTACCAGGTACACTGGACGCCTCGCATGGCTTGTAACTTTTCAAAATGCACCAGGTCGGTAGAAAATGAGAAAGTCCTCTTTTCCCTTCCAACTCCCTTCAAAACCTGGTACCGAGACCGCCGAAACCAGATGTTTACCTCCCCGTTACCTTTTGGCACGCAACAAACAGGCTCTTCGAACAAAAACCCTCCCCCTTCCCAAACGCATGCCATCGTTTTGTTGGCTTGGATCGCCATCTCCGTGCCTCGTTGGAACGGCTCTTCATCTCCGCGAGCAGCTGCGCGTGCAAGAGCTCCACGGTGGACTTCATGTCTTGCAGCTCCTATGTAGTGAATGGCCCCGAAAAAAGCCACGATCAGGATCCCGGGATTTAAACAAGAAGACTCATGGCAACATAAAAGAAACTCATCATGGAATGGCACAGCCGGGTGTTTCTCAAAATGGCTTACGACCCCCTTTGTATGATTTTGAAGGTGAACCAAAAGAAGTCCATCGAGTCGTAGGGGGCCGTTTTGAGAACCACCCACTCAGAACTCACAGCCGTCTCGCTGCCCTCTCTCGCTCCTTGACGTCACTTTCGTCCTGGCCAGTTCGTGTAAAGCCTCTTGAACTCCGACGGGCAGAAAACACGGGTTCCAACTTTAATCCCCGGGAAAACATGCACACCTGCGGGCCAAAAATGATGTTTAGAACCACGCCTTGAGGGGAAATATGGGGGCCCCTGCCAAACCACCCTTCAGTCGAAAAATGAAAGTGGCCCGTCGGGTGTGTCAACCAGACGCCGTCCCAGCACAAGTTGCCCATATCGTTTGTTCACTTCTCTCCGGCGTGCGACCGGCACCTCCAATCACCCTTAGCAGGCTGTCCTTGCTTGGTGCTGCATCGGGCACACGCGCCTCCAGGAAACGAGCCAAAAGGAGTGGGATGGGCAACGTCCAATCCTGGAACCCGGTGTCCAACATCCAAACTCACAGGTCAAGCATGAATGAGGGGAGCTGCTTGCAACAAAAGGAACTGGCCGCAACAAGCAAACAAGCACAGAAGCAAAGAAACAATGAAACAATTGACACAAACAAACGCACGAACGAACAAGCGAGCCAGCCAGCCAGCCAGCCAACAAACAAACACACAAACAAACAAACAAACAAACAAACAAACAAACAAACAACAAACAAACAAGCAAGCAAGCAAGCAAAATAACAAACAAACAAACAAACAAACAAACAAACAAACAAACAAACAAACAAACAACAAACAAACAAGCAAACAAACAGGCAGACAAGACAAACCAGACACACAACCAAACAAACCAAACAATACTCAAAACAACAAAAGACAAAATACATACATATGTATGTATGTATGTATGCATGCATCCACGCAATGAATGTCTATGTATGTGTGTATGTATGTATGTATGTATGTATGTATGTATGTATGTATGTATGTATGTATGTATGTATGTATGTATGTATGTATGTATGTATGTATGTATGTATGTATGTATGTATGTATGTATGTATGTATGTATGTATGTATGTATGTATGTATGTATGTATGTATGTATGTATGTATGTATGTATGTATGTATGTATGTATGTATGTATGTATGTATGTATGTATGTATGTATGTATGTATGTATGTATGTATGTATGTATGTATGTATGTATGTATGTATGTATGTATGTATGTATGTATGTATGTATGTATGTATGTATGTATGTATGTATGTATGTATGTATGTATGTATGTATGTATGTATGTATGTATGTATGTATGTATGTATGTATGTATGTATGTATGTATGTATGTATGTATGTATGTATGTATGTATGTATGTATGTATGTATGTATGTATGTATGTATGTATGTATGTATGTATGTATGTATGTATGTATGTATGTATGTATGTATGTATGTATGTATGTATGTATGTATGTATGTATGTATGTATGTATGTATGTATGTATGTATGTATGTATGTATGTATGTATGTATGTGTATGTATGTGTATGTATGTGTGTATGTATGTATGTATGTATGTATGTATGTATGTATGTATGTATGTATGTATGTATGTATGTATGTATGTATGTATGTATGTATGTATGTATGTATGTAATGTATGTAATGTAATGTAATGTAATGTAATGGAATGTAATGTAATGTAATGTAATGTAATGTAATGTAATGTAATGTAATGTAATGTAATGTAATGTAATGTAATGTAATGTAATGTAATGTAATGTAATGTAATGTAATGTAATGTAATGTAATGTAATGTAATGTAATGTATTGTAATGTAATGTAATGTAATGTAATGTAATGTATGTACGTACGTACGTACGTACGTATGTATGTATGTATGTATGTGTACATATATATATATACATACCCATACCTCTACGCATTTGCCAGTGAGACTCTAGTCAGCTGACCAGAGAACCAAAGTGATGTTGCGAAGGTTGGAAAGGCAGTTTCAGGAGGTCGCATGGCCTCCTCCTTCATCATTTGTCGACCTTGGTGGCATGGCAGCTCTCGCTGTGGCTTCCTCTAAGTCGGTGCCCGTTTTGGTTCTAAAGGAGAGGCCAAAAGGAACGCAGGACGAATTTTTTTTGTGGGTGCCATAAGCGAAATGGCATGGAAAATCAGTTCAATGAGTTCCTGGTTTTTGTGGGAAGGTTGGAGCTCGTCCCATGGTGGTTTCCAAACCTTATATCCCATAAAACCCAGCCCAACCGAGGCCGTAGCACAGGCCTTCCGTCTGTGCTCTCACCTTGATCCGATCCGGATAGCGATCGACCCGGTTGCGAGTCAAGAGGATTTCCGGGGTACAGGATGTGGCAACCTCCCCATGTCCCACAAACCAAATGCCAGTTTCAGGAGGTCGCATGGCCTCCTCCTTCATCATTTGTCGACCTTGGTGGCATGGCAGCTCTCGCTGTGGCTTCCTCTAAGTCGGTGCCCGTTTTGGTTCTAAAGGAGAGGCCAAAAGGAACGCAGGACGAATTTTTTTTGTGGGTGCCATAAGCGAAATGGCATGGAAAATCAGTTCAATGAGTTCCTGGTTTTTGTGGGAAGGTTGGAGCTCGTCCCATGGTGGTTTCCAAACCTTATATCCCATAAAACCCAGCCCAACCGAGGCCGTAGCACAGGCCTTCCGTCTGTGCTCTCACCTTGATCCGATCCGGATAGCGATCGACCCGGTTGCGAGTCAAGAGGATTTCCGGGGTACAGGATGTGGCAACCTCCCCATGTCCCACAAACCAAATGCCCCATCTCAAGCTTCCTTACTGGGGGCAAAGGGCGGGGGTCCGATTTTATCTCTCGGGGGATTGCGGCGGAGCTCCAAATTCCTGGCTTCACAACCTACATCAGCTTCCTCTGAACAAATCCACATACTTGTTTGAACAAATCAAATGAAGTAGATCACTGACCGCATGCCCACCATCCCATGCCTGGAGTAGCGTTGTACCTTTAAGGAGCATTGATGAACCAAACTGATTGGTTGAAACAAAGGGACCTGAAAATCGGCTTCGCAAAATGGTTCATGTCCTTCTTGAAAAAATCTCGAAAAAAAAAAAAAAAAAAAAAAAAAAAAAAAAAAAAAAAAAAAAAAAAAAAAAAAAAAAAAAAAAAAAAGAGAGTAAACTCACTTCTTATTGGGCCCAAAAGGTGACCATTAAATCCACGACAAGGGGAAACATCGTTGGAACCTTGAAAAACCAAGTAGCAAAGGTTCCGCACACCCGAACAAATCAATCCAATCGTTTCCTTGGTCCCCCGAGGAAAGAAGCCCACCAAACACAAGTTCCCCATATCTCCCCTTCAAACATCCCTGAGCCGATCCGCAAGCCGGTCAGCGCGGCAAAACCCGTCCGAGGCCCATGGCCGTGTTGATCGCGTGGTGCACGCTCTCCTCGAAGCCAGAAGGGAAGGTGAACGCCGCCCCAAAATTCGGGCTGTGTCCAAGGAATTTGGACCCAGCATCCTTTTGAGTCTCCTGTACACCAACCTCAGGGTGCCGAGCCTCGCCCAAAAATGGGGGGCCCTTTTGGCATTTTGGCGGGATCTTGCAAGTCCGCAAATGGCCATCGACCTCTTATTGGACCCCTTTGAAGGGTGTCTGGCAGTTTCCCAAAACAAACGTACCAACTCGCAAAAAGGACCCTTGTTCCAGGGCTGGCTTCAAGGAAAACCAAAGCAATACCACAAAATTGGAAATTATTGGGAACTTTGATGAATACACCCCCTCAAAGAGAAACAAGTGGAAAACCACCATTTCGGAGGTCCCTATTTTGGCACGTACCCATGTCTCCTTGCTCTCTTCCACGGTGTTGCCGACGTGGTTCACTTCCGCACCTCACTTCAACTTCCATTCGAATCGCACCAGTCGACAAAAAACCACGCAGGTGGCACTTAGAACGCGCCAATGCGCAAATCCAACCATTGTTTTTCTTTAAGAAAAGAAAAAGATCCCTTCATTCAGGCTTGCAGGGCCAAGTTTCCAAGGGGCCCATCCAACCAGGTTCTTCAAAACTACGCGATGCCATGGGTTGGCTGGGTGTGTTGAAGGGTTTGCTAGGAATGAATGGCCTAGATTGACGAGCAAAGCAGTCGCTTGCACAAACTACTCACTAGCCGGCATTCAGCAGGCGCACGCGGGTGTGCTGCTCGTTTGGCCATGGCGCGTGCAGCGCTGACCGTGTGCTCTTGCATATGATGTGTGCGTGTGTGAGTGCGCGACGCTGCGCATGTGGTCTTGGGCGTGTGCGCCGATAGTTGCGCTGGCGAGCGCAAGGCGTGGGCCCGAAAGAACAACCGGGCAACAGGGGGACCAACAGACTTGCTGTTCGCAGAACACCTCCAAATACCTGTCGTCCTTCAAAATGGAAACATTTCCTTTGCCAGCCCCAATGGGTCTCACGTAACATTCCGCATGATCAGGATGTTTGCTCCATGCACCTCTCAGGGCTGGCACATGGCAAGTTGAGGGCTGGTTCAGGTCTGGACGACTTTATGACCTTGTGAGAAAGATCATACAAACAAGGGTAGGACATCTGGATCAAGGCTTCATCTGCTCTATCATACGTCTGCCAAATGATGATAAAGCCCACACTTCCTATCACTACCAGCACCCGTGGTTGACAATCTTATGTCTAGAACCTTGAGTCTAGAAATCACGACCATCATTGTCAGCATCTGGATAATAGACTTGCCAGACCCTAGACGTGTGTGTGTGTGTGTGTGCGCGTACCAAAGCAGACACATCTCACGAACCACCCCAAAGCTCAAACACACGCACACACACACATATATATATATATCCATATATATATATATATATGGATGTGTGTGCGTTGGTTGTGTATATAGCCGGCTGATTGGCACTTGAACGGCCGCAACCCTTGTTTTCACTGTCCTCCAAGCTTGCCATCCATATAACGCAGCACTTTCGCTGCCTCCGCCCAGCGATCCACTGGGCCAATCCAATGCCTCCACTGCGATGAAGAAAGGGATTCGTCCAGAGCTGAAGAGTAGTCCCGGCGGATGCAACGAGCATCTTTCTTCGCTGCTCCAAACCAGGCATCCAGCATCGCCACCCACTGCATCGAAGGTTGAGCCATCTGCATTGCTGTGGCGGCACACTTTGGTGAAGCACGGCCCCCATCACGGCATCCATGGTTCACAGCGCCCCGCTTCTGGCCATCTCTCAAGGCTCCGTAGGCGCCATCTGTGTGCTGCAGGACGTGGTCACCCAGCAAACTCCGCTGCTTGCAGGCTGGTCTCGAAGTGCGGCCCGCTCGGACGGATCTCCACCACGGAACCCCAAAGAATCCGCGCCTGGGTGGTCGCTCCACCGAGCAGCCGTCGATTGACTTCGTAGCGGTAGTCCATGAAGGCCGCAGCGAAAGGACCTGGCGCTCCGTATGCATGGCATACTGAGTCCCTGCCATACAGGTCACTCCTGGGGCAGAAAAACTCAACTAGCCAATTTGGATCAATCCCTTGAGCCAAAATTGGCATAGTTGGAACTGCAGTAAGTAATGATACCTTGAACACCCAAGCCTGCCAGACCTCATTCAAGAATACATATACACGTGTGTAGATGTATATACACACCTTGGGCTTCCACCATCATTTTTGCTCCCAACCAGAAACCACCTCGCGCCGCGGCGGCGCCGGGCGCTCCGGCGCAGCTGCTGCACCTCCGCGCCCAGCTCCGCGAGCACCTGGCGCTCGAACGGTGCGAAGCCCCGATTGGGGGCGACCCATGAACTTTGGGTTCGAAGTGTTCCTGGTTTCTTCTGGCCATACAAAAACGGAAAAAGGGGGATCAAAAAAAAGACTCACCACAAAAGTGTTCTTGGAATCCCTGAATCCCTGCTTCCCCTGGGCCTTGGACTTTTCAAGGATCAAGTGGCGGCCAAATCGTAAGCATTCAAAGGCTGTCTGTCCAAGTATTTGGGAATCGGTGCGCGCTGAAACCCAGGTTCCCAAAACGACCAACCACGTTGAGTGATGTCCAGCCATCTCATGGCTCTCTTTGCGAGCAACACTAACTCGAGATAAGATCTGCCCACCCAAGCGCTGAGGCAGCAAACCCGCGCCTCGCCAACCTGGCACGAAAAACATGCTCAATGAAACAGGACCTTTGCTTTGCTAGTTCTCAGTTTGTTACTTTCCTTGTTGCTTTGTGGGTTTCTCAGCTTGCTTGTTGGTTTGTTGGGTTCTTGATACCAAGCCGAAGCCGCAACAGCACGCCTTGATGAAAAAACAGCCAAGGTGGCAAGACCTCCTTCAAGAGTTGTCCCAAGGCGGGGACGCAAACAGCACGCAAAGAATAGTGCTAAACCGCGTTTGCAGTGAGAACACTCAAACGCTCATCGAACCGGTTGGCACAAGCGCATTTGCCGTGACGCTCGCAGTCTGAGTGGGATCCTGCTCTTTGTAGCGTGGTTCGGTCTCAGGCATGTTTCGGCAAAAGCACGAGGCCGAATGCGAGGGAAGCAGGGAGGCATCAGCCACTCCGCCACGAACGGGACTCACGAGCTCTTTGCGGCAGAAATGGCAGCTATGTCCTGGTTAACCTCGACCCTGGATTCATGATTCTGTAGGGGGGTCCCAGGGATTCCTTTCCAGAGAGGGGGTTGACATCACACACGCGTCGGTGCCCAGCCCTGTCAGACGGAACTGAGATTGCCAACCCAAGTCCGTGCCTCTAAGGCTCCCAGCTCCTAGCGACAGGTACTTGATCTTAAGTTCGGGTAACAAGGACCACAATTAGCCCTCAGGCAGAATTCATTGAGTTTGAGTTGATTCCTCGGATTGGCACGGTCCTCCGGTTTAATGCGCAGTTGTGATTTCCTCAAATGGTAGTGTGCGCCCAAATGTGGGAGCTTAGATAAACATGTTGGCTCGCGGCAAAAAGAAAACGTCAAAAGTATCATGGGTCTCGCACGGCAGAAATGCTCACAACGCCATCGTAAAGCATGCGCACATGCGCGCATGAAGGTGCACAAGCAATCTCATGCCAAGACGGAACATCGGCGCTGCAGACACAAAGCCACGCAAATGAGACAGCCCAACCAGCATCCCGCCGCTCCTCTGCTAAAAATCCACCTTGTGGTGGCGCAAGCGGCTCCATCACGGCCTCAAAGAGCCACTGGTTCCGCTTGCAAGGAGCGTCTTGTTCAATCAGCTTCCAAATGATTGGCGTGGAGTGTATGAACCAGTCGACCTGGACAGGGCACCAACTAAGACCCAAGCTCCGGGGAGGGATTGAGCCTAGGCGGGAGGCCATTGGGTCAAAGGACCGGACCAGCCTCTCAAGAGCTGAGGCCCCAGCCCCATGGAAGGACCCGGCCTGCGAGTCTTTACCGATGGCTCGCAGACTTACCCCCCAAGCGTGGACAGTTTTCGAGAAGTCTGCCTTGATTTTTGGGCCAATCCCGGAGCTGAGGCCAGAGCTGAATGGAAGGACCCAGCCTGGCGCGAGGAGCGCGGGCACTGCGCGACACGAATCCAAAGGCGGGAGCCAAGGCCCCAGCCCTAGGGAATGATTGCCGCCGGCCACCTGGGTCGACCTTGGTGTGCATGCGCGCGAATCGGAGCTGCCAAAGTGTCAGGGAAGGACCGAGCCTGCCAAGGAATACACTTCAGTATGTGATTTTATGTTAATTTTTTGATTTTCGAGGGATCTCCCCACCGCCGGTTCCATGTTGACCAGAAATTCACCAGTCGGATTTGAGGCCCAAGCCCCATGGAAGGATCCAGCCTGCGATGCGCGAGATGCCAAGAGACACATTTGAAGAGCCGCCAGAGGCCCACGCCCCCGGGAAGGACTGCCGCCTTCCGCTTGGGTTTGCCTTGATCGCAGGCCAAGCTTCGGTTGAGATTCAATTGGAACCTCATGCCTCTCTGTTCCCGTTTTACCCAGGTCCCCCCCTTTTCTGAAAGGCATAAACCTCAATGGGTCCAGAGACAAACTGGGTCCAGCTCCACTTGCTGAGGTTCAAGCATAGGACTGAGACCCGAAGGAACCAGCCCGGTTGAAGGACTGAGCCTGGTGCAGTACCGTGAGGCAAGGCCAACATTGGCCAATTTCAGTTCCATTTGCTCACCTTGATCCCGCTTGGGTCAAACTTAGCGTTCTTGTTTACGCATGCAAGGGCGATCGGAGTTGAGGTCCAAACACGATGGCAGGACTGCGCCTGATGCAGTTGGCGAGCGACACGTTGAGCAAGGATGGGCCCTCCCATTCTGGTCAAATTCCCTCACACTTAGAAAACACTTGGCCCTCAGCGCTGCACTGTTGTCGGTCGCGACTGCGAAGGTGTCGCAGATTGTGCCATGACACGTTCCCACTCATTCTGCTTCTCCTTCAACTCAAGCACTCTCCCGCCATCTCACTCGCCACTGGCTTCAACAGCAACTGAGCAGAGCCCAAAACCCATTGACTTTGTTTTGGGCGCTGCCCAATAGAAAATCAGCCTCGAGATTGAGCGGGCAAGGTGTCAAGTCCTGCATGCGCTCCACAGCACCACAGATGGCTTGCACTCCCTGGCGCAACGTAGTTGGGGTCACAAAGCTGAGTTTCAGGTCACCATCCCAACACGTTCGCCCCCCGCACTGCTTCCCAGTGCGTACGGGGTTGTCTTTTTTGAAGCTTGGTGCCCTTTCTGCGAAATAAACCAGAAAGAAAAACCGAAACCCATTCCATCACAACCCATGTTCAAGGCGTCATCTCGCATAGGTTCAAACCCAAAGCGCCTCCTTTGAGCAGCTCTTCACGTCAGTGAGCAATTGCTGATGCAGCTTCTCCATCGTGGACTTCATCTCCTGCAATTCCTGCAGGGTTCGGTACAGGATGCGTGTCAGGGATTAGGGTTTAGGGTTTAGGGTTAAAACCAATCCTGGCACCAGCAAGCTAAATACTTCTGAGGGAAAATGGAATGAACGAGTTGAACCACCTTTGTGACAGGACTTGACCTAGTGGTGGAAAATCGAGGGACGCCAGCATAGAGTTATAAATTTTGTTCCCAAGATTCCCAAGGATTTGTTTGTTGGTTTCTGGAGCTGAGGTAATGATCGATAGGCATAGTTGGGGGGGGGGCACCCGTATTGAATTAAAACTACTAGATGTGAAATCGGGCCAAAGCTCATACTGAATAACAACTTGATTTGAATGTTTCAGTGCTTCCTCCCCACACAAGCCGCTTTCCACTGCTTCAGTAAGCTAACGCACTTCTCGCCCTTCATGCCTCTTGAGCAAGTGGCTCGACCAGGATGTATATACACGTAGCGTGCTTGCCCGTTAGCAAAAAGTCAGAGCTGACAAACTCTAGCAGCTTGCCGTAGAACACCACGTGTCTGAATCAAGCGGCGAACGGGTCCTTCTGGTCGTTCTCGCCCATCTCGTCCTGGCCATCGGGATCAAAACATATTGCTCTCTGCAAATTGGCCAAAGGTCGAGGACGCCCAAGCCGGCTTTCCAAAAAGGCCGGATCTGCCGAAAGAGCATCTTTGTCTTGCATACGCTTTGAAAGAGCTTGAGACGACTTAAAAACAATATGTACTTGTACACTGAAGTCAGCACGCATCGGCAACAAAGTTCCCTATATCTCCTCTGTAAACATCCACAAGAAGAAACTCACTTTCAACTGGCCCAACAAAAAGGGATCTACCCACCCGATGGTGAAATTCTGCATGTGCGAGTGTATGACCTTGAGGCGCGGCGTTGCAAACCCCTCCCCAAAGGCCAACAGGGTTAGGAACAATCCGCTCAAAGGCAAGGGACCGGCCCTTAAAATGGCTTGCTTCCTTTAGGTTCAAGGGGCACTACTCAAGCTAGCTCGCCTTCGTTTGAACTTAAGACACACCCACGCAGGAAACCTTGGAACTGCCTGGAACCCATCCGCGTCCTTGGTGAGTGCACGATGCACCTCCCCCATCAGCTCAGCCAAAGCTTCAGGCTCTTGGCCAGCCCTGCCCCGAGCCTGGCTCAAGCGCCACGGGTTGACTGCCACCAAATCGAGGGAGGGGGAGGGTGGGGTGGGGGGCAAGTCACAATTGCCTCTGAGACTCGGGTCCAAAAATCAATTCTAAAGAACGCACATACACCAGAAACTGCAGGTGGGTTGGAGGTTGAGGCAACCAAATCAAGGCGCTGTCTTTGGCCTCCTCATTCATCACCATTTGCCGACCTCGGGGCATCTATCTCGAATCTGGACTGAGGAAAGCAAAGGCTCCCAAAGCCACCGCCCCCCGCCATGCAGACGTGGCCCTGAGACCAGAGGCACTTCTGAATCTGAGGTTGTGTCAAAATGGAATTGTGTCAAATATATATATATATATATATATAGTTGGTTAGATGCCAAGCAAACAAAATTGATGTTGGCACCCTCTTGGCTTCCTAAAGCCATTCCATTCCACCCGCAAGGTGCCAGTTGAGGCCGTGGCACAGGTCTTCCGTCTGATCCCTCACCTCGCAGAGTGTCCCGGCGGGGGTCGCGGCTCGGAGCCAGCGCCCAAGGCCGGCGTTGTCTTAATGGGGGGAAAAACCAACACAACTGGTAGTGCCACTAAGGCGAGGGGGGCTGGGGTTGGGAGGGGGAAACAAACAAAACTGGTAGTCCCAGCTGGGGGGGGTTGGTAGTCTCGACTTGGCGCTTTCATTCACAACCAAAAGACAAGGTACATTAAAAGTAAAAAAAAAAAAAAAGATACGTCCGGAAGGGCAACCCTGGTGTGAGGGATACGGCTGCAAAACGTGTCGAGCAGTCTCGCTTGTTGCTGCATGTTTAGACTGCTTGCTTACATGGTGAAAACCAACTGGGTGAATGGCATCGTGGGAAGATGAAAACCAGCTGCGATCGCCCTGAGGCCAGCACATCCTGGCGCAGGTCCGCCACGCATTGCTGCACGGCCGCGTTGATCGCCCGGTGCACGCTATCCTCTCCGAACTGAATCTGAGAGCTTGTGGATTTGTCTAAAAAGGGAAACCGACAGAATCTGTGGTCTATTGTTGGTTCCCTTAAAGCCAACCAAGGGTATTCTGACGAAAAGACACACCCGAATCTGAACATCTGAAAGTCGATGATCCAGAATCGTCCAAGGGCCTGAAATGATGTTGGACATCGGTGTTCATGTCCAATGGCACCCGAAGTCTCGATATCTTGCCAAGTCCGTCTCACACTGACACGCACTGATGTGCGGGGCGTCTTGAAACCGTCAACCTGAAACCTCAAACTCCCCTAAAAACGGGATGGTGTTCGAAAACTGAATAATGTCCAATGTTCAAGGGGTACCGGATGGAGTAAAGCCTACTTGTGCTGGGGGGGGTTGTCTTAAAGGGAAACCAAAGGGAAGCCTCCTGCCGTGTTCGGCCCAGGTGTTGACCCCCGGCGCGCCTTGGTGTCTGCCATGGAGTGGCCGACCTCCGCCACGGTGTGCCGCACATCTGCCACGGTGGTGCTGACGTCGTGCACTTCCGCACCTGCAAAGGCCACATTCGGCTTTGTGTTTAAAGGGAAACCCATGGGAAGCCTCTGAAGAGAAACCCAAGGGACAGCCATGGGAAGTCGAAGTGAAACCCAAGTTGCAACCAAGCTGAAACCGTAATTGAGAAATCAAATGGCCCCAATACACTCATTCAAAACCGACTCGCAAGTTTATGGCCCTTCCCCCTAGCCACCAGTCACTCTGCAATGGCTCCCCTTGCGAGGACACCAAACTCAAGAATGGTTGATGGTTTGCAGGAATTAAATCATCGTTCTTCTTGTCGCAGTGCGTGGAACTGAAGAACAAGCGACCCTTCACAGGGGGAAAGGGGGCAAGGTACACCAAGATGACGTCCGAGCAGTTCCTAATGACAACTCATTCCAAGCTCCAGCAAGTTGCTTTGACCTTGCCAGGCTTACGGATACAAGCGTGATCGGATTCGAAAACAATCCTAGCCACCCTGTCCATTGCCAATTCCCCCCAAACTTGAACATTCCCGCACCAAAAGGAAACTCACTTAAAGTTGGCCCAAGCCATGATCTGGAATCCGGGCATCATGCGAAAATCAGGGGGGAGTACACTTCCAACTTCCATAGGAACAGACCAGCCCAGGTTCGCCACTCCCCCCACTCAAAAAAGAGACATTTTCAGGATCAAGCAAACCAAAATCCGTGGTTCCCTGTGGGTCGCCTAAGAAAACCGACCCAGACCTGCTTCGCCGTCATGGACCTGATCCGGTGCTAAGGCCCCCGGCGCAGCTGCTGCACCTCTGCCCCCAGCTCCGTCAGCACCTACGATGGCATCGGCTTCGGGACGTCGGCTTCGCCGCGCTGAAGGGACCGTACCCTCGCAGCGAACATGGATTTAAGCAGAGCGGTTCCACGACTTTCCTCTTGCAAAGCGCCTTTTTGCACTTCCATGATTGGGAGGGTCCTCAAAATAGAGAAGCCCCTTGAAATGGTCCAAAGGGAAACGAGGAAACCAACCATTTCGGGGGGCCCAAACCCATTTGGACACAAACCCATATCCTATGTGGTGCGTAGCAAATTCTGTTTTCGGAAACCGTGAAGAACACCGAAAGGTTCAGCGCCCGGGAAGAAAAAGAACGAATGAAATAAGATTGGATTCCTTCCAAAGGCTCAAGGTGAAGAAACTCAGAACATTGAAACCTCAATTTTGTCCGGTGGGAGACCTCTTTGTCTTAAACACGGCTCCCAAATTGTCCAGCCCTCAACCTCGCCCCTCAAAGTTTAGATTCAAAACACTGAGCCGGTGGTGCTAGGATTGTTGATTGTGAGCGACGCAGGACGCCTTCAACTCAACCCACTTGCGAGAAAACTCACTTCAAATTTAGCCTTCCCAAACAATAAACAATGGCTTTTACCCGCTCTCGTCTCGTGGCCTCAGCAAGGACATTGTGAAACTTGCATAACCCAGCACACATTAGGCAATCATGATTTTTTTTATATGGAAACCAACCTGAAAAGGCTGCCCCACAAACAGGGGCCTCTACCCCCCCCCCCCCCCCCCAGCGGACGCAGGTCCCGAGCCTGCATGGGCCTGGCCAGCTCAGCCTCCTGAAGGGGTCATAGGATACCGTTAAAGGGGATCCAGCGCAGTGCTGGAAACCGGCCCTTCGATTCCCACAGACTTTGGATCCCAGTCCCATGCGGCTTCTGGTTTCCCTTCGGCCACACACTCCCGGGGCTGTGGATCTAGGGGTTGCTCCCCAGTTCCCACCCTGCTCAGAAACCGCCCAGCCCAAGTTGGGCAAATCCGCCGACCCCTTCTCCTGAAAGGGGAGGCGCACGGGAAGGGTGGTTGCAGTACAAGCGCATGGATTAATCTTTGAGGCAAGCATATATCTAAAGCAAAGGATCCAGGAGCAGAGTGGGGAGGGTACGGCTAGATGCGGAGGTATTTCTTGTGGCTTCCCTTTAAACGCCATCCAAAGGGTGTCTGGGAAAAAAAATACCAACCTGGCCTCGCGCCCCCAATGGTGCTGAATACATTCGTCAAGCAACTGTTCACACTGTCTCCGCTGGCAAGATTGCGCAACACTTCGCTCACTTGGCTTACCTGGCATGCAAAAGATGGGTGTAAAATGGAATTGGGGAGTGTTTGGCGGACATTTCGGTTACCGGTTGGGATTCCGTCAACCACTTTCGGAATAATATTCAAAGCCACTTGTTGTGTCCTCCCTTTACACTGGGGGGGGGGGGTGAGGAGGCTGACCGTTGGCTGGGGCCAGCCATTTGGCCTGCTAACATTCATGCACACAACTGCCTACCTACCTAACATACCGCCCACCCACCCACCCACCCACCCACCCACCCACCCACCCACCCACCCACCCACCCACCCACCCACCCGCCACCTACCTGTACGTCTGTCTGTCCGTCTGTCCGTCTATCTATCTATCTTTCTATCTGTCCGTCTGTCCGTCTATCTATCTTTCTATCTGTCCGTCTGTCCGTCTATCTTTCTTTCTATCTGTCTGTCTGTCTGTCGGTCTGTCTGTCTGTCGGTCTGTCTGTCTGTCTGTCTGTCTGCCTATCCATCTATCCAAAGAGCTCCTGTTCATCTGGACACAGAAACATTGAAACGTACCTTGCGAAAGCAGCAAAATGAAGGTGCGGCATTGACATGGAGCTGCAAAGTGAGCATTGGATGAAAACCCACACATTTGGCTGTGGGTCAAAACCCTGTACCCCTGGTGAACCTCAAAATAGGTGGCAAATGGATGTTCATCCACCCCACAATGGAGCCATAGGTTATGCCCCATGGCCATTTAGCTCGTTGGTTCAAGGGAGGTTTAATCCGCGTCCGGCTCCTTGGTCCCTGCCATGGTCTTGCCGACAGTGTTGACGTCGGAACCTTCCAAAGCAAACTGCAAGGATCGTCGGCCATCCCCAAACGCAGGCCAATTCTGACACAACAAAGCCAGCTAGATAGCCAAGTTGCTGCCCAACTCTCCAGTCAGCAGGAGTGTCCCCTCACACCGTGCGGACCGCCAAATGTCTGCCAGGCCCCGGGCGCAGTTGTTGCATCTCCGACTCCAGCTTCGTGAGCACCTGAAGCGTCCGATGGCAGGTGCGAAGCCAAAACGCAGCGGTGCGCTTCAGGGAAGCCGCTCAGCCCGGCCAAAAATTGACCGCTGCTTTATCAAAAGCAACAAACATCAACCAAACCCCACTCTTTGGGTACACAAAGCTTGGTCGCAATCCAGTTGTCCTATAGTTACTTGACTCCTTGCGCCTCTTGCCACGTGAAGACTCAGCCAGCAAATGGGTGTGGTTTGCTTTGAGAGGAGATTACACTTAATTAACTTCTTGGTGTAAAGGGATTACAAAAGGAAACCCATTTGTTTGGTCCACCTAAGACACATGCAGGAAACCTGGGCAGTGGCCTGCATGGCCCCAGGAGTGTAGAGCGCAACTTCCTGGGAATGAAAGCGACCGCATCGTTGCACGTGGGCGTTCAAAAGCAAAACAGACGCGTGCAAGGCCCGTACTCGCACACACACACACACACACACACACACACACACACACACACAACTATACACATGGCTATTATTTGTAAGAGTTGGAACCACCTCAAGTTTGGTTGGTGTGCATGAATCCGCCTAAATGATGTCGTGCCCAATTGAACGTCATGCCCAGACATGCGTCTAGGACAGCTATCACAACAGTGTAACATTACACCGAGAGAGAGAGAGAGAGCGAGCGAGCGAGCGAGCGAGCGAGTCGAGCTCACTCATCGAGTACGTGCGTGAGTGAGTGAGCGAGCGAGCGAGTGAGTGCGTCGGCGAGTGAGTGAGTGAATGAGTGTAAGTGAGCGTGCGCGTTGCAAGGACAGGATGGAATCGCCATCACCTGTTGTGCATCGTGCAGACAGAATGTGTCCGAATCGGACAACGGCAATGAGTGCCAGGATGCTGCGTCAGAATTTGGGTTTGTGATAAAATAGGGGACCCCAAAGCAGTGGATGTCCATAGACCTTTAATTTAACGCCACCCCAAAGAAATGCACATCCATTTAATCTGTTCCGAGTTCATCTTATTGGCTCAGATGTACCTCCAGCCGGCACAATATACGTACATGAATACAGTTTCAAACAGACACATGCACGAAGACACAGGAGACATTCGCACAGCTTCCACAGTCGCACGCAACATAACCATATGCATACTTACACACACCCACGCGCGTGGAAATCTCACATGCGTGCTCAGGCATGCGCACGCAAATTCACACACAAACACAATAAGCATTGGCGCATGCAACCACAAGGTACTTGTTCAAACCTGCAACCCTTCAGCAGCATTCGCAGCATAGGTTGAAAGAATCCGGTAGAATCTGCACTGGGAGGCCAGTACTTTAGCAACGCTTCATCTGTTGCGGTGTTCGATTCGGTAGGCTTCCTGCTGCGCGTCCTCTCTCCGCTGGTACCCCCGCTCCTCTTCCAAGAAGCCCCCTTTCTGCTGCGCCAACGGCTCCTGTATGACCGCCTCAGCGAGGCTCGGGGACCTAAAAGCCCATGGTCTGCGTGCCCGAAACGTGCCGGCTGACCTCCTCTCTCATCGACAGATCAAACTCTGAGTCGATTTTAGTGACAAAGCTTGCATCTGCAACAGACCCGCAAACAAGCTGCTTTCCGAAAGAGTCAGACTTGCCACCGCAATGTTCCAGGGCCCGGCGGAGTCCCCAGGCCGGATGCTCTGGCGCAGCAGCTCAGCAGTTGCCTTTGCCTCGGTGCTCCCATGCATCCGTTGCAGTGGGAAACTCATTCAGCTCAAACTGTTCTTCCTCCTTGCTTTGGCTTCATGAGGGATGAACTCCTGATATTTAGGTCGACAGGTCCCACACCCTGAAAGATGCTGAAAGGACTTGCAGGCATGAAGCCGCTTCGATGCTTTGCCGCGTCCCCTTCAATCCGAAGATTTGGTCTTGGCTCATGCTGGCTCTGAGGACGATGTGAGGATGGGTCCGAACATTGGGGGCGCCCAAAAACCCACGAACGTGAACATAGGGCTTGGAAGCCTCCCGTCGGAAACTTTAGAGCTCGTCCCCTGGTTTTCGCGGTTGGACATTAGAGCTCGTCCCACTTCTCGTCCCTAACGGACGGTAGACAAAAGGTGGGATGTGTTGGATCGAACTGATGGAAGCACACTGATGCTTGCATGCCCGAGAGGTGGACATCTCTCTGGAGCTGCAGGATGGTCTGATTCAGAGTGCTGGCAAGGGAGTGGCACCGTTCCTGGCAACGTCTTCCATCTCAATCTTTTGGGCTTGGCCCTGGCGGATTTTGCCTTGGGGACGCCCTCAAATGGTGGCTTTCCTTTTGGTGTCCCTTTAAAACTTGAATCCGGCGAACAGGGGACCCTCACCAGAAGACGCGCCCAAAATGGCTTTCCCGTCATGTTTGGTTCGCCCTTTCCCAACCAAAGTCGGGTCCCCGAAAGTCAGAGAACCGCACCCAAAACCTCCGTTTGATCTGATCACCCAGCGCATGCGCATCGCCCGTCATGCTCCATCTGGCCGGTGGCGATTGCGGATCGCAAGTCCACACCTGAGCTGGCTTCTGACCCCCCTTTGCTTTTGGTTGGCTAAGGGGAAACCGAAAGGACACCTGTGCCATCTTAGGAGACTCCTCCTTCCAAGCGCGGTTTTTTCAAAAGGAGAGCTGGTTCTCGTCATTGGACGGCAAGAGAGCTGGTCGCAAGGTTTCCACTGGCTCCCCAATAGACAGACCCCTCAGCCTTCCCCCTGCGCTCCGGGCGCAGCTGCTGCAGCTCCGAGCGCAGGCCCGCCAGCTCGCCGGGACCCTGGATCGAAATCCAACATGCCGCACGACCCACCTGTGACAGGTGCTTTCTCAGGCGGAAGAACCCTTATGCTTCACAATCAAAATGTGCCAGGTGCTTTTTTAGGCAGAAGGACCCTTATGTTTCTCACCTCTTGGTGTTGAGGTCGAAACCCACAGAACCATTTTGTCGGGGTCCAAGACCCTATGTTGACAAACCCAAATGAAAGCGTCTTTTTTGTGAGGCCGGGTGCCCTTTCTCGAGGGGGTTTAAAGGGACCAAAAGGAAAACCTCCAATGACCTCTGATCAATAATCAGTGGAAGAAAGGAATCCCCACTAAACGGAGAAACCCTTAATAACAAGTGGGGGGAGGGGAAATCCATCGGGAATTCAAAAGAAGCTGTGTGAGGTACCAGGACCCAAGTACCCCAAGCAAGCACTTGAAGAGGCGACCCATCTGCATGTTCCGCCAAGACCTGGTGACTTGTTAAAATTGGAAATGAACCTGTCATGGTGGACATCATGTGCATTGGAATTTGTGGAATCACCAATCAGGCATGGTTGGGTGTTCCAACTACGAACATGTCATAGCCATCTGAAATCTGGCCCATCTGCGGCCCTTGTTGCTCTATCTGGTGGCCGATGGTTTCTTGGTGAACTTCAACTGCAGGGGATCCAGGTCTAGGAAAAAGATAATTGTCTCATTTGGCACATTCAGGTGCTAATCAACGGGCTCTGATGGCCCCGCGAGCACCACACGCGTGTTTCGTGTCCAATTGAAATTGAGCCCGTGTCCACAAAAACATGGACGAGTCCCCTTTCTCTTTCCAGTTTGACCATATTCCTTTTAGCTCCTTTAAGCCTGTTGGTTCCTTGTGTGGCCCAGACGCGAGTCCCGCGCCTTGCGCCCGTCGTCCAAAGAGGAAGTAGGGGTTCTCGTGGGGCAGCCGGCCATGGAAGCCTCCGAAACGGAGAAGCCAACAAAGCCCGGGGACCCTCGAAGTAACCTTGGGAGGGGGTTAGCTTCTCATGGTGGGAGGAAAAGATCCCCATGTGTTTGGGGTAATTGCTCCAATGGGATCCTGCCCCCGGGAAAAAAAAAACATATGGGGCGATGTGACAGAATGCAAGGGTTTGAGCAAGGTGCATGCCGCGGGCCTGTTACAGGACCAAGAAGTTGTCCTGGGAAAACTCTTCGAGAAAGTCCCCTGGTTTTGTGGTTGGGAGCTTCTGGTCCCTCCCAAATGGACCATCTGGACATCTTGAGCGAACACGCCACTCTTTCAAGTTTCCCTACAAGCTCCACTTCTAGGCGGGTTTCAAGGGGAACCAACATGACAACCACCATTGTTGGGTCCCTCTATTTCAGGATCGACCGGTTGGACAAGCCCTCCGAACGGGTGTCCTTTTTGACCTGTCTCGGACGGTGGACAACGGGCAGTTTCAAGAGGACCAGATTCCCAAACCCCCTCCCCCCCCCTCCAGTTCGGCTCCCCTATCTAGACACACCCACAATGATATTGCGTTTCTGATGCGCCCGTGCCACCCAAGCAGCGGTGCTGCATCGCCCCATTTCGCATGACATCGCAGAAGCTGTGTCTTTGTCAGTCTTCGGGTCGAAAAAGCTTCTAAACACATGGCTGGCGGTTAGAAGGAAACAAAAACCAAACAAACCAATTCTGGGGGGCGGTTAAGGGGCCCCGCAACATGCAGGCAAACCCACGTGCAGCTCCCGGCTTGTGCCCGGCGCGCCATGTCTTGCAGGCCATAGTGCTCGTTGCCCTGGCGGCCGTGGTTCCTCTTGGAGGACGAACACGTGTGTCAAAATGGAATTTGGCTTCCCTTTGAGCCAAGCCCTAGAAAGGTACCAACTAAAAACACACACACACAAATAGGTGCAAGGTTGGAAATTTGAATAGGAATTTGGTCACAGGATCCCATGCTTGGGGGTGCTCCTTGGCCCCACGCCCTGCCCCACACCCCCCCCCCCAACCTGAGCGCGGGTTTGCAGCAAATGCGGCAGCCCTGGCCCCTGGTGACCGTCGGCCTTGCGAGCCTTGCACAAGGCGTCGGAAATGAGTTGGCGCCGCGACCCCGACCAAAACCATCCAACTGTTGGTTTCCTTTGGGATTTCCCAAAACTGAATTAATTTTGCTTGGGAACCGCCACGACCAAAAACTAGGTTCATTCCCAAAACCGCGAAACTGATTCCCTGAGAGCCAGCATGAAGGTGGCGCCATTGCCATCGCGACATCCACGCCTCGCCGCCGTTGCCCCAAGAGGTCTGAAACCTGGGCACGGCACGGCCGGAGCAGATGTGCCAAACAAAGCCCGGAAAGTCAAGCGCTAGACTATGTGGCATTTGCATGGGTGCATGTTTCCCAAAAAAGGATGACACTGCTTGGGCGCTTCATTTCTACTTCCAACTTTGCAAAACAAGAAAAAGAATGCCTTGGCTCTGCTTCTTTGCCGCCCGACTGTTTTGCCAACTGAATTGCGTGGTCAACCCAAAAGCATGTAAAACATCAAAAGGGCAGCTGCACCTGCTTTACTGGCTAACCTTCAACTGCCCGACTCACGTACATCCTCCGGTCAAGTGTTTCAGGGGCCCAGAAGGTGATGTCTAACACCACTGGTCAAGGACAAGATCGTTGGAACCCTGAATCAACCTAAACACTCGCATTCCGCCTCGCCCGTTTCGCCCGTTGCGACCGAGGCGCGTGTCGGCGCGCTGCCAGTTGTGGCTGTCCTCATTGAGCTTGGAGAAGTCCAAGGTACGCATCGAGGTCCCTTCTGGCGGGAAAAGTCGTGCGACTGAAAATTCCGAGAAAAAAATAAAGAAGAAAAAAAGATAAAACAAAAGTTTGTGTGACTCAAAAGGTTGGTTTTGCTTCCAAGCCGTGGTGGGTTCTTCGTGACGGGTGCTTCCTTTAAGCAACCCACCTTTTGGATTCTCATAAAAGGGGGGCCATTCGCGACTGGTAGTCCATTTTTTGGCAAGACATCCTTAAACTTGGCCGATCAAACTGGTGCTTTCAAGGGAAACCAAGTTGAGAACCCTCAAAGTGCAACCACCAGGCATCCAGTCTTGGGTGTCTCTCTTCACCAAGCCAAAAGGTTTTTGGAGCGACGTTGGACCTTTTGGAGCAAACACAAATGGTGAAGCGAGGAGCAGCTCTAAGTCTTGGAGCTTGTTGACCCCTTTTCTGGCGGGTCTTGAGGGGATCTGGTGACACCGACTTCCCCCCCACTCTTTTTAGATCCGCTTCCGCCCGCCCCCAGAGGCATTCCTTCCAGAACTTGGCCCGCTAGGATGTTTCTTCAAAATGACCCGCGAAGTCTTGGCTTCCTCGTGGTTTCCCTTCAAAAGCCATGGGCGCCCACTGAGACCGCGAGAAAAGAAAGTGCGCCTGGTCGAGACATCGCATAGTACCTCAACAGAATCGGCAAGCCCACCTTTGACACATGCAAGATCCAAAACAATCGGGTGCGGATGTTCATTGAGGGCGCGACATGGTGGACTTCAACAATCGGTGCGTCCCTGTTCATGTCCAGAAACTTGTGGTTGGTGGTTTAAACTCTCAAGAATCATCACCATTCGGGAGTGTGTGTGTGTGTGTGCGTGCGGATGTTTTTGTAGAGGGTCTGGATACTGCTTTAAAGGGAAACCCAAAAGGACATCCCAACTTGGGGACCCGGGGCCCCCAAAAACCAAAGACACGCCTATTCAGTGAGGCGCACCCACCGTCCTCGCCCTGCCGCAAGGGGTCCTCGCAAGGCCACAAGCATTTCAGCCGCTGGAAAAAGTGGAAACAGCTGATTCCCCCAAACTAAGGACGAACAAACTAAGGACGAACAAACTGAGACGTACTTATATATTTATTTAAAAAAAAAAAAAAAAAAAAAAAAAAAAAAAAAAAAAAAAAAAAAAAAAAAAAAAAAAAAAAACACCAACAACAGAAAGCCAATAGTCAATAACCGGAAGAATCAAGAACCAAGAAGCGAGAATTAGGATCCAATCGGAAAATCCAAACACCGGCAACTAACCATTCTGGGCTTTTGGCGCTTCGTTGCTTCTTGGCAGAGGCCCAACCATGCCGGAAGAGCAAGCGCCCCGCGTCGTCTCCCCCGGTCCCGCGCTTCGAAGCGCGAAAAGGTGGAGAAGCCCCGGAATTGCCCTGGCCCGGCACCCAGACCTGCGCCGTCTACGCGTGTACGTCTGTGACGTGAGGGAAAGAAGGGGAAGGAAGGGGTGGTCCCCATGGAAGAAAAAGCAAAAACAACGCATGGTTTGTGAGCAGGAAATCGACCAGTCATGGCTTACATGAAAAACTGGCAAACCTATCCCAAACACCCCATGATATGAAAGATTTATCCACTGAAAACCCGTCCAAACCCAAATGGTAGTATCTATTATCTGCAACCTAGTGACGGTTAGATGGGCCATTATGTCCAACCAGGCTCTGAATCACGGGACTAGAAACCCACAGAAACCCCATGGCCGCAGAATCCTCCGCGAAGGCCTCAAACTTGAAAGTCGCCAGTCTACAGGAACTTTGCCTGTTGACCCATACCATGTCATTCCCCCCTAATTGGTGTGGCGCACTTCCCTTCATCCTTGCCCTCTTGACTGTCTTCCAACCGGTCTCCTCATATCGAAATAATGTGCATGACCCGCAGGACTTGCTAACTCGTGCGCATCCTCACACATACACATCATGTAAGGAAACAGACTATAATATATACTGTTCGCCCTCTGCACTTTTGACTTGCACAATCCTTCCCCCCCCCCCCCCGTGCAAGATGTGTGAAGTAAAACATAGAGAGGGGCAAACCTGCGCAGGGTAAAACATGAGAGCATGCATCCTTTCTGCAGTCTGCACGGAAGCTGCGCCCCGCCTTCGGCGTCCGGATGCTGCAGGCGGCCTCGAGCTGAATAGGGTCGAGCCGGCAACGCCATGGCTGGGATGGCCCCCCTCCCGCGTGTTTCGCCTGTGGAAACCAATAGGCGATCTATGAACGCGTGGATGCCCATGGACGCCAATGGACGCCATTGGATGCCTGAAACGGCTTGGCGACGGCCACCAGATAGTCTCATGAGCTTCCCGTTTGGGCCCCCTGCGCTTGGGCCTAGCGACGGGCGGGGGAAGAGCACATGCCGATTTGTTTAGGCGTGAAGCGCATCAGCGAGAGCCCGCATGATAGATGCTCGCAGCTGTTGGTGGCACCAGGGATCCTGGGTCGCAACAACTCTGGGCTCAAAATCTTGTCCGTCCTGAGACAAGCACGAAAAAAACATGCCTCTTCAGAGCATCCCATGAGCCAGAATGGAAGGGATTGTGCAGTTTATAGAGCATGCAGCATATCCGACGCAAAGCAAAAGACGCTTTGCACTTTGGGCGAATCGGCCAGTATGGACAGCCAGCAAGGTTGTCATGGCTGATCCGAGAAGCTTGAGCCCACAGCACCCAAGCACATAGACAGATCACGACCCTCCGGCCTTCCGTGGCCCCTTGGGCCAAATCCGAAAGCATGCCCCGAATGATTTGCCTCAGAAGGCTGAGTGCCAACATGGGGTGCTTTTCAATGGGTGGACATCAGACTTTCATGTCCACCAACCAGTGTTGAAGTTGTTCCCTGATTACATCCATGGCCATGGCGAGAGCGGCAATGCTTTGCTTCATCTCTACCAGGCCTCCAGCCGTGCGTCTCAAATGAACAGGCAAGCCATAGCGCACACATGCGCGTTTCAAGTGTGCCTGAGACCAAAAGAGCCCTTGGAGACATCCGCAAACACTTCGGACACTTGCGACAGCAAGCCTCATCGGAATGAGGTGATGCGTGACTGTGCCAAACAGCAAACGTCCGTACATGCTGCGCACAGCGCATGCCGCGCGCTACGCAGCGTTGGGGAAGGGCCTCCTGCAGAGACACGCAGCAAGCACGAAAAAACAAAACAAAGAAAGTCGAAACTTAGCGCTTGAGAGCTATTGACGCTTGACTCTACCTGGTCATGGAGGTTCTTACAAGCTCTTAGAGCAAAATCTCCTCAAAACAGTAGAACCCTTGACATCGACATTGGCTTCAGCAGGCACTTGCCTAACCGCACTCGGAAGTTTCTCAATATGGCCGACCCTCTTTTGGTTAAAAGAGAGACCAGAAGGAAACCAAGGCTGAGAAGCGCCTCAGCTTTTGCCACTTAGGACTCATTGGTCGCCTCACGGACTCTGGCTGGGGGCTCTTCCGCCTTTCCAAGCTCGGTGGCTGTGACTTCTGTACTGACCGCCGCGTAGGCGTGCGGCATTGAATTCTGGGCATCCTGGGGCCGTTTGGCGTAGAGGCAAATGGAGCAGATCACAGAGGTGCTGCCGACCGCAAAGGCCGCGGAGGGCTTCCAATCGAACAGAAAGCGGGAAACGATGCAGGTCAAGACAATGGAGATGGCCGAGCTGAAGCCTTTGGCCACGTTGTCGGCGTATTTGGCCACCGTCGCCACGATCACCCCGCCAAGGGCTTGCAAGGTCACCGTGGTAACCACCAGCCAGTTCCAGCCGAAGAAGAAGCCCCTGCCGTCGGGAATAGTCCCATGGGCCCAAAAGAGGCGACCCGCCCCCCCAAAAAAAAACAAAAAAACTGCTGTGAAATTGAGAATGGAAGAACACTGGGGAAGGGGGTCGGTCAGTTCTAATGGTGTGTGTGTGTGTGTGGTGAGTGTCCATTTTGAAGGTACCCTTTCACCTTCAGGTTTGCACCACATTCGGAATGCCGAACTCCATTTCGGAATTCCCACATCCCTGCCAGATCCACTTGGGCCTGAGTTGTATCTCTGGTCGTGCTCTTGAAAAGGACGTGCTAGCACATTGGCCCGAATTGCTTCGGGACTCCCCCTTTTTGTTGACAAGGCAAGCTGAGGAACAGGCTGGGTCTCCGTGGCAAGGACACTGCCTAGTTGTGCTGAACATTTGAGAGTCAACTTGGGCACGCCATCAGCTTCTCGGGGATTCCATAAGCCCCAGCCCCACCTCTGCTGGATGCCGTGCAAGCCCGTGATGGACATGCCCACCAGGATCACACACAAAGACCAGGTGGCCAGCTGCATGTTCCTGGGGCGTTGGTTCCTAAAACAGACAAACCGCTCCAAGGCTTGGAGGGAGAAAGCATTTCCTCCGAAGTTCAAGGTGGAAAAGTCCAATGGCTTCGTCTCAAAATGGGACATGGACCCCCCAAAAGCGGAAAAAAAAAAAAAGGAAAAAAAAAAAAACGTCTGGGAGAAAGCGAACCATTTTCCCAAGTTCGAGGTTCCAAGCTGGGCGAGCCCCTCAAAAAATAAGGCAATGGCTACTCCGTCCCATCTGAGCAGTGATCAAAGCCCATAGTTCGCAAAACCGAGTGGCCACCCGCCCGAAAAATACCCCGCTTGCCCTCCGTTTGGAAGCCCGACCAAAATCGCAGCCCCCCTCAAACAAAAAGAAAACCATTGCGTGGCTATCCACTTTGCGTTTCATTTCTTAACTAACCGACCGACCGACCAACCAATCAACCAACAAAAACAGCAGCCAACACAAAAAACAACGAAACCCAAAAAAAAATCCCACCCACCAACGAGGTGCCGCACCCACAAGGACGGGGAGGTCTTAAAGACCAGCTCCGTGTAGGCGGCCGTAAAGCCGCTGGTGAGAGAGGTGGCCATCACGGCCCCGAAACCCAGCCACGCCGAGGCGTGCGCCTGGCTGGCTGCTTGGTGAGTAAGTGGTTTGGTTGGCTGGCTTCTTGGTGCACACAAAACTACAGGAACAAAAAAAGTTTAGGGGTCCGGGTGGTGGGGTGTTTTCTGTTCTTGTGTGCTCTTATTGCTTGCTCTTTCTGTTTTGTTTTGCCCCTCAAAACATTGCGAAGAGTTCTTCCGTGCGGAGCACTTGGACTAAATTACACAGAGTGATTTCAGAGAGTGAGTTGCACAGAGCCAAGTTGCACAGAGCCAAGTTGCACAGAGCCAAATTGCGCACACGCAGGGCCAAATGCACAGAGCCAAGTGTAAAGAGCCAAGCGCATAGAGCCAAGTCACACAGAGCTAACACAGAGCCAAGTCACACAGAGTCAAATCCACAGAGACAAGTGCACAGAGTCAAGTGCATAGAGCCATGTCCACAGAGCCAAGTGCATAGAGCCAGGTGCACAGAGCCAAGTGCATAGAGCCAAGTGGAGCCAGGTGCACAGAGCCAAGTGCACACAGCCGAGTTCCTGGGGCCGAGCGAATACAAAGCAAGAGGCTCCGCGTCAGCAGCTGTGTAGGTTAAGTTTGAGATTCATAGAGTCCTGGCTTGGGGTTGGGGTTGCTGTCATGGCTCGGGATTGCGACCCTCTGCGGGGATCGGCGTGGTCGATGTAAAAAAACTGCGGACTTTTACGATGTTTGACCCGCGCGCGCGACCCTCTGCGGAGATCCGCGCGGTCGGTGTTAAAAACTGAGGACTTTTTACGATTTCTTTTCTGCGCGTGACCCTCTGCAGAGAAAACTGAGGACTTTTTAGTACGAAAGTGTTACGCGAATAGTGGAAACTTGTTCAGAGCAACTTGCTGAGAGAACTTGCTTGGAGAACTTGCTCAGAGGAGATCGCGCCAACAGCTTGCTCAGACCAACTTGCTGGGAGAACTTGCTTGGAGAACTTTCTCAGAGGAACTCACGCCGACAACTTGCTCAGACTAACTTGCACAGAGAACTTGCTTGGAGAAATTGCTCAAGAGGAACTCGCGCCAACAATTTGCTCAAAGCAACTGTCACAGAGAACTTGCTTCGTGCACTTGCTAAGAAGAACTTGCGCCAACAACTTGCTCAGAGCAACTTGCACAGAGAACTTGCTAGGAGAACTTGCCGCCGCTGTTAACGTTTTCGCGCCACCCATCTTCCAGTTTCTCTTTTTGGGAAAGGGGGGAGGGGTGATTGAAAATAGGGGGGCCCAAAAGACCGAACCCTTTTGCAGGGTCCGCTAAAGTAACTGTCAAAGGGTACGTCTGAGCCGTGTTAAAATCCGAAGCCTTGTAAAGCAGGTGGTTCTTGGGCGTCCCCTTCAAGGAACCCTGAAAAAGCTGGCACTCCCCGTGGCAAAGAAGACTGGATCTCCAGTTTGCTTGTTTTGGGTTTTTGTGGTTTGCTTCCTTGCGCTTGGTCTGGGCGGAAATGGCTCTTGTTGTTCTGTTTGTTTGCTTTTGGGGTCGGTTGAAATGCGTTTGTTTTTGTTTTTGTGTGTGTGTGCGCGCATAGAGAAAAAAGTGTCGTTTGCAAGAATTGCAAATGAAATGGGTGATGTGCGTTTTTACGGGATATTTCGAGGGCAAGAAAAACACAAACTCAGGTAAAAACACAAACTCAGATAGCTTCCACTCCCCAGAAAGCACCCCCAGAACCCGGCATATGTGACCTTTTTGGAGGGATCGAACATTGCAGATTGGCAATGCGAAGGAGTTTCCACTTCGGCGGGAAATATGCATCCTTGTTCACGTTTTGGGAGGCCGCCCCTCCCTTTTTTGCGCTGGTCTGCGTTCGTTTTCGCAAGCCAAAAAGGGCCCCACCTGCCCAGGCGCTGACAAGGCCACGTCCCCGCACTGCACGACCGCGGCGCCAAGGGCGCAGAGAGCGATGCCGCCCCACTGCCGCGCTTGGAACACCCGCTGCAGCAACAGGACGCCTCGCAGCACCCCTTTTCGCTGTCTTAAAAGGAATCCAGCAGGAAAACAACCATTCGTGAGTACCCTAAAACACACACACACACAAGCGCGAGAAGCCGAAGTGTTGGCACGGTGTCCTTGTAAGAGCCTACATGCTGCAGTGTTTTTGAAAAACGTCTAATTCCAGACATGTGATGCAAACCTTCAAGAATCTATGACGCACAGGGGTTTGCTAGTTGCATTTGTTCTTGACTCTCCTTTTCAACTGACATCCGCTGAGTCTGGGGGGGTGTTGGGGGGTTGGGGCACAAAAAAGGGCATAAAAAGCAAAGAACATGTTGCTTATCCCCCCTTGCTTGGACCCAGTAGGTCACCTCTAATTTGTTGTTCCCCCTACTAGTCGCTGAAAAATCTGTGTTTATGAACTGAGCTACGCAGCTTGATAGCTCATACAATGGGCTGGTGTTTGCTGCTTGAGAACATAGTGGCAAGACTCTTGCGCTATTGATGATGCAGGATTAAAGCAGTTTTAGCTTCACACCGATGTTGGTAGCTGACTTGGTCGCGCTGGGGAAACACATGTTCTAGCGGGCATTCTCATGGCTTGCCTTGTGCATTTTTCATGATAACTCAATAGGGTAGAACAAGCATACAGATTTCAGCTAGCACCAGAAATGGACACCTCGGCCAGAAAGGGGTACTTTGTGTTCATCAGGAACTTTTCTCGCAGCGCGGAGCATTTCTGTTTTCCTTTGTTCTTAGCTTTTCGAACATACGGTTTGCTTGAGGCTGCATAAGAGATCTACTTAATGACCCATGGATGGTGCAAGAATAGCTCACGCCAGCTATTGCATGCCATCAGCCAGCATAGGAGCTAGAGAATCTAGCCTTGATGATGTCGAAATTACGTTTCCTCATCCGATCCCCCCGCCACAATCCCTGCTCCAGCTGGGAGTCCGCCTGAAGCGGCCTGGCCCCAGGGCCAGGAGGTCAGATCCCTTTGACCCCAGAAGCCAATCAAAACCCTGTAAAGACCAGTTCAACTCGTCCAAAAACCGGTCAAATTCCCCTTCAGAAACCAATCAAATCCCGTAGAAACCGGTCAAACTCCCTTCTAGAAACCTGTCAACCCCCCTCTGCAAACAGGCCCCGCTCCGTCAAATCCACCATTCTGTAGCTCTCTGCGGCTCTCGCTCTGGCCCTTGAAGCCAGGTGGAATGACATGCACCCAGCCTCTAGCTTGGAAACCGGCTCACGCATTTCTCACTTTCATAACAACACTTCAAAGCAAACTAAAGCTGGAAATTAAGTGGGGAGTCCACGCTCTCTCCAGCCCCCACATGGCTACCAGCAACCCGTGGCCAATGAAAAGGTTCAATCGCAGCTGGGTAGCCCATGGCAAGTGCATTTCATGCACAAGCAAGCGCAGGCCTTCATTCCACGGCTACAGGCATGCAAAGTGGAAGTTCAAGACGCTGGTTCCAGCAGAAATGTCTGATGATCCAGGAAGAGTTTCTGGCAACTAGGGGTAGGGACCTATGGTTGGTTGAGTCCATTTAGATGGTGGCAGGCTCACTCCCATGGGGCTTCCATCAAGATCTGTCAAGAAAAGATCTCACCAAGTCTGTGAACTTGGATGCTAGGAGGACACCCACCCCAGAAATTCCAAAATTCGGCTGCCGACAATCAATTAAGTAGGCAAGCACACAATCTATTTGACAAGCACTTCCAAGCAATGCCACTTTTTGAAGTCTCGCTGCAGGGCGTCAATGTTGGCAAATCATTGGGTTCCCTTTGATTGTTCTCTGATTGTTTGGGGTCACAAGCTCTGACACTTCTGAAGACCTCAAACAGGCCAGAAAAGTCCATGTGCAACACGATGGGCGGACGCATGGACGAACAACAAGCCTGCCCCTCGTCCCGGACTCTTTTGGGGCTAGTTGTCCCAGGTTCTGGGATGAAATGAGATTCGGCACCACTTTTTGCGGAGCCGCTAATTGAGTGTAAGGTTTAAAGGGGTTGGGAAAAATGCAAAACTGAATGCCGTCTGGGAGGCTAAAGAGGGCCGTGGTGATCATCTTGAATTGGTTCAGCACTTGAAAGACCCACACCTCCAGGTAGCTGATGGCGACGTAGTGCAGGTTGTTCTGCAAGGAATACATCAACGCTGGCACCAGCATCTTGGCCGATTCTCTTGACAAGAACATTCTGCACAGCTCCGCTGGTGAATAATCCAGGCTGGCCAAAATTGTGGACACCAGAAGCTTCAGAAGTTCCACACAACATACCGCGGTAGGTATGCTGTACTGCTCAGACGCCTTTGTTCCACCATGCTTCTCGGGCAGGCGTGTGAAGCGCATGCAGAGAGCCAAGGCACTGTCTATCACAACCAAGATAGAGAGAGAAAGCCATCGCAAACAAGACGCCCGGAATGGTTCAGCAGCAGCGTTTGTCTGGCTCTCCCGTGTCATCTACAGCTGAGAGTCGCGGAGCCATGGCACAAATCACTCTTCAAAGGACACCTGGCCATCTAACAGCTGCCCAATGATTGAAGAACTGCAGCTGGTATATTCTGAATGATTGGTCTTTGCTGTATCCTACTCCTTTCTTTGCAAGCAAAAAAGCGGACAGCGCATGCCAAGCGGAACGGGGAATGGATTCGTGTGTGTGTGTGTGTGCGTTGTGTTTGTGTTGTGTTTTGTTGCGCCCTTCTTCTGTGTGTGTGTGTTGTGTCTGTCTGTGGTTTGCATGTTGTGTGTGTGTGTGTGTTGCGTGTTGTGTGTGTGTGTTTCTGTCTCTGTGTGTGTGTGTGTTGTTTGTGTTGCGTGCGTTTGTGATGTGTATGTGTGTGTGTGTGGGTGTGTGGGTGCGTGCGTGCGTGCGTGCGTGCGTGCGTGCGTGCGTGCGTGCGTGCGTGCGTGCGTGCGTGCGTGCGTGCGTGCGTGCGTGCGTGCGTGCGTGCGTGCGTGCGTGCGTGCGTGCGTGCGTGCGTGCGTGCGTGCGTGCGTGCGTGCGTGCGTGCGTGCGTGCGTGCGTGCGTGCGTGCGTGCGTGCGTGCGTGCGTGCGTGCGTGCGTGCGTGCGTGCGTGCGTGCGTGCGTGCGTGCGTGCGTGCGTGCGTGCGTGCGTGCGTGCGTGCGTGCGTGCGTGCGTGCGTGCGTGCGTGCGTGCGTGCGTGCGTGGTGTGGTGGGTGGGTGGGTGGGTGGGTGGGTGGGTGGGTGGGTGGGTGGGTGGGTGGGTGGGTGGGTGGGTGGGTGGGTGGGTGGGTGGGTGGGTGGGTGGGTGGGTGTGTCTGTGTGAAGCGTGCGTGATGCATGTGCTGCGTCTGTTGAGTGTTTGTTGTTGTGTGTTTGTTGTTGTGTGCGTTGTGTGTTGTGTGGTGTGTGTTGTGAGTTGTGTTGTGTGTGTGTGTGTGTCGTGTGTGTGTGTGCGCTGTGTATGTCTTGTGTGTGTGTGTTGTGTGTGTGTGTGTGCGTGTTGTGTGCGTGTGTTGTGCGTGTGTTTGTGTGTGTGTTGCGTGTGTGATTTGTCTTTTGCGTGTGTGTCTTGTGTTTTTTGTGTTGTCTGTTGTGTGTGTGTGTTGTATGTTGTGTGTTGTGTGTTGTGTGTTGTTTGTTGTGTGCCGTGTGTGGAGTGTTGTGTGTTGTGTATTGTGTTTGTGTGTGTGTGCTGTGCGTTGGTGTGCTGTGTGCTGTGTGTTGTGTGTGTGTGTGTGTTGTGTGTTGGTGTGTGTGTGTGTGTTGGTGTGTGTGTGTGTTGGTGTGTGTGTGTGTGTGTTGTGTGTTGTGTGTCGGTGGATGTTGCTGTGTGTCTGTGTGTGGTGTGTGTTGTGTGTGTGTGTGTTGTGTAAGTGTTGTGTGTATAGTGTGTGTGTAGTGTGTGTGTGTGTGCTGTGTATGTCTTGTGTGTATGTGTATGTTTTGTGTGTGTCTTGGTTTGTGTGTGTGTGTGTTGGTGTGTGTGTGTCTCTGTCTGTCTGTCGCTATCTGTCTGTCTTTCTGTCTTTCTGTCTGTCTGTCTCTGTCTGTCCGTCTTTCTGTCTGCCTGTGAGTCTGTGTGTCTGTGTCTGTGTGTCTGTGTGTCTGTGTGTCTGTGTCTGTGTGTCGTACGAGTGCCTGCGTGTGGGAGTGGCGGTCGGTGCTCAATCGAGACTGCGGTAAGTGGTTGGCTTTCTTTGGCATTCCCTCAAGATCCAAAACAATGGGTCTTAATTTGAGAACACTCCAAACACTTCCTTCGGCCTGCCATCTCGAAGCGACAGTATGTGTCAAAATACAGGCCCAAAACAATGGCGCTCTTCCTGATGGTCTCCCTTTCAATATGTATATATATATATGTAGACACACACACACGCACGTGTAAACTGCACGGCCATTCAGACGCACTTGTTTTCTGGGAGGATTCAAGCGTGACAAACACCTCCGATCTCCCGGAAGAACACGGCAGGTACGTGCTCCCTATCTTCGTCTGGATGACTCTCATCGTCGCAGAGGTCCTGCAACTCTTCGAGCTCAAGCCCAATTTCGTGGTCCTTTGTTTTGTGAATGCCCTCAAGACCCGCCAGCAAGTTTGCAGTGTGCTGAAAGCCGCGCTTTCTGTCGACATCAGACTTAGGAATGGTGGCACCCACATGGACTATTCTCTCTGCCGATTCCGGCCAAGGAGTCCAATGCCACTTCGCAATGAACCCCTCAGTATTGACCAATCTGGTCGCAGTGTCCTTCCCCCGCCCATGGAAATTGTACTCATGTCTGCCAGGTCCGTAGATATGGTTGGTTGTTTGACGATGCATCACCCGATTGTAGAACCAAGTCGACTTCACCCAAACGTGGCGCTGCTTCAGCAAGGACCGAAAGTGCCGCAGCGGCACGCCATCGTATCCCTGCATAAAGAGAGCCTGGTGCTTCAGAATGGTCGGACTTGGGTCCTCCAGCTGCCTCCGAAATAGCCGCGCGCGCATGTTCGGAAAGATCAGGAACTCCGTAACCGTCAGTGCCATGACCCAATCGTTCGGGTACCAGCTCTCAATCTGCGACACCTGAGAGCGGGTTGCTGAGGGTACCCTTTTCAGGTTGGTTTAAAGGGAACCAAATGGAGTTTTGGGTCAAATCCCGATTTCGACACATACCCACCTGTTGGTCCAGAACTTCAGCGTCAAAGACCTGTCCCTGGGAAGAGTTCACCACTCGCCAGCAGGCAGGCGCATAGTCTGCAACCAGCTGCACTGTGCGGTCGGTGCTCTCGAAATCTATTAAGAACGCTTCATCGAACATGGGAGCGTGCTGGATAATGAAGAATGGCATGAGCATGTCTTCATTGCGCGCATGCGTAACAAGCACTGTCTTGCTCCTGGATTCATTGCGCAGTACGTTCGGCACTGATGTACAATCGTTTGGCATAGCTCGAAGGGTCCGGTGCGTGCCGTCCTTCTGCAAACGGACAACTGCAGGTTCCGGGAACGGAACAATGGTTGTGATGCTCTCGCGCTTCCTCAGCCCGAAGTGAGCAATCTTCTTGGCGATCTCGTCGAAAAAGTTCCACGCCAAAACCAGGATCGCAACTGGTCGCCGGAGAGGGACCACCAAAGTCTGCAGGTGCGCACTGGGAAACACCGGGATCTCGGTCCCAGGGCAGAAGGTCCCCTGCTTCAAGTCCGCATCATCCAGAACAAAGTCCAAGAATTGCTCCTCGCATTGCGAAGCACCTTACCCAGCGTGTTCAGCAAACTTTGCTTGCAAAAAAACAAAAAAACGTGCTTCCAACCAGAAGACAAAGTCTCCAAGAACAAATGCTTCAGGGAAAGCCATGTACGGGCATGTTAACCTTGGTTCGCGCATTGCTTTCCAATCAAACCAACGTGAAACGGGGATCGAAAAGAATCACATACATACATACCTACCTACCTACCTACCTACCTACCTACCTACATACATACATACATACATACATACATACATCACATACATTACATACATTACATACATTACATACATACATACATTATAGTACATTATAGTACATTCCTTTCCATTCCATTCCAGTGCATTACATATTGTCTATATATATATATATGTATATGTGTATTCTGAGGGGGGGATAAAGCTAGCCCCCCCCTTCCCCCTCCCTCCCCCACCTCCCAGGACCCACCTTGAAGATGAACAAAGCCTTCAGATGTCCTTAAGAAAGGTCTGAAAGGAATTCCCACTCAATGAATTTGCATTCAAACTAAGCACTCTAATTAAACTTATTCGAAGAAACCAGCAGCCTGTCTGTTCTTGCCAGATTCTCTTTACATGCTCATTGAAATCCCACCTGGAAAGGAATTCCGATTCAAATCGAATTCAAAACAACAACTCAAATTTATGTCTCGTTGAAATCATATCTGGACAGGAATTCCTGTTTAAGAGCCAAATCAAAAACCCTACGTGAAGAGGAACACCTATTTAGAATCCAATGCAAACTAAGAATGTTAATTAAATTCCAACCAAACTCCTACTTGAACTTCAAGCCTTGCAAATTAGGACTTGCAAACCAATAGAAATGAAACTGCATTTTCCGTGTTTCCATCGCTGTACCACACCTTTTCAGGAGCAAGCAAATTAGAGCAAAAACAACCAGCTTGGCTTTCCTCACTAGATTATATTTATATCAAATCAGATTCTATTTCAACCCCTACTTGGAAAGGAAGTCCTATTAAAATACATCTATCTCAAAATGAGAAGTCTGATTGAATGCTAATTGAAACCTTGCTTCAACTTGCAGCCTTGCAATCTTCAAACCTGGAAACCACTGGAACTGAAGCTGCAGATTCCATGGATTTCGATTGGTGTGCCTCTCCTTTTAAGGAGCAGGCAAACTAGAAGAAACGCCCGAGTCCTTCCAAATCAAATTCCAGGTGTGTGTATATATATATATATATGTATACATGTGTGTTTAAATATATATATATATATATATGTATGTGCGTATTTGCGCTACGGAGCCCCTGCGTTTTTGTGCCGCTTTCTTTGTTCTGTTAACACTATGAACACGGTGCGGGTACCAAAAAATGTGGTTTTGAAAAAACATGTACAGCTCATGTTGCCCGTCATTAAGATCTTCTTGGAGACACTCATTCCAAAACCCCAGGACAAGTCCTGGGGTGGTGCTCGCCCCTTCGGGCCCTGTCACCCCTCCAGCCAAGCCGCGAGCTGCAAGATCAGGCAGTGGAAAAGAAGACAGTGTGCTTCACAAATGGAAACAAGAGCTGGTCACAAGTTGCAAAGCAATCTTTCCCTGGCAAGCGCCTCAAATTCAGAAAGGTCAGCCACAATAAAATGCAGGTTACAAGGCCGGTTCGCAACTCGGGGCCACTTTGGCTGGAACTCAACAGCAGGACAGGATTTGGCTCAAACTGATTCCCTGAAAATGTAAACTCAAGAAGCTAGACGGGGAATAACATACCGCCGTGTTGTGGCAGTTTTTATCCGTTCTTCTTGTAGGTGGGCCCAGCACCAATTGCACAGCAGACTCGCAAAGTTATGCCAGGCCATGCGTGTGTGTGTGTGACGCTTGTAAGTCCTGCAGTCAGTACGCTGCACTTCGAACATAGCGCTTCCAAACTTTGAACATGGAACGCGCTTAACAAGTCCTTCAATGTGTTTGTGTCATGTTCAGCTGCAGCGTTATATCTTCAAAATATTGAGTATGGAAGAGATAAAAGCCGGGGCGGACATGCGCGGATGTTAAGATATCAGGTGTTTCTCGCTTGTTTTGTGCAGCTGGTTGGTGTTGTTGTTTTTTTTTTTTTTTTTGCGAAAACGCAGGGGCTCCTGCAGGCGCGGGTACCATGTTTATGTGCATATAGTAGTAATAATGGTAATAACAATAATAATAAAGATGCTAAATATAGCAATATGAAGGATAATACAATAATGAATAATAGTAGTAATGAATAGTAATGAATAAGAACAATAACGAGAACAATAATACATTTATATATATACATATATATATATATATATAGTACCCTCGGCCCAAACGAAAAAGGACTTGTCTCATCATATTGACTGCATGTTGGTCCTACTGTACTCAACCTCAGAATCGACAATTCATAGTAGAACCCAGTTCCAGAGTAGACTGAGAGAAAAGACAAAACGCCAAACCACTCATCCTACCCCGACCAAGCCTGGAGCGCTTTTGCATTCATTCGCAGTATGGTTGTTTCCCTTTTTCGTCCAGTGGAAATGGTGCGCACCAATGTTGAATTGTTGTCGAAGACTTGGCAGATATTGCAATGAACCAAAAACAAAGTTGGTGCGAAACATTTTCAAGCCAAGCTGAGAGCCTCGGAAATGCTGTGCAAAACTTTGCTTGCGGGTGGCCTGGAATCAAGGTTCCCAAAACTTTTCTGTGCAATCCTGGATCTACACTGCGCAGTTTGACATTTTTTGGATGCATGATCTAACAAATGCTGAACAATACTGCATCTTGCTGCGTTCTTTGCCAGATCCATGTTGATTGAAACACAGTCCATTCTTGACTTGGCCCAAATCCTGCTTAGTTAAAAACATAGAACGAGACAAGGTCAGTTAACCTGTTGAAATTAAAGTTGGCTTTAATGTCGACTAGCAATTTCAATAGTTATTCTCTCCTTGTGTCGCTCATTTGGAAATTGAATCTGGACTGGACTTGAAATCACATGATGCCTAGATATTTGTCTCACAATTGATGTTCAATATGTTATCGACAAATTTGAGACCGAACTACACCACGTAAATTTGACAGGATGTGCTGTCAAATACAATTTCAATAGAGATGAATTAGAATCTAAACGGAATCATATAAATAGAATTGAATTAGCAAGCAAAGGACATGGAGCACTTTGATAATTGGTTGGATGTCAATTTCAAATAGGGAGTCGGACAGGAATGAATTCCAATCCCCAAAAAATGAAGTCTTGCTGTTCCAGGCAAGTTGAAACTGCCAAAGTGTAGACCCTTGCGAACTACTCTTATACTGAAAAGTGCTACTTTTCTCGCTCGAGCTGCCAATTGCTTACTACAAGTGGATGACATTCAAAATGCTGGACAATATTGAATCCTAAATCCCATGTACCTCCAGGCGGCTTGAAAATTCAAGTGATGCTGAACAAAGATGTCCGGGGAATCTTGACTCTGAAAACAGTGATAGAACAATAGATAGAATGATAGAATGATTGACTGATTGATTGACTGATTGATTGATTGACTGATTGATTGATTGATTGATTGATTCACTGACTGACTGATTGATTGATTGATTGATTCATAAATAAATGGATAGATAGGTAGATAGGATAAAATAGGATACTGTAGGATAGCGCAGGATACGACAGAGAGATAGAAAAGATATGATAAGATGGGATAGGATAACTCAGGGTAAGGCAAATAGGCTAGCGATAGATAGGATAGGCAAATAGACAGATGGGCTAGATATCGATATAGTTGTAGACGATGTAGATATAGATATAAATGTGTATATAATATGTATATATATATATATATATCCATGGCACCAAGGATGAAGTGCAGCAGCGTCATGCCCTTGGCTGCAGCACCATAGGCACCCACCACATATCCCTTGGACCGGAAGGCTCGGATTTCCCGCGTCACCCAGTCGCGGATCGCAATGGCTCGGGACCTGAACCGCTCGGCGAAGAAGTCACTGGTCACGCCATCGCGCCTGCGGAGGCATTGGCTAACCCAAAGCGGAAAGCTCAACGCTGAACTGATCAAGCACCAAATATCCCCCGCTTTTTCGGGGGTTCCTCTCTTCAAGCGAGCCCAAAAGGACGGGCCACAAAACTCGGGTTGTTTCTCACAACTGCTCAAAGGGCGCAAAACGTCCCTCGCCCGGCAACCTGCCGATTTCTCGTCTTGGTTGGTGGCCCCTTTCAAAGTGCTTCAACTGGGTATGGGTCAAAATGAAACCACCAGGGAACCGCAGGTTTTTAGTCCTTGGTTCCATTTACCAGGGTTTCATTTTGGGTACCTATTCTTGACCCGCAGCCAACTGACTCTTTTTTTGGGGGGAATCAAATCCCAAGCTGCCCGCCTTTCCGTCGCCAAGCGCTTCTCCAAGGAATTGTCCTTGTTGTCGCCTCAAGCGAAGGAAGACTCCGATAGCATGGGACCAAAATCCAACATTGTGTCCAGATATGATATGGAACCTGCCAAGAATGGAACTTGAAAGTGACTTCAACAAGGGTACCCTCAAAGAAGACACACCCACAACATGTGTGTAGCCTGGCTCGAATACTTGCAGCACATAAACAGCGCTGAACGACGTGCCACATGCAAGGCATGAAGACCCGAGGCGCCATTGCCCACAAAGCAGGCCTCTTTCTAAGACAAGCCAATCCCCAGCTCGAGTGGCACATGCGCACAAACTCTTTGAGCAGAGGTCTTTCTCATCATGCGGGGGATGTAAGGGCAGCTCCTGGTGAGACCGCGAGACCTGGACGAAATGGTGGTGTTTTGCAGTTGAACACCGAGCAAATGCATTTTATTTGCGACCCTCATTCTGAGTCCCAAACGCAGGTCCCAAAACACTTTGACATTGACAAGGCTTCAAGGGAAGACTCACATGCCAGACTAAACAAAGGCCCCTTTCCATCCACACGACCAACTAGCGGCGGCAGACTTTGTGACACACTTCCGCTATGGAGAAATTGCAGGTGCTGCACTGGATTGCAATCAGCAGTTTGCCAGCTGTGGACCAATGAATGGATATGGGTCAATGCGGGAGGCTCAGAACTGATATGGCACTCAGAATAAGGAATCCGGCGCAGGGGGAGGGGGTGAGAGAGAGAGAGAGAAACAAACGGGTGCGAATGTTGGTGCTCAAAGAGGCTGTGGTAAGTGGTTGGTTCAATTGCATATCCAAGCAACCTTCCAACCTGCGACGTTCTCTTTCCGAGACATTGGCCCAAGTGCCAAGACAACTCAGCTTGAGACAGCCTTTCCCAGCAAGCCAGGGAGCCTTCGCAGGTCTAGCCCTGCTAAAAAGAAAAACAAGGCGGTCGTGGCGCCCAAGACCCCCGCTCCCATTCACAGACAACACCTCGAGTTGCCTGAGCCCGGCACCTGACTTTTCCATTGTGACCAAGCACGACTCCCCGTGGATCGGCACCGTCTCAAACTTCACAATCTCCAGCCCGGCCAAATCCGCGGCCTTCTTGAAAGAATGCCCAGTGAAGAAGGAGATGTGCTCATGGTACCTTGGTTGGCAACCCTTCCAAACAGTTGATCTGTTTGATTACAAGTGGTAAGCTTAACTTCTTGGCCAAAAGAAGTGCAAGAACAGTCGCAGTACTGAATCCATTATTTTTTAAGTTGCATGTTTCGAGGCGCATGAAAAAGCTATGAAAAGCTAGAAAATGCACTGGGGAAGGTGGTGCGGAGCGTTCTTGGAGCCCGCTCAAGAGGACCATTGGCACAGCAGCCCGCACTGCTTCGCAACCATCAAATGACGAAAACTTTGCAGACTGTCATGGGATTAACCGTCAAACAACTCGGTGCACTTTTGCACTTTTCACTTCGCTCACGGAACCCCTACAGACTTTAGCAGGGTTGGCCTTGGATTGCACTTCTTGCCAGTTGTCGGTTTGCATAACCACTAAACAGCGAACACTCTGAGGACGTCGTGGGAACCATAAAAACTCTGCGTCTTCGTGTGTTTAACTTCGCTCGCGCAACTTTGCTGCGGACTTTGGCTGGGGCCCACCTAATGCAAACTGCTCTTTGTTTCTATATCAATCCCTGCATCTCGACTTTCATCTGGGTCGACGCTGTCTACATGCAGTACGAAGCTGCGCAAAAAGTTTTGCCAAGATGTGTCAGCAAGTGCTAGCACATCCTGGATATAAAGACTAAAGGTTCAAGATTCTCAGCATCTCCCAAGGAATCTTGACAGCAGCACCGTGTATTTCAACATGTGTTGCATCGCGGCAGCTACTGTTGACTGTTGATGTTGCTACGGAGTGCCTGATTGGTTGCTACATGACCTTGCACGAATACATAATGAGTGACAAGATCAACAAGGGGAGCCCAAACATGAATTTGTTTCCTATATACAAATACACGCAAAATACGCTCAGATAGCATCCCCAACAGCAAGCCCCGGGACCTTTAAGACTCTCGGAGCCGCTTCAGACTTGGAGCTCTGGAATCGACCCCCAGAGCTTTCTGATGGCCTTCCCTCTCTGGGCTTTAAGGTAGCACCCAGCTGCATAGTGTCAAACTGCCCCAGCTGCTGCATGTTGCACTGGGAGGTCTGGATGTAAAGCTTGGTCTTGGGGCCCATCACCTGAAAGATTCCGGGAGAAAGAGCACATGGCAGACTTCAACTTGAGCAACTGATGAAACGAAGTGTTGTTGAGGGAGGACCACAAGGAAACGTTCCTAAATCAAACATTTGGGTCCATTTCTAAATAAGCTGGTAGTTGGGTGTTGAGAAACTGGCCCCTGTTAAAAATCGGCAAAAGGCTTTCTCAAAAGATCCGAATCCTTGCAAAACAGGCGACTTTTTAGGTGTACCCTCCCTCCAACAATCACGAAAGCTTGCAGGAAGGTGTGGGAGGACTGCGTCCACGATTGTTGGAAAGGGGGAAGCAACCAGGTTGCAATTGTTTCGTGAAAACAACCAGACCGTGTTTCAAGCAATACTGAGGATGGACGATATCCTGCATCAGTTGGGATCAGTGGCTTTTCCCAGATTTCAGAGGGCTTTTAGTCACTCGCAACCTGACAAATGCACAAACAGTCGCTCCCTGCTTCGCGAAGCTTGGGGAATGATCCCGTCGGTGCGGACACTGATACGCACACGGTGTGCAAAGTAAGGCACACAATCGGCCATTGGCGCCAGCTCTGCAGCTGGCTCGCGCCAGCAGTTTCTGCTTGACAGGATCCGAAATGGGGGCGGCGCGAAACGAACAGTTATGATTGAAACGGATTTGTTTGCGCTCATTGTGGCCCTGCACATTTGGACCCTTTTCCTTTCCAGTTGCCTTTGCGCCTGTTATACCCGCCGACATTGGGGAGGCGTGTCGGATACTTAAGAGAGGATAGAGGATAACCTTTCCAGCGGGGGGGGGGGGGTCCCCACGTACCGCGCGATAATTTGATGACGTTCCACTAAACGTAGTCTTTCAAAACACTCGAATCCCCCTGCCGGCTCTTTGCTGGTTTGGGTTTCCTCTCTCCTTTTGCCGAAAATCTGGGATATCCTTTTTGCGAAAACGCTGGACAAACCGTGTTTTCTGCGGGAAAATGCTGGGGAGCAAAGGGGAAATGCAAGCAAGTGCAAGCAAATGAGGGGAGGAAATAGGAAGTCGACATGACAGGAAAGCAAGGGGAAATGAAAGGGAAACAAAGGAGAACTGAGAGGGACATGACAGGGACAGAAATGAAAACAAGGGGAGTGCAGGGGAATGAAAGGGAAACAAAGGACAAGGAAACTAATCGACACGACGGCAGATGTAGGGAAATGACTGGCAACGAAAGAACGGGACATACATGCGGGCATACTGAGAAAATGCCAGGGACATGACGGGGGAGTTAAAAGGAATGAAAGGGACATGACCAGGACATCATGTCAAACGTGACATGGACATGAAGGGGAAATCAAGGGGAAAGCCAGTAGTAAGCAGACAGTTCAGGGTCATGAAGGGGCAGTGCCCGGACATCGAGGCAACTCAGGGGGGACGTGGCGCTGCAATGCAGAGAGAGAGAGAGACAGAGAGAGAGCGGGAGACAGAGAGAGAGAGAGAGAGAGAGAGAGACAGAGAGCGAGAAAGAGAGAAAGAGACAGAGAAAGAGACAGAGAAAGAGACAGAGAAAGAGACAGAGAAAGAGACAGAGAAAGAGACAGAGAAAGACGGAGAGAGAGAGAGAGAGAGAGAGAGAGAGAGAGAGAGAGCGAGAGAGAGAGAGAGAGAGAGACAGAGAGCGAGAAAGAGAGACAGAGACAGAGTCAGAGAAAGAGACAGAGAATGAGACAGAGAAAGAGACAGAGAAAGACGGAGAGAGAGAGAGAGAGAGAGAGAGAGAGAGAGAGAGAGAGAGCGAGAGAGAGAGAGAGAGACAGAGAGAGAGACACAGAAAGACAGAGAGAGAGAGAGAGAGAGACAGAGAGAGAGACACAGAAAGACAGAGAGAGAGAGAGAGAAAGAGAGACAGAAAGAGAGAGAGAGAGAGACAGAAAGAGAGAGAGAGAGAGAGAGAGACACAGAAAGAGAGAGAGAGAGAGGGAGAGAGAGAGAGACAAGGTCCTCCAGGTTAGAATAAGGGTACCCTTTGTTCTGTAGAGAGGCGTGGACGGGAAGGAGACAGGGCGACAGAGAGAGAAAGAAAAGCAGAGAGAGAGACAGAGACAGAGACAGAGACAGAGACAGAGACAGGGAGAGGGAGAGGGAGAGGGAGAGGGAGAGGGAGAGGGAGAGGGAGAGGGAGAGGGAGAGGGAGATTGAGGAGAGAGAGGCTTGCGGGGATGGGGAGGATGGGGAGCAGAGGGAGGGGGAGAGGACGACGGAACACACGGGGGAGGAGACAAGAGAGAGGAAGAAGGAGAAAAGGGAGAGGACAATGTCGGCGGACTGAGCCGGAGGCTCTAAAGTTGATAACAATGCTACACGAGATGTGGCGATCTCGGGATTGGCCAGGTCTGAAGCCGCGGACAATCTTGTCGAAACTTGAAGATAGTTGCTCCCTCTTTTCTCGGTTTGCCAGGGTGGCATCGCCTTCAAATCCTGCGGATGACCCATCTCGTGGCCTTGTCGCTGAGCTGGTATGGAGCATACCCCCTGTGACCAAGTCTTTGGGAGCATCATCTCTCATCTTGGGGAAAAGGGGGGGGTGGCTGTGGCTAGTGCTGCCGGTATGCGAGCAAAAAAACAAATTCGGAATGGCCCTGTGATTATGCTGACGCGCGAGCCAGCTGCAGAGCTGGCGCCTGTGGCCGATTGCATGCTTTGAAAACCGTGCGCATATCTGTGTCGGCACTCATAGAGGCGCGCCCGACGGGATCACTCCTCAAGCTTTGACAAAAAGGGAGCGACTGTTTGTGCGTCTATGTGGAACTTGTCGGGTTGCGAGTGACTAAACGGGTCCCAACATGTCAATTTTGATAACGCATTAAGGATTGCGCCAGGCTGTGTCTGAAATTGCGTGTGATGCAATTTCGTCAATCGCAACGTAGTGCTTGAGACCTGGGGCATGTGTCAAAATAGGGGAACCCGAAAAATGGTAACTTTCCTTTACACCAACGTGCAAAAAGGAACCCTCAAAAGCCCAGGTGGTATCCCCAACAGGCCCGGACCCCTCTCCAAACTTACGGCGCCCCAGCTCAGCGAGAAAAGATGGCGCAAGGCACATCTGCGCAACCGCCGATTGAGTCATTCCCTTAGGAACCAGAATGGTTCTCAGGATCCCTACCGGGATGACAGTTCCTGTGAACCCCAAGGAACTGGCCAATAAAACCATGGCATGGCCTACGTTTCACTTCGATGGCCTTGGCGCAGCCCTTCAGAAAGTCCACGGGCTGTGGAACGTGGGCGAAGACGTTCTGGGCCGTGATCGCCGTTAGGGCATCGCCTTTTGGGAGCTCGGGGAAGTCGAGCGGCCAGAAGCCAACACGCACGGTGTGTGCCTGACACAATAGGGAGGCATGTGGCGAAAACACCCATTCCAGGACACACGCACGAGAAAGCCATTGACCCAACCAAAACACACATAGCGCTCTCAAACAAAAATAGAGCCCGACAGAACCCACAGACCTTTTGACGAACAGACCTTTCTATTCTGAGGGGAAGCTCCTTCTGGGCGATTTCTGCGATGTTCTTGGCGGGGTCCACTCCATAGGTCTTCCAGCCCAAGGCCTTGAAGGAATCCAACTGGCTGCCGTCGTTGCAGGCAATCTCCAGAACAGAACCTTAGACCAAGCAGAAAGGCGCACCAGCGCCTCTTGAAGGGACGGCACAAGAGTTCCAAAATTAAAAATTCAGGCGGGGCACCGCTCTTCAGGTTCCCGCTCTCTTCTTGCACCTTGTCGACTTGGAATGCTTTGGAACCCCCGTTTTCGTTTTAGAAAGGGGAGCTTTAATCGCTGCCTAAAGGGGAAAGGGGCGGGGGGGAGGATGGTTGGTTGGTGGCCCTTGCGCTGGTTCCTTCCCCTTGCCTTGCCGGCCAGCCAATCGAAGTGGGCCTTCAGAGTGGAGCTGGTGCCCGAGCGGTAGAGGTAGTGCTCGAAGAGCTCCGAGCGGCTGGCCACCTGGGAGAGGTGGTAGTGGTTGCAAACCCGGCACCGCACCAACTTCAGCGGAAACCGCGGCGACTCCAAGGCCTCGAATCGCTTGACGGGCGAGTGGAATGTTTGAAGCCCAGAAAAAGGAAAGACCGAAGAATCGACGGCTACGAACTTCGGAGTGCAGTGTTTCTGCCCCCACTTTGGGCGAACAAAGCCCAAATCATACTTATCCTCAGCAGCAAAAAAAAGGAACCACAAGCAACCCTGGCTTGCTCTTCCCCTCTTTCTCAAGAGGTCGATCTCCTTCTGTACTTCTGTACCAGTAGCTATGAAAAGGCAATTTGATTCTGCTTTGCCACCTGCAGAAGCGGTGCTCTTGATTTCTGCCGGAAAAAACAAAGGTGCACTCCAACAAAGACACGGTGACAGACAGGGACGCACACACACACACACAAACACACCACACAACGCACACGCACGCACTCGAACAGAACAAGGACAAAGACACAGACAAAGACGAACTGCAAACCCCACCACAAACAGAAACACAGACAAGAACACAAACACAAATACAACACACACACACACACACATTCCTTCTCGGGGGATTCGGTCACACCAAAACTCCAGGGCGAAATCGCTACAAAAAGTACATGCCCTCGTTGCTTCCCGTGAAAACAACCAACAGACCAACATGTTATAGCCCCCTTCCCCTCACGGGAAAAGAAAAATAAGGAACCACACCCACCTATCCCCCTCGCCTGTCAATTTCCCCCGTTCTTCGGGCAAGCCGGCAAGCCCCAAGAAATCCCCCTACCCGGTCAATTTCCCCCGTTCTTCGGGCAAGCCCCAAGAAAAGACCACTCCGAGCGAGAGTAAAAAGACGAAGCAAAGTGGCCTCCTCCGTGTCGTTCACAAAGTGGTTGGCGAAGGGCTGTTCGCCCAGGTCGACGACCAGCTGCGAATCTGTGGACCCGCACACCGGGCAGGCGATGGAGTCCCCCGCGGAATTCTTGGCCGGCGCATGCGAGCCTCGGGATTCCAAGTTTCGTGCGAGAAAAACAGAGATTAAACCACGACTGTTCCCGAGGGTGATACACCCCCTTGCTGCAACCGTGAGGCTTGAACCACCTTTTACCACACATCTGATTCAAATCACAAATCTGAGTTTCTGAAAGAAACAAAAACTGAGTACTTCAGTGGCGGCTATTTACACAACCTCCATTCCTCTGGACTTTCAGTCGCGCCTTTGGGCATGGCAGAGTCCGGCATGTTGGCATCGAACTCCGAGAGCGTGCTCTGCAGATCCCACTGGAATTCGAACCCAAAGGTTTCCCGAAAGGCCGCAGTGCTCAGGGAAAATCCCTTGAATTTGGGATCCGCAAGCTCATAGCCCCGCACCGAGCTCTGCATATCCAGCTTCGCCCCTGTAATCGATGCCACGGTGGTGGCCACTTTCCTGGCCGCGACCGCGCAAAACGCGCAGCCGACGTTGGAAGGAACACGTCTTCCCAAAAAGTCAAAGGCTGATCCGAGGAGCCAAGTTTCAAGATCTTTGCATGAAACGACGCCAAGTTCCAAATGGCGAAGGTTCCGGGCTTCTGCACCGGCTTCCGCCGCAGGATTAAGGTATGAACAGCCCGCGCCAGGTCCGGCAACGCCAGGAAGGATCTCATGACGTCGTAGCCCTGGACGTGCAGCACGCCCTCCGTGTAGGCCGACTTAAAGAGGCTGGGCACCTTGATTCGTTTGAGCGTTTGCTAATTACTCTCATGTCAACAGATCTAAAGTCTAAAGTCTACCGACTATAAACTCCAAAAGCATCCCGCGGCACCAGCAAATCGGTCCTCTGCCCGGGCGAGGTTCCGACGACCGTGCCGAAACGCAACATGGAGATCCATGGGCTACGCGAACCGCTCGCCAGCTGCCGCAGCCGGTTTTCCCGTTCGAACATGGACGTGGAATATTCGTCCAGCAGCCTGGGCGCTTTAAAAGGACAAAGTCTCGAAGAATCGACAAAGATTTGGGCAAAGGTGAATAATTCACCCGCAAATCAGGAATCCCTAAAAAGGAAATCTTTCTCATGGCATCGCAAGAGGAGAACAACTACCAAGAAATGGCCCAGCCATATTGACCAATTGTTCGCACCCAGCGACTCGCTGAAGACCTCGTCGGACTCCAGTGCGTCCCGCCGACCTTCCGAGACGGCGGACGTAGATGCAGTGATGAAATGCTGGCCAGGATCGCATTTGGACACAAGGTCCTCCACGTCATTGACATTGGCTTGGGTGCGTTCCTCAAAGGACATGCCTGCACAAGCTCTTCTTCCAGTGCATCCACCGAGAAAAATCACAGTGCCAAATCGCTGTAAATCCCGTCGAGTGAGTGACCTGCTGTGCCTTTGGGCCACTTCCAAGCCAGGAATGTTCGGGTTCACATCAAAAGCAACCACTGTAAGATTGGCAGATGTCAAGAACTGGGTCAAATACGAGCCGATGTTGCCTCCACCCCCTATTATGGCCACATGGGCTTCATTTGCATTTGAGCTCATCTCATTGGACATGCCAAATACAGATCGCACGTGCGCGCCATAGGGTGTTGGCCACATGCTGTCATACGCAATGAGAGCCCCCAGTGAAAGGGCCAGGCATGCATATCTCAAGCGCGCTCTGTGCTCTTTAAGCATGGCGCGAAATTGCATGGGATCCCTGAAACTTGCATGGTGTAGTGCATCCCCACCCGCTTGCTTAGGATGAGTGGTGTGGTGCATCTCTACGTGCTTGAGATGAGTGGTGGTGCATCTCTACCGATTTCCTGGGATAAAGTGGTGTAGTGCATCTCTATGGCTTGCTCAGGTAAGTGGGGTAGCGCATCTCTGCGGCTTGCTCGGGATGAGTGGTGTGGCGTCTCCACAGCGGAGTAAGTGCAACTTCAGCAACTCCCCTTGGTGCATCTCATACATGCGCTGAAACGAGCCAAGTGCCTGCAAACCGGGTGCAAACGTGAGCTATATCGACCACCACGGCATGGGCCTTGGCTTAAAACCATGAAAACGAATTGTCAGAGTCAACAGACCCTGGTGCCAAAACCATTGCAAACATCCTCGGTTCTGATATTTATGCACCCTCAGTTTGGCCTTTTCTTGCCGACGGCGGAAGCTTCGGCACGGGTGCCCAATGCGCTTCATGCAGTCCGAGCAGAAGCCGATTTTTGTCGCGCGCCGGGGAGGCTCACTCAGAGTCCTGGCTGAGAGCGTTTAGGAGCCGATCTCTGAAAGCCCGGCCCCTGAAACTGCCGCGCGCTCCTCGTGAAGGCTGCCATACGGTCGTTGGGGCATTTGGCCATTGGTCTGCTTTCTTGAGGGTACCTGTTTGTGGTTGGTTTAAAGAGAAACCAAAGGGGGTGTCCCTTTGGCACTCCGCCATGACTGGAGGCGCCGAAAGAGGACCGTCATGCCCTCCACCCCGTGCATAACATGAGGAGAAAACTAATGACACACGTGCTTCCCTGATGATCATGACTTGAGCTTGGTTTTCGTCCCCCACAGCCTACATGAATGAATGATTTAGGCCTTGATATCAAGCAAAGGGACGTGCTAGGAGTTACGAGGGCTTCACGCGGCATCCGGGCGCTTCACGCGGATGGCCTCGTCAGACTGCTTCTTCAGCTTGCGTTGCTTGTGGTGCTTCTCCTCTTCTTCCTGGTCTTCCTGGTCTTCCTTCTCCAACTCCTGGCACAAAGAAACCAAGCACCTCTCGCAAGATTCAACCGAGGTGTCAAAAAGAGGTGTGTCCTTCCATCTGCAGTTCTTCTTGCTTTTCGCTTGTAGATTCATTGTTCAAAAAGAGGTGAGAAAGTGCAGTTCTGGATGTCTTCTCCCATCGCACATGGGTTGCGGACTGAACAGCCAAACCCAACGGCCGAGAGCAGCTGGGACGAAGGTGCCCGAGCGACCCGTTTTCAGGGGAAAGCCAGCAAGCCACCCATTCTCCCGACATATTGCCCAGGTGCACTTGAAATATGAAGCGTTTCCGAGACCAAGGCCTTTGTCTGCCGGCCGTTCGGTCCCGCCTCCAGGGAGTTCAGCAACACCTGCTCCAAGCTCTCTTCCATCTCGCGCCGGCGCCTCGAAGCTGACCCACAAAACCCAAGGAGCGACCATTGACTCGGACCAAGTAAGCGCTTTGTTTGACTGGAACCAGTGGCAAAACATCTTAGGTATCTCAGGCCTCACCTTGATGACCAAAACCACGAAGCGAGTTGACAAACCTCCCCTGGCAGTGGTGAATGCCTGATCTCTGCCAGCTCCCCCTCGGAAGCGCGGGGCTTCCTCGGCACGTCCGCCGTCACCTGGCGCGGAAGGGTCTCGACTCGAACAAATGGCGACCCCAAACCCGGAGAACCCTCGAAGCCCACAGAAAGGCGCCCGCTTCATTTGCGCAGAGGTTGTGACGTCCACAGCACGAAAATGAAAACAACCACACAACTCCAAGACACCGGCAAGTGTGGGCGAGCACTACTCCCATGGAAATTACTTACCCACAGAAACATAAGGCCCACAAATATGTCCTTGCTGCTGGGTTCAAAAAGGCCATGCAAACTGGCCGGAAGCCAAGCCTTCGAGGAGCCAAAGTCACGGTGCCCAAATCTGAAGCGTCTCAACTTCCAGAAACCATCCGGGTCCAACTCGTCCAACTCGTCCAACTCAAGTCAATCAACCCGGGTTTCTCTTCACGTGGGCACAGTGCCACGCCTTGTGTGCCCAACATTATGGCCCGCCTTCTGTTTTTTTCTCTTCGCAAGGAGCTCGCGCTTTTTGGCCTTCTTCTCCTTGGGCGGTTGCCACCCGTTGAACTACACTTCAACCCTGTTCTCAACAACGCTGACGTCTCATGGTCTCCAGAAAGGACCAAGACAAGTCCGACCATTTGGGAGGTTTCTCAGAACGGTTATTAGGATGGTTTGAGGGGAAACCAACAGCAAAAAGGGGTATACCCCTAGGTCCTCGACTGCTCAGCCAACTTGAGGGGTGAAAACAAAAGGCTGGCGCAAAACCCGCTGAGCGGTGGCCTCAGAAGGGGGTAACAGAGGGTGTCAAATGAAACCTCTGCAACTTCCACCGGCCAAGCCATTCAACCACAAAATCCACATTTGGCATCCGATTTCGGAGCCTTTGCAACTTCCCGGTCCTTCATCCGCCAGGGATTTGGCGTCGTGGGCGCCATTTTTTTGGAATAGGGCCAAAAGGCGATGGTCGCGTCCAAGGGCGTCACATAGAGCCAGCGGTACCGGTTTCGCAGATGGAACCGGTCCTGGAGGGGGAAAAACAAAAAACAAAATAAAAGTGGAAGACATAGAAGTCTTCCTGGAAAAAGACATATTGAAGTGACTTTTATCCAAGAATCTAACTTTAAAACGAAATATCAAGAGTGAACCAAACGCGCAAGCCTGGCAAAGCCTTCAAAGTCGGGTCAAAGTCTGCTGGTTCTTTTCGGGAAACCCGAAATAAACAAATGTCAAAAAAAGGATGCACCAACAAAGCAAGGGCACCACCACTCTCATCTTTGATCCTTCTGTTCGATTTCTTTTCCTGTCTTTCTCTCGCATTGCTCCCTTTATTTTTTTTCTGCGGCGGTCTTTTCTTGTCGCTTCTTTGCGGCACTTTCGTCTTTTCTCTCTTTCAAGTTTCACTTTCCTTCTCATTCCTCCCCCTGGTTCGGGCCGCGTGGTGAACGCGCGACTCGATCTTCCAGCGAGGGAAGAGAAAAGAGGATGGAACACTTAGCGATCTCAAAACTTGCAAGAAATTCTACAGGGGATTCTACAAGGAATCCTTATTTTTGGTAGGTATTTGCCAAACTTCCTGGACAAATGCAGTGTGGAAGATGTCAAACAGGAAATAGAGACTAGACACGAGAACAAGGACGTGAAAGGAAGAAGACAGCAGAAACGCGAAAGGGACAAGGGCTTTCTGAAAGAAATAGGAAGCAAAACTAAAAAATCGGAAGAAACGTAGAACAAAATGCATCGGTGACTTGGCCGATGCCCATCGTCCCGCTCGAGCCCCAGCGGTATGACTCGAGCAGCTCCCGAAGCGCCGATTTGCCAAATCCATGGAAGTTTGGGGAGATGCAAACAGTGCGAAAGCCATGAGCTTCTGGGCAAAAACTTCCCATCCCGCACTCGAGGCCAAACAAGACCCCCTTGTTGTGAGGAAAGATCGGCCTCAGCGTCCGACTTTCGACCAGTTGGCTTTCGGGAAGCTCTTGGCGCCTTTTTCGGCACCTTCGGCACCTTCTTCGGCGCCTTTGTGGATCCACCAGACCCACTCAGCCTCTCTCTCCGATCTCCGCGCCTTCTCGGCCTCGTTGTGGAGCCGCACGAGGAAGGTGAAGAGCAGCGAGGGCTCCGCGAAGTCTTGCAGCTTCAACAGCCACCTAACGCCGCGGCGTTAGAGACCTGCACACCCCCTCTTGGTGTTGAAAGGAAATTGCAGGAAAACCCTTACATGTTGCCCCCAAAACAGTCACAGTTGATAGGGAAAATAACTCAGGTGAAACGACCAGACCCAGAAAGGCAAATATCCGATTGAACCAACAAGGACTTGAACCCCAAGACTTGTCAAAACATGCTTGGAGCCAGGCCGAAAGAATCATTCCAAGAAACGCGGAGGAAGTTCTGATGGAAATTCGCAGCGAAAGGGGAAACGACTAGATGGGCATGTCAAACTAGGGGACCCTAAATGGATTGGAACCCTTTGGTTGCCATTAAACCCACGCCAACAAGGGCCAAGCCGCACAAAAATGCACACCCATCTTGGGGTTCGGTCCTTTCCGGGTCTCAAAAAATCAAAGTGGGGGTCAGAGACCAGAAGTTGCATAGTCAGTGAGACAGCCTCCAATTTGCCTGAGCTAAATGCTGGTTCAAGGGCGAAACCGGGACCCTCAAACCGCAACTTCAACAGACCCTGTAACCTCACTCCGGAACAGATGGGGGCGCCCCAATAAACATGCGTAAATTCACCCCCTCTTTTCACAGGCTCCTGCTCCCTATCCAGAGCAGGGCGGATCTCACAGCACGGCGAGGTTCCAAAACGAGAAAACACAAAAAGCTTCCATTCAAAGTAACCGTCAACAGGGAACCACCGAAGAGATTGGTGCACATGAATCACCGCCTAAATGATGTCCACCAAAGGGCCCCCTATCAAAAATCACACCCAAATGAAATGCAGCATGCCCCCTTGTACAGTGGTACACCTGCCCAACTGCACATTGAGAAACTCGGTTGCTTTCTGCTCCCCTGCTGCTAAAAGTTTAACTTTTAGTGGTTTAATGGAAAACCCATTTGTTGGCAAAAAGCTAAAGTCATAACATCCAAGCAAAATGCGCCAAAGAAAGACTGCCAGTCAGGGAATGAAGCAAAGCAGCTGGCCACAGTGCATGCACAATGCATGCGGCGATAGTGGATTTACCAACCGGTTGGGCCCCTCCAAATGGCACAGTTTCTGTCAGTTACATTTGGAAATCATCCCCAAAAGGGTCCAGCTTCGTTCCCACATGAGCCGTGCACAAAATCCTGTGATCGGCAAAAGGACTGGACAATTGGGCAGGACCCTTGCTCACTGCAGACCTTCGCGGTTAGGGAGGGGCAGAAATTTGTTCCCCAGGTCCCCATGTTCTAGACTCCCATCTTGCTCATATCTGTCCATGAAAACCCAGCAACTCGATTGTTCGTGGTTGAGGGAACCCCTGCAAGGAAAAAATGGACATGCGCCCCAAGGTCTGGGAATCCTCGGCTCGGCAGTTCCGTTCGCGCCTCATGCACAGCATCCGCTGCGCCTCCGGGCGCTCAAGCTGCTGCAGCTCCCGCCGCAAGTGCTGCAGCTGGTTCTGGGGAAAAGCGTGCGGTTTGTATGGGTACTTTACCCCGGTGGCTCTAGAATTGCTGCAGGCAACAAGGTTCGACAAAGTGCTTGAAAACCCTGCTCCGGGGGGGAAAGATCGTTCCAGTGGAAGTCCTTCATATTCACCACTGCTCATATTGCAACTTCCCTCCTTTCCAACCCACTATCCAATGCGAGCATCCAAACTCGACCGGCATTTGAACGAAAAGCACACAAGTTCGGACATGAGCCACGGTCATAATTACATCCCCCAGGACATGGGAAAATTCGCGAGTTCCCCATTTGTGCGACATTTAGTGAGTTCCCTATGCTGACATACGCCCACACAAAAACAAAAACAAAAAAGAGCCCATAGACTAGTGCCAAGTTTGGCCAAACCTCCCCGTCGCGGGCCGAACCCGCAAACTTGTTCCCAGCCACTCCTTCAGGGCCTCGTACTCAGCCACGGTCATCTTGCGCAACGCCGCTGCATCGTCCAGCCTTGGGACGGCTTGGATTTCCACAACCCCCCACTTCTCTGGCCCAAACCCTTCCGCTCCCATTGATCAAGCTTTGCCCTAGAACAAATTGGAACTTCATAATATCAGCCAAGGCTCGAAAAACAATGGAGTGAAGGGTTTGAAAGCCCCATTTCTCCCATCAACCACTCTCAAAAAGGGGGCTGGATTGGTCTTTGACCCCCTGCAAGATGCTGAGCTGTTCGCTTGTCAGTGCGGGCATCAATCATCATCAGAGAGCACCCAAAACTGAAAATGAACCTACAGTAGTTGCCGCCCGAGCCATGTTCTGAGCAGGTTGAAGTCAGCCAAGCTGCAAATCCGCGCCTGGGTATGTCTCAAAAAGGGTTGCAACCAAAGCCATGGGCCTTTCCCGGCCTTCTTAATTTTGGCTCGCCTCGTGCGGACTCCAAAAAAAAGGCTGGAGCAAAGCTGGACCAACGTGCGGACCCGCCCCCGTCCCAGCCGTGAGCCGTTCCGAGCCAAAGCGCCAGGTGCCCTCCGGGAAGATCCGCGGCAGGCCGCGCGGCATCCACCAGGCCCTCCGGCGCTGCCAGCGCCGCAGCTGGCGGCAGGTCTTGGGCAGACGCACCGCGCAGCACAGGGCATCCGGCAAGTCCTGCAGCTCCACCTGGCGCCAAAACGAAAAAAAACCGAGAAGAAAAGAACGGGGGAAACATGGGGGGGAAATGGGGGGAGGAAGGAAAAAACAGGGCAACCACCCCCCCCCAGAGCAAAAACCAAAACAAACAAGGCGGGGGGGGGGAGGAAAAATACGGGAATCCACTTGAATTGTCTTACACAACCCAAGGAAAATACATTTGAAACCAAAACAAAGAAGGGCAAGCACCAGAAGGCACCAACTCACAAAAAGCCACACTATAAAGGGATGAAAAGAATACTTGCATGAAAACCAATACAAGCAATCCCAGAAAAGGGTTTGAAAAGGGGGGTTCGCTGTCTCTTCAAATTAATTGACTCGAATGAGCATAGTTGTCCATATTGGTCCTCATTCAGTTCATGAAACTACGCTCCCACCCACTGAACCCAAGTGTCAAACACGAAACAAATGCCATGATTTCAGAAAATCCACCCCGCTTCTGTGATGCCAAAGTGGGATTCCCATCCTCAGAGTTACATTGGTAGAACAGAGCATGTGCCACACAAAGAAGTCTGCTCCAGAAAAAGAAAAAGTCCGAGAAGGCAGAAAAGGTTGGTGGGCACGAACTCGGCAAAGTTGTTCTGACGCCACACGATGTGCAAGTCGCAACGAAGAAAGGCAAACATCTTCACACTTTCACGCCATTGTTTTTGCTACCAAACTCACTTCAACCTCTAAGAATCAGAGGGGTGATTCCACCTCCTTCACCTGGGACCTGTCTGTGATACTGAAATCGGAGACCAACTTTGACCAGGCTGACAGGGTTTCAGTCAAGAAAGCACAGTCAGGAAAACATCGCGCCCCTTTATCAGTTCTGTGTCAAAACCCTCCCTCTGGGTGTTGGCTTACAAAGTCCCAAACGGTCCCTTGTGGCACATGCTCTTCGACATGGTGCAGGGTTCACGCTGAAACTCGCCATGTTTCCGGAAGCGGAAAGCTTTCTTTTAATTGCCCCACCAGCAAGACACGTAAAACACACTCGAGTTGCCCCCTTTGCCTCACAGTTCAACGCACCTGACGAGACTCCCGGAGTCACAACCGGGGGCTTTTCCCGATTTTCCGCCTCCACAAGCATCTTGGCCACCTCACGGTGGGTCTGCAGACATTTGCACTCCTTGGCAGGTTCAGGGACTGGAACCCCAAAGAACCCCTGCAGGGGTTCCTGGAAGTGCCCGTCCCTAAATTTCGGAGCCCGGAAGTGGCGGGAGCGGATTCCAATGTGGAACACATACCGGGTGTCGGTGTTAAAAGGGAACCTTCTTGAGGAACATCCCAAAATAACACAGGCATCTGTCTGCTACATATATCTCATTTTGTGGCATATCATATCCATACTCCGTTGCAAATCAACATAAAGCCCCAAAAACGAGTCCCAAAAGGTTCCTTCTGTTTTTTAAGATGCCACACCTAGAGTCTGTACAAACCACAATCATCAGCCAATGATGGCTTGTGAGGGTTCAACACACGGTTTTGCGGAAATGGATGCCCACAAAAGGGTTCCCACATCCCACACATGGACCGAATCCCCGTGCTTTATCAACCGGTATTCACAGGCTTTCCTCCATCCCAACTAGTGCCGATCGCGAATGTCCATCACTTCCCGTCTCAAGCCAAAGCTCCAGCGGCACCCCCAGGCAGTGGCAACAGAACCAGAGCCGTTCGTTCTCCACCCTTGCCAGGCGCCGGCACCGCGGATTGCAGCACACCCAGGCTTCGCAGCTGGCGCAGTACTGGAATCGGCTGGAAACCAAAAGGAAACCAAAAGAGGTCAATTCGTCCGATGTCCAGGGCCCCCCAAAACGTTGGAAGTTCGGAAGGTGTACCTTGAGAAACCCAGTTTTGGGCGGCTACCCCCTTTTCATGTTCTTTTTGGGGCCCTGGCACTTTGTCACTTGCAATGGGAGTTCCCAGAAAATCACTAGCCCCAAAACCGAATTCTCCGCAACAATGATCAGCGCGGTGAAAAACGACAACGAAAGGAGGCCCTGGGCAAGGACCGGGTCCCAACACAAAAATGGGGAAGCATCCCCCATACAAAACGTCATTCATGGTCCGCCCAGTCCAGATCGCCCTTCTGCTGCTCCCTTTCTCCGCAGATGTGGCAGCTCTCGCTGTCGGTCTCCACGCGCGCCCAGTCCCCGGCGTCCAACCCTCCGGCTCGACAAGGCGACCAGGCCGGCGGAAAGCGCTGAACAAAACTTCTGCCGGCTTTGCGTTCAAAGCACCATGTACACCCAAATGAATGGCTTCACAAATGATGTGTGCTAGTTTGAACAAACAAGACCAAGCATCAAAAAGCTCCATTTGGGTTTGTTTCACAATGCAGTCATTTGAGCTCGGGAACCCTCCAAAAAACCCATCCTGGTTAAAGGAGCCATGGGCGAAGCTGGTGCACACGAAAGATCCATCTCGGCAAACGTCAGCAAAACTTGATGCATGAACACAGCAAGCAAACAAAAACAAACAAACAAACAAACAAACAAACAAACAAACAAACAAACAAACAAACAAACAAGCTAAGCAAACAAACAAACCAGCTAAGAAGGTAGGAGACAAAAAGAAAGAAGAAAAAAAAGAAATAAAGAAGAAAAAAAGGAGGAAAATAGCCTAAGGTGAAACATGCAACTTGTGAGCCAATTCACAAAGACATGAAGAAAGGAATCTAAGTCTGAGACCAAAGGAGATTTCTTACAGACGATGTTTTCTAGTTTCTTGTATTGGTCCGGGGGTCCCTAAATGTCCCCAAGCATCACCCCGAGGAGATTCATCAGGAGATTCACCAAAGATGAAAAAACAGGGGCCCCATGCAAAAAACGACATGCAATGAGGTTGTATGGTGAAGCCCTAAGCACCTAGTAAGGCCATCCCAGGATTCACTTCAAGTGACCCTATTAACCACCCCCCATCGAATACGCCTAGGGCCTAGGGCAAGACATGTTGCCTCGTTGAATGGATCCCTGGTGAATCAGCAAAACAAAGAAGACGTGTACCGTGTGGGGGGAGGGTCCCTTTTGGGTGCCACCTTAGTTGAGGGGTCGTAGTTTTGACAAACTCTCATGTGATGAACTGCTGATGAAGCAGCGTGAAAGACCTCAGCAAAAGACAAACGGCGGTGGGTCCCTTCTTCACGCGAGTTTTGGGAAACTGAATCGGTGTTTCCCGTTTCACTGCTTCCTCCGCCTTCGGGTGGCTTTAAGAAGGCCCGGGTTTCCAATGTGGCTTCGATCTGTTGGCGTGTTCCGGTCAAGTCTCCCCGCCTCCAGACCGGTATTCCCGCGGCGGAGGCACCGCACAAAGCCGCGCGGGCAAGCCCTGCTTCTGGCCTCGCAGGTTCGATGGAACTCCCCGGGCTTTTGTTGGTTTTAGGTTCGGCGGGCGTTGAGCACGTGCAAAATGCACGTGTACACCAGCGTGGATTGGGTTGGTTTAGGTTAACTTACAGTTTTAGGGAAGGTTTAGGACTGGTTTGGTGCTAGTTTAGGGTGGGCTTAGGGTCAGGTTCAGGTGTGGGTTTATGGTGGGTTCTGGTTGGTTTAAGGTTGGTTTCAGTGCTGGATAAGGGTGGGTTTAAGGTAGGTTTAGGGTGGGTTTAATGTCTTTCGAGCGGAGTTATATAGGTTGGGTTTGGGGTGGGTGTTACTATGGTTAAAATGAGTTTAGTGGGAGTTTAGGGTGGGTAGGGTTGGGAAAGGACTTGCCTTAGTGCTTGTTTAGCGATGATTTGGCTGGGTTTGGCAGATTTATGGTAGGCTTCGGCTTTAGTGGTTTAATGTGGGTTTAGGGTTGGTGTAGTTTAGCACTGGTTTCGGGTGGGTTACAAAACATCGCAGTGATGCTACTCCACAACCGCCAAAAGCCACGAATGCCAAAAAAGCACCCACCGAGGGACCGGCCGGCCGCCGACCGACCGACCGACCGACGACCGGGGACCCTGCCACAACCCGGCCCGCCAAGCCTAGGAAAAAAAACTCATGGGGGACGAGTGGTTTCCTTTCAGCTTCCAATTGAAACCAACCAGACAGACCCAGCATGATATGCTGCCCATGTCGAAAAATGTGACGTGACGGGTACATAGTTCATGGATGTCTGTCACAAATCAAAAGTTCATCTGTTCCAACTTGGGTCTTTGGAGGTTGCTGATGGAAGAGCCCTATGCGGAAAGGTCGTTGCGCGTCTCGGCATTTCAAACAAACAATACATGCACAAGATCTCCTCTGAATATCTTTTTTCCAAAGCAGACAGGGACTTCCTCATTCCCTCATTTCCTCACTGCCTTCCTTCCTTCCTTCCTCCTTCCTTCCCTCCCTCCCTCCCTCCCTCCCTCCCTCTCCCTCCCTCCCTCCCTCCCTCCCTCCCTCCTCGTTTTCCGCACTTTCCATCAACCAAAACCAGCCTGGCACCACAAAACCTCCCATTCCGTTGCTTCCAGGCCGCATTCCATGCAGGGCATCGCCTGTGAGTTGTCAACATGAAATCGCCGCATGTGGCACGCCCGGCCAGCCAGGAGGCAAGGGTAGCAAGGGTGACGTCTGGTGCAGTACCACTTCGAATAGCCTGGCAAGGGAAAAACGACGACCGTCGTGAAAGCCGTCTTCGCCATGTCTTGACTTGACATGGGCACTGGCACAAACTTCATGCCAATTGGAAGGCTTAGGGTGCAAAGCCCCTGCCTTTGTACCGGCTGCGTAGAAAACAAAGCTCCTTGCCATATTGCGGTGGCGTGCGACCAGGCAAAGCCATGGATCTACATGAATGTTCTAGCTGACCTGCGACAAATTTCGTGCAATGCCATGCCCGTGGTGGATTTACCCACCTGAAGTATAACGCCTGTTTGTTTTTTAATAAGAAATGTAAATAACGTGCATAGCGCGTGCTGGGATCGAACCTTTTGCGGCTGACATCAATCCACGTATGGTTGTTTGCCAGATTTCTGGGTGGGGGTTCGCTCACTAGCGTTCACTGTGGTTCCAGATGGCTTGATCGTGGCAGTACCAGACCTGCCCAAATTATGGATATGCCAAAGGATTGTTTTGTGCCAAATGGGTTTGGTCTTGGTGGTTTCGCCGTGTTCTGTTGTTTGGTTTTTCCCTGAGTTTTGTTGGGTTGTTCAGATCTATCCCTTCACACAAAAAACAACAATAGCAAGGGTCCTCATGAAGAAGGGCTTCACAGCTGGTGCACACGGAGCCTCAGCAAAGCCATGGCCATTCCCAAAAACCCAAAGCCACAAAGGTCTCAGCTAAAACAGCCCCCTACCCCATAACAACCACGTGAAGTTGCTGGCATGCCGGAAATCTTGATCCAACCAGAATGATTGTTTTCTTTCTCTCGTCAAAGGGGCTCTCAGCGCTGCAAGCGATGTCGCGCCCTTTTCACATCATGGCGGTCGCAGTGCGACGCGAAGTAAAATGCACTCAAGGGGGGCCGCCTGGGCCGATATGGTACATGTGCGTGATGCACATGATGATCGGGCAATGCATGCGAAAGCACGAATTTCACACTGGTCAACTTTTCTTTGACCGATCATGCTCCTCATCACGAAGCTGTGCGTGAGGGCCGAGAAGCCAGCAGCGCATCTGCTCCCGGAGCTTCAGGTCCACCTTCGTGAGAGGGTCTGCGTGCTGAAGGTGAGTCGGAACCCAGTGGTACGATTCCGCAGACACTGTCTCCTGCACGGCGCGGATGCTGATCAGCGACCGCTTATCGCTGAGTGTGTTGCCAGTCGTAGAGCGATTTGGCGTCCGTGGCCTGCAAGTTGTGAAGCCTGCACCCAATGCGGTGAGCCGGCTTGTTGTAAAGGATCTGGCTGAACATCATGTTCACAAAGGCGGCACGATTCGATGGGGACGTCCTGCATGACGATTCCGTCCTTCTCGCTGCGCCTGATGTAGTTGAGGCACTCGATGATCGAGTTGAGGTCGTGGATGGTCGCGCTTGAACCACGGCTTTTGAGTGAAACCGTAGCTGAGACTTCGGGCCTCGCTTGGGCGGCAGCCCGTTGGAGGCATCCGCCAACACTCCAGCTCAGCGCGCTCATGAGGTTGCAGCTGTTCATCTTGTGCGAGGCGACCGCGTGGAAGCCGTCCAGGTTCAAGTCCAGAAATGAACTTGGCCATGGTGATCAGCATGGTGTACTTGCCCGCGGGGTCCTTCCGAATGTTACCCTTGAAGGTGTAGGGCTCGTCCGGCACGAGGAACTTAAGATCTCCCCATTTGAAGAGCTTGTGGATCTGCTTGATGTCATAGTCCTCGCGGAAGCAACCCAAGAAGTCATCCACGTAGACCGTGATTATGGAGTCGATGTCTCCACTCTGGTCGTAGTGAACGAAGACCATCTTGTCGAACTCGAGTCTGACGTTGTCGGCTGATGATAGCCTCTTGATGATCTCGACGCACCATAGATGCGGTGCGTTCGGAAGTCCGTAGATGTTGCCTCTGACCCGATACAGGGGTGCCTTCCATCAGGCGTCCTGCGTATCAAGGGATCGTCCGGAGGAAAGAGGTAGAGTGGGCCTTGTCGTTCGTTGTCAGGTTGGCTTCCTTGAAGGAAAGCTGTGGAGGCGTCAGCCAGCCATCCAGTCCAGGACTTGCCGATCTTCTTGTTCATGCCTGAGACGATGAACTGGAAGAGGATGTGCTCGGAGCCTCGCGGTTGCCCTTTTCCGCATGGACTTGGAGCGGATTCAAGTGGTCTGGGCACCAACGACGAGGTGATTCGCCACCGGCTACGACTTCCCTTACACTCACAGAGGCGCACTGATCCAGTACGCCGACGGTAGCCGAGTTTTAGAACGCGAGTCCCTTGAGGAGACTCGCTTCCCGAAGCAGCGCTTCGCCAAGTCAGTGCAGGCCGCAATCTTCGTCTACGGCACTGCCCGACCTGAACCCAAACTACAACCAGCCGCACAGGCAGACACCGACTCGAACCTCTTGCCGCTGTCTAGCCTGCCGACACATCACCTTTCCCGACATCCCCATGGAAGTTCGGCGACTTGCAGCACGCCTTCACCTTAACATGGGCCATCCTTCTTCACAAGAGCTATGCCGTATGCTGGCTTACTACGGGAACGTGCCGACCCACATGTTTGAAGCCGCCAAAGCACTGCGTTGATCGACGTGCGAACTTCAACCACCTCAGGACCATCAACGGCGCCAACGTGGGCATCTTGGGAATGGTCGATAGAGCCACAGGATACCACCAAGACGCTGCGGCACGGAATCGGGAGTCAGCCCACTATTTCGAGCTGCTCAACAGCACTTGGCTGAAACCGCTGGGGCTGCCTTGGTGCAACCTGCAATCCCGACACCTCCTTCCAAGGCGACTTTCAGAACACGCTGCAGAAGCTGGGCGTTTTCTTGGACTACTGCCCTGCTGAGGGACCGACGCTTGAGGACAACTACATGGCCAAGGGCGAGATCATCAGATCAGAGGCTTTGAAGCGCCTTCTCGACCTCAACGTCTCCCAACACCTTCGCAGAGCGATGCTGAGGAAGACGGTCAAGACACGAGTTCCTGAGCTTCTAGATGGGCAACCTTGCGCCTACTGGAGGTGGCACAAGAAAGGAGCGAAGAAGAGAGGCGCTTTGACAATCGCGCGCTTCTTGGGACCCTTCATCGCCAGAAAAAATGGCATGGCTTCGCACGGGAACTACGACAGTTCTGGTGGCGGTGGAGCAACTTCGAGCCGCCTTCGGATTTGAATCCTGGAACCCCTCGGAGGAGGACGAGAAAGCCATCAAAGATGCTGCAGCTTCGAGCATCTTCGAGGACGAAGTGGGTCCGCACCCAGAAGACGAGATCACGCATTCGGAGCAACTCCAGCAAGATCTCGCTCTACCTGAACCACTACCACTTCCAGCACTACCACCACTTCCTGAACCACCAACAACGGAACAACCACCTCAGACAGATGCAACTCATCAAGCACTAATTACCAGCTCCCTCCATTCAGATCCACCACAAGCAGAACATCCAGCAGACCAACCAACAGTTTCTACACCAACGTTTTGCCTTCGCCGGCTACGCCTTCGAGGAAACGATCAAGAACACCAACCGCGAGGAGAACCGCACCTACTACACCTCAGATCACACAACCTCCTCAACAACAACCAGCGCTTACGGCACCTGCCGCAGATCAAGATCAACTTCCTCATGAACTACCAGCAGCCACTGGAGTGCGAGAGCCACGGAGCCACCGTTGGCACCCTCTACCACTACACTCCCGACAGCACCAGAAGCAGCCAGTGGATCACAAGGTCCAGCCGCAATGGAGCCACCTGAGCGGCCTCCGACCATGGAAGATGACCTACTGCCTGAACTACCTCAAAAGCGCACCTTTGACGCGCTCTACTTGCACCGACGGCATCTACCACCCAGAGGACCGACGCGATGGACGGCCAGTTAGAATCTTGATCACTGCTTCAATCCGTAAGGGAACATGCATCAAAAAAACAAAAGAGTACGGCCGACAAAAGGTGCGCTTGCTCTTTTTCTTTGTGGCGTTGCTTGGAAGTCAAGGCTCGCAGCAAACATGTTAAATGTCTTTTTTCGGGTGTTGCACCGCTGATGCTTCCCCGCAAAACCCAAAGCCAACCCACTCACTGCACCGCAGATGCTTTGAGGCACCCTTATGGTTTGCTGCCTCAGGTAACGCACCACCGTTGCGTCACCCAAAGGCTGAACAACCATCCATTGCACCGCAGTGCTTTGATGGCAGGCATCTGGCCCAGCAGCGTCGAGCCCTGATTTTGGCCTCCCGATCGCATGCCCCATTTACAGCCCCAGTTTGCTGTTTCAGGTGATGCACCGCAGATGCATCACTCAGCTCAGACAGGCTGCACTCATGGCAGCAGTGTCGAGCCCAGATATCGGCATCCACTTCCAGCCCCAGTTTGCTGTTTCAAGTGATGCACCGGATGCATCCAACAGCTCAAAAAGGCTGCACTCATGGCAGCAGTGTCGAGCCCAGATATCTTCAAACAGGCTCCACGATTGCACCGCTGATGCTCTGGCGCTAGGCCACTGAGCGCCACCTGTTTGACGTGATGCACCGCAAATGCATCAGATTTTTCCTGTCTCAGGCGACGCACCGCTAATGCATCATTCAGTTCCGACAGGCTCCACGCTTTGCACCGCAAGTGCTCTGGTGGTCGGCCTTCTGCCCAAGGCGCCCACACCCACCTTTAGCCAATTTCCACGCCCGAACCTTACTAGCAGCGGTTCTTAAACCCGCCATTTCCAGCCAGCTGCATGCGGGCCCTCCAAAGGCCCCGCAGACCCTCACCATGCACCGCAGTTGCAAACGGCGTGCATCACGCTGAGTGTCCCATGCAACCAACCCCGGCTATACGACCTCGACGCCTCGGGTCTCAACGCTAAACGCTGCACCGCAGTGCACGTTGCCGTGGTCGAACACGCAATGTTGACCGTATCATGCAGCCACAGGTCGGTGAACATCAAAGTTAGAATCTTGGTCACTGCTTCAAGCCTACAGGGACATGCAGGGAAAAAAAACATCCGACCGAAGCAAACTCGACACGCGCTTTTTTACTTGAGCGTTGCTTAGAAGTGCAAGCTCTGAGATGCAGGTGGAGTGACGATGCGCGTCCACTCCATCTTCCTGCATCTCATGCGGAGCCTGTCGGAATGCCCCCTGTGGTCAACATTGCGTGTTCGACCATCACACAGGGCGTTTTACCCATGGGGTGTGAGACAAATAGGAGGTATTTTGCACATCGGTATGCAATGCGTGCATAGGTGTGCATGGGAGGAATGCGTCCTCCTGAAGGGGACCAGGCTGGTCCGACAGAATGCCGATGGCATTCAGCGATGTGCGACTGCGTGCGCAGCATGGGTTCAAACTGGTGTGGCCAACGAGGAATGCGTCCTCACTGCATAGGCTTAAACTGGTCCTGCGGGATCAGTAAGCCGACAACATGCTTGATGCTGGAAAGCTTGCCGACAACGCGTGTTCAGCAATCAGCTAGCAGGCCTCTTTGCTCAGGCTAAACGGGTCCTGCGGGATGCAGTAAGCCAACAAAATGTTGGAAGCGGGAAAGCTTGCAACCATGCGTGTTCAGCAACCCAGCAATCAGGCCTTGTGGAAGTTGGTTTCCACCTGGGCCGTGAAAGGGTGGGAGGGTGGGTTCAAACGAAAGAGGGGTCAGACCCTCAAGGCATGTCCCTTACTAAAGGGCTTGAAGCAGAAACAGCCACGCGGCCGAAGATTCAACCAAGATTAAAACACAGGGGAAAAGAAAAACCCCTAGCGTTAGAATCTTGGTCACTGCTTCAAGCCTACAGGGACATGCAGGGAAAAAAAGCATCCGACCGAAGCAAACTCGACACGCGCTTTTTTACTTGAGCGTTGCTTAGAAGCGCAGGCTCTGAGACGCAGGTGGAGTGACGATGCGCGTCCACTCCATCTTCCTGCATCTCATGCGGAGCCTGTCGGAATGCCCCCACTTTAGGGTTCTAAGCAAACGGTCAAATCACCTCACCCCTCTTTAGTGCGTTTGCGATGCAATCACGCGCTCGGGTCTCCACGGTGCGTCCGCAGGGTGAAGCGTGAGAGCTGATGCGTGAGGCCAGAAATCATGCGGCCTGAAGCGCACCCTGGCGTGCGACCATTTGTGTTTATGGGCCCAGGCGGCTACAAGTTGCACAAAGACTTGCAAGGGCCATGCTGTGGTGAACAGTTTATTAACGCCTGCCTTGGAGGCCGTGTTATCTGTCCCTGTGGGCATGCAAATGCCATGCACGCTTTGTCCCTCGCAGGACCATGCGATACGCATGAGTGCTAGTTGAGCCAAGGTTTCGAAGCATGCGATGTAGCGCTGGGCTTCTTTGGTGAGGCACGGCCACTGCTCTTGGACTTCCTGGAATTGCCAAGTTTCTGCGAACCAAGAAACGGAGCTGCTGGTGATGAACCAACCCCCTATGCCCACGACACTGCCTCGGCGCAGGCATCTGCGGCTGCTTTGCATGCCAGCATTGGCTTGCTTCTCAGCGGGCATGCGAGGTCTAAGTGGAAGCATTGCAGCAACCATTCTACGCCATGTTTGCTCATCTTGGACAGGCGAGTGTGCTCTGCGGATGCGTCCGCGACGCGCACCCAGGCGGATTTGTGACTAGGCACAACGCGAGGCAGGTCAGCTGGCGCGCGAATGTGGCCATCCTTCCTTTCAGCATTGGACACCAAAGCCGTGCTCAGGTCAGCAGCGCACGGCATCTTCATGCCACCAGGCTCTAAAGTTCTCGAGTTTCAAGGGGTATGCAAGCGCGCATGGACAGAGATCATGCAACCCGGCGGGGAATGCAAGTCTGTATACAAAGGTGCCAGCCAGGACCTGAGTTCGGGGCTCAGACTGGTTGCCCAAATGAGTAGGCCTAGAACCTGCTCCAAAAGTTTTCGCTTGACCTTCCCCGCTTTGAGCAGCTCGTGCAGCTGCCCTTTTAACTTTAAGGTTTTTTCTGGCGTGAGTTCGATGGTCTCATGCAGGAAATTAATGCGCCACCCACACCACGCGAGGCCATTTTGAAATTGAACCTTCTTCCACGAGATCGGGGCAGAAATTGCTGCAAAGAACATGACCATAAGGGGGGGGCAGCTGTGCGTGCGCGTCACTGCGACGCAGTGCTGCCAAAAGGTCATCCACAAACAACCATGGACGATGCGGGCGCAGTTCCAAAATGCCGTGCAGTAGCCTGGAGGAATGCTCCGGTGCGCTGCCACCAGTATGCGGAGAAGCGTGCTCCGAAGTGGCAAACCCTATCATGGTACAGGATATCGGCAACACGGAACAGAAGCAGGCCATGTTCACTGGGGCGCACTTGGATCTGCTTGTGCGCCGCTTTAAAATCACAAAGGACGAATGGGTGTCCTCGGGGAGGAATGCTAAGCGCACGTCCGAGGCCATTGGCAGGCTTATGCGTTCTGGAATGGCGCACTTGGGGTTCACCCCACACACTGTGCTGTCTAAGACTAGTCGTGGGTCCTTGCCTTCTGCACGCACGACGTTGAGCTTTCCCACTGCTATGCCTTTATGCCAATGTTGTCTGGCTTGTTCAATGGACATGCCGGTTCGAATGACCCATCCGTTTGCAATTTCCTTTTCCAGCAAGGCTGATACCGTCTCTGGTTCCGCTTCTGCGGCTTTCCAGTTGCCGATGCACTCGGTGAGCTCACTAGGCAGGTCTGCCACTGCATGCTACGTGGCAGTTCGGACACAGCTCCTGTTGGCACGCCTTCTGCCAGCAGCTGCACTAGTTTCAGGTCTGGGTCATTGGATGCCGTTGCTAGGGCATGCAAGAGTGACAGGCGGTACGGTTGTCCTTCATCGGGTGCTAAGTCGGATGGGCACGGCATGTTCATGGCGCGGAACGCGATCCGGACTGTTGTTCCAAGAGAGGGGGGGATGCGTTACCGGAGCCCACATGGGCTAGAATTTTTGGGATGAGTTTTTGTGCGTCTAGCCAATGCAGCCAGGCACGTGCTACTATCGTGAGCGGGTGGTTTGGTTGAGGGATTGAGTGGTCTGCAGTCGAATGCATGCCAGCTCCATCGCATACCCGCAAGCGCACGGGGTGCAGTGAAAGCAGTGAGGGTTTGCGTAGGTTTCGGACCTCGGGTTGCGTGCTCACCTTGAATGCGCAATGTTTGATCAAGCACGCTGCGAGACTTGCCGGGTATTCGGCTGTCAGCGTGCTCAGGTACTGGCCTGAGCTGCTTTGAACGCCCGCTATGCTGGCGTGTTTATGTTGATGCG